ACCGAAAGCCAAAAGAGCGAGAAAAGCAGAGAAGAGTCGGCCCCAAAGTCAAATGCCAAGCAGCAGATCATGCCGGGTTTGGGGGTTTGGGGTTTGGGGTCCCGGGGTCCAGGGTCTTGGGTCTTGAAAACCTCGGACTTGGACCGAAGCCCAGGCAGGTCTTGCAGCCAACGTCGCTCGTGGTGTGTTATCAAAGCTGATGATGATTATACCCACTTGCACGCCTTTTTTGTGCCCCTACAGGAAGCCAGAAGACGACCCTGGGTCTGGGCCTGGGTCTGGAGGAGAAAAGAGGAGCTGGGGGAGCCTTGCCTGCAATTGGCTACTCGTCGCCGTCGTCGTCTTCGTCTTGTTGCATGCATTATTATTATGCGCATGCGCGCAGTTGGCCATATAATCTAAAATTGTATCTTTGGCGTGTAACCCGGGGCACTTCTTCTTCTTGGAGAGCTTCGGCTCCTGCTCCTGCTCCTACTGCATCTCCACCTCCTCCTGACTCCTCTAAGGAAACCAAAGCAACGAAATAAACTGATTATGTGCCCACCGCTCTCTACAGCGAAATTAACAGCCGAAGCTCTTCGATACCCCGACTAGCCCCCTAATCCTCTCCTGGTTTGGATTGCCTGGCTGGCCTTCTTTATATATTTTTTCTGTTGTTTCCCTGGCGGCTTTGCTCGGTGAGCGGGTCACATAAAATTTGCTAATATTTTGACCTTAAGATGTAATATCTGTGTTGGCCCCATTGTGGACAGTGGTCAACACAAGAAATAAATATAAAAACAAATATATATAGATAAAATATAGTGAGATAAGATTATGGCTTAGGAAATATCTGGGATTACATCTTACTCATATTAAATTTAAAAAAGTTTTGTATTTAAGGAGTATTACCTTATACATTTCAAGAAAATCTTTCCAAAGTCATTTAATTGATTTTAATAGTTCGATTTTGCTCTAGTAAACTGTTACTAAATTTTGTAAATTTATATACTCCATATTTTCGTTATTCTATGTGAAATATACCCTCTGTAATCCTCTCTTATCCCTGTATTTATCTGCAATTTACACAACTCGCCCACTGTCCCAGTCGCGCGACTTAGCTTCGCCGGCGGCAGTAGCTGTGAAATAAACATAAAACTTATTTATTACATCTGTCTAAGTCAAGAGCCGCTGCTCGAGAGCTTCATTACCCCCACAGGCCCCCAGGGCGAGCATTCAATAATTTATTAAATTATTTAAATAATAAGCGGCCAATTTTTTATGTACTCTGTACTGCTGTTGAAACAGTTGTGGTGATTGATATAGAATACAGCTTTTTTCGGTCGTTCCAACTGGTAAGCGAATCAATCAAAGGTAGATAAGCCCCCGACAATTTGCCACACTTTTGGGGGAAAGTGCAGCCAGGCCTAGGCGGCTCTTCCCTTCACCAAGTAACTATCTTCCAAGTCGGAGCTCTGCTCTAACTGCCAATCAAATGCTACCTCAGATCGCAGATCCAGATGCCAGAGTACAGGCTACAGACTACAGCACACAGATTCCAGAGCGCAATCTAGAGGCCACCTAGTAGTCGTTGCCCCGAATGCGTAACAAGATCAAACCGCAGCCACCGCACTCGGATACGATGCTTGGAGTTGGGAGCTGGGATCTGAGAGCTTCAAGCCGGGACAGCTGGACGGCAGAGGATGTTTGGCATTAAGCGTAATTGTTGGGTTGCTGGGCTGAATAAAAGAGAGAAATATCATTAAATACTCGCTACCAAAATCAAAGCCAAAGACACAAGTGAAGTGTAGAGCTGCCATGGAGAAGGCAACAAGTCAACTTTTTGATACCTCTTACGAAGGGAGCTTAGGAGTATATAGAGCCTATATAGATTAGGAAGTATTTTATACATTTTTAAATGAAAATGTGAATTACAGGAATTATAAAAAGGTTTTCTAAACACTCGAAAAGGAAACACTTTTAAAATCAATATGTAAAATACATTAGTAGTTTTAGGACTTTTATTTAGAATAGAAATCTAAATCTTTCTTGATCAATTTTATTTTATTTGCAATAGACTTTAGTGACCTAGGTAAAGCTAGGTAACTCTTAGACCAGCCTACCTTTGTGCAGTGTCACTTTTTTGTTTTAGGTGGGCAGCCACCGCCGATACAAGCTTGCCGAGCCAAAGGTTGCTGATGGGCAACTGGAACTTGGTACTTGCCACTGCCGGCAATCAGGTCGCAGTCCCTCCTCCTCCTCCTCCTCCTGCTCGAAGCCAAGACTGGGTTCTTTCGGTTGGCTTTTGCTTTTGGCCCGGCCGAGCGGCCGGCCGGGACGTGGCCAGACATGAAGAATTACAATGAGTAGGTAGTTGGGCGCAATTGACGGTGGTGGCTCAGTCTCGGATTCGGGCGAAGCCAAAGAAAACAACAGCAACAAGGCGGCCTGAACCTCGGCAAGAGTTGGCAGCAGGTCGGCCCACGTTCCGCGATCAGCGCTCAACTCCACTCAACTGGCGGCTGGGCGAGCTCCCGGGCATAGGTAGCACAAAAAGCTGTTCAATTTAGAATTCAAATTGTTGTCTTCGCTTCTTGTCTTCCCCTCCAGCCGGGTCTCCCTCGATCTCCCTCTCCATTCGCCGGGTTGCCTGGCTGGCTGGCTTTAGGGTTAAGCAGGTCAAAATCCGTACAACTAAATTGAGCCCAGAAAGTACAATTGGGCAGAGAGCGGTGAGGTCCGGTCCAGTCCGGTCCGGTCCGAGGCCCCTTTCGACCCTGTAGAATTCATTTTTTCGCTGCACAGCCGGCTCTTCAAATTAAAATGTATTTGGCGGGGCTGGGGGAGAATCGGAGAGGGACTGCATCCACCGGGTGACCAGAAGCAGCCAGAAGCACTTTTGTAGCTGCTTATTAGTGTGATGTGTCTTTTGGGCAAAAGAGTTGGACTCGGCTTCGGACATTCGGGGCTTTGGGCCTTGGATTTTGGACGATTTTGGACGAGGACCTGGCACGTTTCACATTTGACGCGCCATAAGCTGACCCTACTATTAATTTATTTCGCAAAAAATCATTCGGGGCCCCGAGATTATCCCCACAGATGCTCGTTCTTTCAATTTGGAACCATTTATATGGGTAATAGGGATGGGTGCGAGGCTGGAATATCGTTTGGAAAGCGTTAATTAAAGAAGAGGGTACCATTTTTAAAAATGTATCTCCCTTTCAAGTTAATAAAGCCTAAGAAATTCCTTAAAAAATATATGTTTTCAATTATTATTCTGCTATTCTTACGATAGTTTATCTCTAAGTTTCCTGTCTATTCGATATATCTGCTGTATATTTTAACCAAAACAAGAACCGATTTTATGTGTTTATTTTATGATTGAAACCCACTTGAATTCTATGTAAATATTGCGCAACAAAATAACTTTATTGGGCTTAAACTTTATAGCTCTATTAAAGAAAGAAAAGACTTAGCCCAAAGTTAGAGTCGTATAAACCGAGACAACAAATATTTACGAGTTCTTTGGCTCGGCCCCGGGTTCGGCAGCGAACTTTTGACGAATCTTTTGGCCGCTTATGCAAATTGTGATCGCGGACATTCATTGATATTTAACCATCTGTCCATGGTCAAGTCAGGTCACCGTCGTCGTCGTCGTCGTTGTCGAAAAACCCCTGTCGGGCTAAAGACCAAACTTGAACTATAAAGTTTAATTTGGAAGATTGAAGACACGCAGACTTGGATTTGGATAGGGATTTGTGTTTGTATTTGGATTTGTATCTTGGGCGGAGCCCCGAGATCTGTATCTCACGTGTCTGCGGTTGGAGCACTTTGCTTTCATGGCGAATTTATATTTTATTCGCTTGCAGATTCCTGGACACATATGCTAATATTCAATCACGAGCCGTGCTTCTTTTGTGTCTCCCAAATCGATATGAGCTGCGAAAGCCATCAAACCGAAATTCCTTCATTAATAATATCAAACCAGCTGGACGGTGGTGTTTTTCGCTCTTCTAACGCCGGCAAAGTCTTTTGTTTGATGCAGTCAAATGATTTGCATATTTCCATATTTTTTCAACCCATTTCCTTGTCTCAAATTGCCTTCATCGTCGAGGAACTTGGTACCTGGAACCTGGCGTCCAATTACATTGCGTGCATGGATCTGCAGATGGCCGAGGTCTCGGTATTTTCCTGTATTCTTTTTTTTTTATTATTTTAGCAAAAGGAGTTCAAAGTCAAGAGCCGGGGCTAAGAGACCCACAATTCAAATCTGTTTTTGGCCCCGTATTGTTATGGCCAAGTTGTGCTCTTTTTCTTCCAGCTTTCTGGCCATTTCCTGGGCTCTAGTTAATGCAAAGTTGTTGTTGCTGCTGCTGCTATTGTTGGCTCTGTCAATTATTGGCACAGAATTTAGAATGCACTTGGCTGACCATAACCATAACCACAGAGCCACCCAAATCAAAGTCTCTGCCCCTCGCATGGTCCCCTTTATTTGCAGAGTTTTCTTTTCTATTTTTGTTTGTGTTCTGCGTTGTCCGGGCAAAATTATGACAGAGTCCAAGCACTGGCCATAGGAGTAAAAGCCACCAATTTCCGGTAAGAACTTAGTTTTTGCTTAGGTCTTATCTCGTTTGGATTTTTTTTCTCCGCGACCATTTGCTTGTTTCTTTATTTTCTTAAGCAGTGTGGGAATGGGTTTCAAGTAGTTATTTTCATTTAATTTAATTGAAAAACGTATCAGTTATAGTTGATTTGTTGTTATTTTGAGAAATAAATAGTATTACATCTTACTACAAAAAAAAAAGTATTTAGTTACTCTTTTAATCTTTGAAAGATGTTATTTGAAGTGACTAGAAATTTGAAAACTAAAAATTATATTCTTTTTACAGAACTTCAAGAAGCTAAGTCAAATATATATACAGAAAATATATATTACATACATTCAAAATCGTTAAGTGTTTATTTATTTACAGATTTGTTTTAATAAAAAACCAAAACTCCTCTTAAAATCCATCTAGCTTTAATTACAACTAATGAGTGATTTTCTAAAACCTATCTCCCCTGAGTAAAGAAGGAAGAGGAGTCCCTAGAACACGTTTCTGACCCTATCACCTGCCCCTCCGCATTTCAACCTCCAACCTCTGCACTTCTGCAATGGCATTAAATATTTTTCTTCGCCGGTCAAACTCTTCTGAGACTGCCCTCTTGTTGCTTCGGAATTGCTGGCGACGACGGATGTTATATTCAGTTTTGTTATTTTTGACATCCTCCATTAGATCGACATTCACTGTAATTTCCCAGGGTCGTCGTGTGGTGATCACGGTATTGTAGAGCGCGGTATTGTTGTTCCTGAACAGACTTGGTTTGATGAAGATGGCCATGTAGCCGGGTCGCGAGGCATTCCGCTCCCTGGGAAAGACACTGCAAAAAGGTAGAGATAGAGCGATGGTCAATATTATCCCTAGTTGGTGTTTACCAGGAAGTTCTTACCAGGAGAAGCCCTGATTCATGTCCTGCCTCACTGAACTGCCCCACCAGCTGCCCAGAACCTGCAGGGGGCAGGTCCGATTCCGACCAGCATATGAGCTGAGCGTCTTGCCCACGGACAGAAAGAGCATGTCCGTGGCATTGGCCTCCACAAGCTCTGCTTTGCGCATCATGAAGATATCATTGAAGGAAGAGATGACCACGTCGTCATACAGGTTATACACCAACTGATCGTGTTCGTCCTGGCCAAGGATCAGCATGGCTGTACGCATGTTATTCATAATGTGAGCCAATGCAAAAAAGTTGATGTTCATGTCCTTGTAGTCCTCCGTAACGTATCCAAGGAACCAGTGACGCATGTGGATGCGCACTGGAAGCTCGACTCGAGTCATCAGTAGCCAAGGACCGCCCCAGCTGTTTTGGAACTGGCAAAGGACCTTGGTGGCCAACCCTCTATCTCGCACCAGACTAATGCCGAAGACCTCATGCAGATCCATTTCCTCGTGACAGTCTGCCTGGGGGTACTTGAAGAACTCCGGCGGATGTGGTGTCACCGGAGGCCACGCTCTGGGCGCTATGGTACCTGGCGGTATTGTACTTCCGTCACCGGGGCCCAAGGTTTTGCATTTAACTTCAGTTTTCCCTGACTCCGGTCTATCTGAATCCGGCGTTTTTAAGCTTGATTCTTCTGTGTATGCAACCACGGCGGACTCTGTGGTGATCTCTTCTGGCGTTTCTAGAGTGTCAGCACTTTCTAAAGTTTCTGTAATTCCTATCGTTTCTATGGTTCCCGGAGTTTTTGAAATTGTTGGAGTTCCTGTAGCCTTCGATGTCGCTGTAGTTCTAGAAGCTCCTTGAGCTGTTGAAGGTCTTTGAGTTTTCGTGGTATTTGTAGGCCTCAGTGTTGACCTCTTTGTTGGTATCTTTGTGCTTGTAATACCAAAATCGAAACCATCCGACTCACTCGAATCGTCATCCACTTCGACCGTGGGTATTTCGTTCCGACCAGATCCGCGCGATTGATCCATCGAGCTGAGCTCAAGAGTATCCTCTACTCTCTTGGGTGGTTTCTTGGTGCCCGGTAATCCCAGATTCGGTGCCTCAATGAACGATGGTTTGACTCCGAACCCGTAGTTGTTGAAAATGAAGCTCATATAGTACGTCTGACCCAAGACAATCCACGGCAGGGTTGTCCACAGACAGGGAATCAACATGGCAGCACCCTCACCCTTCACGGAGTCCAGAGTGAAAGTCTGCATATAACCAATGGGTTGCCTTTATACCCTCGTTCCATGGAACAGTGTCCAATCTCATTATCATTGCCAATGTTGGCTGATTTTAAATTGAGTGACTATCGATTTTTATGAGTTTTTTATGAGGCGTAGCTAAAAGGATTTCGAGGTGTGATGAAACTATGAAAAAGGTTCATATTGGCAAGGAAATATTGATTTTACATTTAGAAAATTATATTAAATACATTATTATCGTGCATTTGTTATAACAAAAAAGATAATTTCCTTTGAATAAATTCGTAAAAATACTAGACTGAAAAACATTTGAGTTTTCAATATTCAAAATCGAATTTAAATCAATTTACATCGACATTTGTGAGCTCTTATAGGTAACTGTAACCAGAGCTGCCACAGAAATTGTCCTAGATGCCGTAATTTAATGAAAAGATTTCAAAAACTTACAAATTCCACTTGTAAATAGGCTATTCTTTTAAACTCTTTATTTATTTCCGCCGATTGACCATCCCCTCACCCCGATAACCTTTCTGTTTTATTATTAAAATTTCAATTTCGTTTCTAATTTACTTTTTATTGTAATTTGTAAGATAAATTTAATAAAAGTATCTGCAGCTTCCGAAAGTCTCTCGAGCGAACCAAGGCGTCAAAGGAAAGAAGGAGGAAAAAAGGAGAAACCATGTACCAGGCTAGATGGTGGCCATTAGGTTTGAGGACACTTACTCCTTCCTCTTCACTGCTGTTAAATTTCCTCATACTCCTCGTTATTGTCGCCGACAGAGATCCCCCCATTTGGAACTTCGCTCCTAACGGCTTCTGCATTTGGATTTTCAGAATTGGGATTGTCCTCGGGCTTGTTGTCTGCTTTCGATTGACTGCTCTCGGCAGGCGCGCTGTCCCGGGCATTAGAGCCCTCATTGCTGCCGGAGTGGCCGTGGCTCTCGCTGCTCTCGTAGATGGAGCGCACGTAGCGCCCGCCGAAGCTGTCATCGATGCTGATCTCGTAGCTGCTGTGATGACTGTGATCAGTCGGCTTGCTCGCCTCGTTCTCGTGCTCCGCCATCATGCGGCGTCGGTTATGGGCATCCTTGCTGTCGCTATCGTCGTTGTCGTCGTCAGTTCCGGCGATCCGCCGCTGGGTTCCGTAGCCTTTGTTTTTTTGGCGATCGCCACTCCCGGCGTCCATTATTTCACCTTCACCGATGTATCCATGGGCATCTCCGTCTGCTCCACTTACTCCTCCGCCTGTATTGTCGGTACCGCCATTGTTCCCAATATTCTCCGGGCCGTTATCACCCCCTTCGTGCTCCGTACCCGGTTCACCGTTCTTATCGCCTTCTTCTCCTTCCGGGTTGTTGTTATTGAAGGCAAAATTCATGTAGTATTTCTGGGCCAGAACGCCGCGCTCCTGCGGCAGATAGCCAAGGGCCAGCAGGACCACAAAGCCAAAGAGTAGCCGCATCCGCCACATCGCTGCAACGCTGAGCTGCCCGTGCTGGCCGTTCCTCCCTTATATATAGAGATGACCGCCGTCGTCCGGAATCGAATCGATTCGGCGGTGGCCCATAAAAGCGGGGCCGTTCCCGATAAAGGCGTATCCAACGCGACTGCAGAGTCCAGAGAAGGAGGAGGAGGCTTGGCCACCCCTTCCCGTCCACAGAAGGCAACCAAACAGCAAACAGTGGCAGTTGTTAGTGAGCAACTGAGGCCTCTGCAGCTGCTGCGGAAACAGGTTGGTCTCCCGTTGGAGGAGAGCTACGTGGAATTCAATCAGGGCCAATCTATAATAGAAATCTCATGTGGCGCGAGCTTCGATTTGCCCAAAGGGGAGTTCGTGGCAGCAGCAGCAGGGGGCGTGGCAGCCAAGAGCAGAGGAGGATCGGATCGGATCGAAGTGGAGTGGAGTAGGGAGATCAGGGGTGCCCACTCGCTGGCCACTTTCCATCGATCGTGCGTTGCAAATATGAAAATGCTACTGCAGCTTCCACGAGCGGCTGTGGCAAGTCAGGCAGCTATGGCTAAAATCGTTTTTCATTAACAATTTTAAAAGCCGCGCATTAATCAGAAATACACACACACAGCAACACACAGAACAGAACCAAACAGGATGCCCAGCGCCTACGTGTCTTCCCTGTTGGCACTGTCTCTGAAATATGGGATTAACTTGGGGGAAACTATGGTCTAAGATAGAAAAATACCCTCGTATCAGCTCTGAACTTATATAACAAATAAATTATTATAAAATCTCTTAGATTAGTCAATCTTTCGAAAAGATACTTTAGGTATTTATTTTAAAACAATTTTATTTAAAACCATCTATAAATATTTCAATTGTTCTCTTAAATTATGAATAGTATACATTTTTCGCAGCATCTTGAACCACTGTTTCAGTGGAAATGCTGCTCATAAATCTGATCTCCCCAACTAATTTGCTCTTTTTTGCTCTCTTCCCGTTGCAGTCGTTCCGCGATCAGTCCATCGACGGCACTGGCCTGCCGCTCTTAACCGAGGATCACTTGGTTAACTCGCTGGGCATGAAGCTGGGGCCGGCTCTCAAGCTGCGCTCCATATTGGCGAGGAAATTGGGCGGGCCGTGTCCGTGCGTTGCATGCGTTGCGCAGGCGCAACAAATGCTGGCACTGCAGACGACGGGCGGGGCAGGGACAGCACCGGCAGCATCAGCAGGAGCCGCAACAGGAGCCACAGCTAGTTGCAGCTTCAAGACGGAGATCTTCAATGGCGGCAGCAGCAACGGCAGCAGCACCAGCAGCAGCAGCGGCAGCAACAGCGACAACAACAGCAACTGCAACAGCAATCAGGGCAGCGATGTTGCCCTCGCCTCTGCACCAGCCCCAGCTAGCTCGCCCGGCGCTGGCAGCATGTTGCTGCCAGTGTTGCCGTGCAGCGGCGAGGCCAGCTAGTTGGCTCAAACATACCTAATTGCATTTCGACTGCAAAACTGTTGTACCAAATGAGCTTTCGAAGGACCAGAAGATGAATCGGAGGGGAGAGACCCTAACCCTAGTGTATAGATTAAGCAGTAAATATGTAATTTAAAGCTAGCTAAAGTTGTAAACTTTAAGTGACGACGGCAACAATAATCGCAAAGTCTTCCATTTGCAAGCACACAAAACCACAAAAAAAAAAAAAAAAAAACAAAAGCAAATCATATTTGTATAACATTTATCAATTTATTAGTCAATTTAATGAGAGCGAGTTAGAGTTTTCGTTTACGTACTTAAGTGCAAAGCGCATTTGCATTGATTTTATTTATTTCTATGACTTTTCTTCGTTTTTAACTGCTAGTCAGTAAACATATATTTAATAGAATTCCGTATGATGAGAAGCAAACTTAAAAATTCAATTTTATTGCTTAGCGAATCGAAGTAAAAGGCTATTTATTTTTATATATATAAATATTGTTAAACCCAAAATGCTTTGTTCAAATTTAAGAAATTTATATACGATACATATACCTTTTCTGCGGCCATGCACAGAGGAATTCAAAATTCAACATTTAGATCTGTACGTCCTTTTTTAAGAGCTCCAAGACTTGAAACAACACACAAAAGAAAACAAAAACCAGCAAATAGAAAGCGTATTTTATAATTTCCTTGTACATATTGTTTATTTAATTATTTGTAAGCGAGAGACACACACAAAAACATTTTCTATGCAACTTAAAGAAGAGAAGCTGAAGAAGCAGAAGCATATTTCTCAACAAATAGGAATGAAAATAAATTTGATTTATTATTTACATTTAATGAACTATAGCTATTTTTCACAAGCTGAAGCAAATAAATTATACCAGTTATCATACAAACAACAAAAGCCAGTCGTCTGTCTCTCTGTTGCAAATTTGAATCTAGTTTCCCGCTGCAGCCCAGCACTCCGGTATTTCTGGGGCGTTATGGGCACGCGGCTGACCTCCGGAGCGCTCGATGCGTCGCGGGTCGAGCGTAACCGTTGCGCCAAAAGGCAACCAAGGATGGCTGCAAAACAATTAAAAGCACGCAGCGCGCACCTCCAGCGTCTAATTACAAATTGGAGTCATTGAATTTATTAAAATCGGCCGCGTAAATTGTGCAGCAATGCACTTGAGACACGCGAGCGATATTGTGGGCCATCGGCGCTTCTTGGCTCTCATTACTCGGTCATAACTCACTGCGCCCGTCCGGTTCAAGTATCCCTAACGTAGCCTCTGCCAAAGCCTATCCTATGCCCATAAAGCCCAGTCGGTCGACCTGGCTCTGGAAATATAATTGCTTTGCTCAGCTGCAGCAGGCAGTCCAGCCGGCAGGAACTCCTCAATCCGCGAGGTTGGAGTGCTTGTTACAAGTAAGTAATTTACAAGCCAGAAGAGCTCTTCACGTCAAGTTATAGCCAATCTTTGCTAGCGAACAGTGAAATTAATGCTTCCGTTTACTGCTGTGCTCGCCCTTAAATCATTCCTGGTTTGGTAGGTTCCTAAGAAGCTTCTTTTCAAGTATTCAACTTTGGGAATTAATATTTTTTTTTAATATTTACTATATGTAATGCAGATTTATTAACATAATCCAAGCTAACACAAAACAGAAATGAATGATTTTCTGGTTTAGTTTTGAATTAGAACTCTATCGAATGGATGGTATTGCCAACTGCAAACATGCTTCCCTAGTTAACTTCTCTTCTAGTTTTATTTAACAACTTTTTGATCTCTAAAATTATAAAGAAGTATTAATTATTCTTTAACCTTGCTTGATATTTGGCAAGAGTTCAATCAAACTTCTAAAAAACTGTCATTGAAATTGTCAAAAGTTAAAAACAAATATATAATTTGTATTATTTTTTATGTTAATCCTAAAGAAGATAAATATTCTCCCCAAACTTTTTTTTAAACAAACTTTTCGCTTCAAGAATTTTAAAAAGCTTTAGATATGACTTGTATAGATAAGGAAATTATACTTTTTTTAGTTGGCACCCTTTATCCACTGTTTTTCAATCGTAAATATCAAATTTTAAACTTCTTAGTATTTATATGTATTAAGTAAAATCACAATTCATGGAGCTGCTTTACCTAGACAGCGTATTGTTCCTTTGTTTCCTGATGTTGCTGCAGCTTTAATGTTTATTCCTTACTTTTAGAATCCCGTTTTCAACAGCAAAAAATCCAAAATTTCATTGGTAATCTGGTTGACAGCCTTTAATAGATAGTATTTCAGTTTTACTTTAACATTTTCAGCTTAATAAACTAATTGGAACTTTTCTTGGAACTCCTGTGCTCTGGTTATGAATATGCTTGGGCTAGCACTAAACTAATTGGCCCGTATGACAAACGATGTGCTTAATACTAATATGAATTCACACTTGTAGCGTGTCACTTCCCCTCTATGTGGCGATGGGAGTGGGAGCAGCTGCCTCCGGCTCGGCTGCCTTCTCCCCGTTGCCGTTCTGGACCTTGGAAGCCGGCAGATCCTTGACGCCGGTGGAGCCGAATCCACCTTCTCCGCGCTCAGTGTCCTCCAGCTTGTCGACCAGCTCCAGCTCCGGATAGAAGATGCGCTCGCAGATGAACTGGGCGATGCGGTCGCCGCGCTTCACCTCGAACTCCACGTCCGAGTGGTTGAACAGCACGACGCCCAGGTTGCCACGGTAGTCCTCGTCCACCACGCCGGCTCCCACGTCGATGAAGTTCTTCACGGCCAGACCGGAGCGTGGGGCCACGCGTCCGTAGGAGCCCTCGGGCACCTGGACCTGCAGGTCGGTCTTCACAACGGCCTTGCCTCGTGCCGGCACCACAATGTCGTAGGCGCTGCGCAGGTCCACGCCGGCAGCCTTGGCGGATCCACGCACCGGCTCCAGGGCCTGCTCGGTCAGCTTGGCAAATCGCAGGACGCACTTGTCGATCTTCATCTTCTTGGCAGCTGGAATATCGTCGGCAATGGGTGAAGGCATCTTGGCAAGGGGGGTTTTGTTGGTAAAGATTGAGTATATACGGCTGCACTTCCACTTACTCGCAAAAATTTTAGTTTTCTGAAAAAGGCGCGAATTGCCGGCGTCTAGAGATGCCAATTTAGCTTTATTGTACGCTAGAGCTGGCGGTTGTACGAAACTAGCGGTTAGCGGGAATTATAGCTATTTTCCATGCAAAATTGTCGTTTCTTAGCTACTTAAAAACATCGTATTTTTATGATTTACAACTCCACACTTAAAAAATTCAATTAAATTAACCCATTAAAATTTATCCAAATATAACTTCTTCAAGAAAAATTATATTATAAATTTTATATATATTTTTTAGGACTCCATTAAGGTGATAAATCTATCTACGGAATAAATACATCGAAACCAAGAATTAAGATTATTATTAATAATTATTATTTTTTAATAATTTAATAACGCAGAAACTATAGTGAATGCCCGGTCTGGCATCTCAGTTCTCTTGTGAACAAAAAGTCTGGCAAGGCTGTTTGATCTTGCGACCAGTGCTGCCAGTGTGAAAAATCAGCGGCGCAGATCACCCACTTTTTCCGGCAGTGTGGCAGCATTATCGAATTTTAAAATAAATTCTTAAAAACTGATTAAAATAAATGATTCCTTGACTTAGAAAAATATTATTTTGTATTATAAAATCGGATTTTTTAAATTAAAAAAGTCTTAATATTTTTAATTTAAAAATATCATAACTCGGCCAAAAGAGCATTAATTTTAAATCGGAAAACTGTTCTGTGCAAGATTTTCTACAGTTAATAAATCTGCATACTTCATTTAGAAATTTTGAAAATTCAATTTTTTTATCAAAATTAAAAATTTTAATGATGTAACCCCTTATAAAATTTTGGAAAAATGGCCAAAAAATCGATTTATTCCTGAAATATCTAGAAAGATTCCCCTGTTAATGCTGATCAAGAATATATATACTTTATAGGGTCGGAAACGTCTCCTTCACTGCGTTGCAAACTTCTGACTGAAATTATAATACCCTGCAAGGGTATAAATATTTAAAGAATTTGCATATTTGCATATTTCAAATCTTTTTAGAGCATAATATTGCCTTAAAAACTAGTGATCGCCAATAGTCAGTCATATATATTGCGATTTGCTATTTAAGTCCTAATTAATTAATAATCAAGCCAACAACAAATTTAAAAATTGTAGAAAGCCTAATTTAGACCTCGGCTCCCCGAAGTTAGCTTTCCCTCTTCATCGAAAAAGACATAGACTTTGAAGAGTTTTTAATCTAGTTATTGGAAAGAAAAACCGTTTGGCTCATTTTTGACTAGCTGTGATTTATTACACATAAATATATATGGGTTCACATAAAAGTTGAGCCTTAGACTATCGCAGAGTCCGAAGATACCGAAGCGAATCGGACGATCTCATTTGGTACTGGGCTTGGTGTGTATTGTGCAAGTCTCGGGTTAGTTTCTCTCTATTGCTGGTGCCAAAATAAATATTGCTTAAGCCTAGGTAAGAGTAAGATAAGATAAATAGAACAGAAGGATTGCAGGCCTAAATGCAATGCGACAACAGAAATGGCAATCGATGGTGCCTTCATAATTGCACAGTGCCCGAAACTCAACCTCCGTCTTGGTCCACCACATGCGGTTCTAGTCCCATTCCCGTACTTCAGTTGTTGGTGTGGGTGTAGTAGAGAACGGTATTGCCGGGCAGCTGCCAGTGGGAGGCCTTCAGCTCAATTAGCTGGAGAAGAGTTCGCCGGATGGGCGCTGCCGAATCTCCGGCATTGAGGAAGGCATCGCGAACGAGACCCATTAGTAGTTCCAGCTGCTGGGGTAGTTGCTGCTCCATGTCCTGGCCGATGCAGGTGAGCACATAGAACAGACACTCAATCTAAAAAACGAAAAAGAATTACAATATTTCTGAACCTAGTAAAGTTCGAAATAGATTCCCACCTCTGAGAGCGACCTTATGGGTGCACGTACGCAATCCTCACAGCACTTGGATAGCAGACTGAGCAAAACCAGGGGTGGGGGTGTGCCCTCGTTGTGAGTCCGCAACTGAAGCTGGCGCCGCTTCAGCTGGCAAAACATCTCCGTGAGAAAGGCCATGAAGGCGGTAAACCGAACACGAGAGGGCGACTTCATGCCTTGGATGGCAAATAGCAGCTACGGGCATTTAAATAAGGGAAATATTAAGGCTTTTGTTATACCCTACCCCATATAATAAACTTACCTTCTCACGCTCCTGATACCACTGACGGCATGTGTTGAGTAGCGCCTCCAAGAATGTCTCTTTCTGCTCACGGGCGATGATGTTCAAGCACAGACGCGAGATGGGCAGGGCGAAACGACGACTCTCCACCGCCCGTTTAATGAACTGCGAGGTCAGCTCCATCAGACAGCGCGAATTCAGCTTATTAGGGTCCTCCAAAGCCGTGTCAATCAGCGCCTGGATCTCGGGCGTGAACTGTCCAATATCGGCCACCTCGTTTCCCAAGCCCAATCCCAATCCGGCCATGCCCCGGGTGAGAGCATCCGCCGACGACAAAGACTTGGATCGTTGCAGCGAATTTCCATTCATGTAGGGATCCACTTCGATGCCATTCATGTGCGACTGATAAGGCTGTCCGTAGTTGTGGTTGAGCTGACCAAACTGGTTGTGGGTGACCTTGTGACCCCTGGGCTCAGGAGCAAACTTCACACGGTTTGTTGTCTGGAATGCACAAGGAAAATGCTCATAAACAAAATGAACTAATATTTATGTTATGTGGACCCTCAGCTCACATGCAGTATATTGCCGCTGGAGGGCGAGTTCATGAGCGGCAGCTGACCGGCCAGGGCGCTGGGACTGATTGGATGCGTCACCAAGATCGAGCGATGATGGCTGGCCTTCAGCCCCGGCATGTTGCCTAGCGAGAGACCGGCCTGGCGGCGATTCACGTTGCCGTACTGACCCAGCGCCGGAGCCACACCGGGACCATTGGTGGGCGGGAAGATCAGCGACGAACTGGAAGAATGTTGTAGACTGTAGTTTAGCTCTGCAAAAAGACGGGAAGAGGGGTAAACGATGGCATTAAAAGACTTTGCATTACCGATTGCTGAGTGCTTCGGCCGGTGCCCCGGAGCTGCTGGTCATTGTGAACTCCTGGGCATTGACGTTAAGCTTGTTGGCGGTGCAAACGGCAGCACCGTTCGCCCCACTGGCACCACCACCGCCGCCACCAACTGGAGCAGCCAGCTCTCCACGTACATCTGAGATAGGGTGTTATATAGGTACATATTTGGGTGTGGGGATCGGGATACCCAAGGGTTTAATGTGATGATGGGGGGCAGGACAACGTTGTGTGTAGGGGTGGAATGTACAGTGTATGAGACAGAGATATGAAAAGAATCAAAAGAAAGATATGGTCTCAGTAAGTAATCTATGGAACTGATAGGCTTGCGGCTGAAAGAGCAGAAAACCAAAGCTGAGCTGGTCAAAAGCTGACTGAAAGCGAAGCTTTAGAACTAATATCGGAGAAGACTTTGCGATGGAAACGGATTCCAATAACGATTCAATTTAAAAGTATGTCTATATCACAGATTTGTAAATTTAGTTTCTACAAAAGAACCTTGTGCATTTAATTTAGTAAGTTCACCTTCCTGATCAAGATGCATCCATCCAAGAGTGAAACCGATAGGTTTATGTCACTTGGTTCTGTGACAAATTAATTATCACCACGAAAGTTTGATCGTTTTCAAAGGCTTCTTTTAATTGCACTAATCCCCGCCAAGCAACCAAGCAGAGAGGAAAAGGTATAATGAGCGACTAAGAAAATAACTTACTGGGCGGTCTGTATATATCCATGGCTGGCTTGCCCCTCATCTGTCCCGTCTGATTGCCAGGAACATTAAACGCCAGACTGCGGCGCTTGTTGATATTCTGAAACCGCAGACGAAAATATGGTTACTTTTTGATATGGATATCTCATCCCATATGGAAGGCGGCAACTCACCTGTTGATTCGATGTGCGCACAAAGCTGCGTTCCCTGGAGATAACGCCGGGAATAACAGGCTGAAATTCGGGTGACTTTCGCACCTTGCGGGGATCGTTCTGCTGCCCGATCAGGCTGGCCTGGGCGTGCTCGACTTTCTCGGCCATGGTCTTGGTTCTCGAGGTGCAGTTTCTGCTCTGTTTAGCTAAACTTAATTGAAGATGAAAGCCTAATCTTTGGTAGATTACCTCCGGATAATCGTTATACAAACTGGGATTCCGTGGAATAAACGTCTAAATTTGCGGCTTCAGTATTTGAGTAAATTTGTACATATCACAATAGTTGATTTCCTTTCTTTCCTTTCTTTATCGAGTTGAATTGCCTCCTTAATACGATGTCAGGGATGTGTGCTCCCTTTGTGCAGATTGCTGGGTCTGGAAATCGAATTGAAATTAGTTATGGGAAGCCAAAGCTTCAGCCCTGAGCCAAGCCCAAAACATGTTCACCTACTCATACATCAAGTAGAGATACGCAAAAACTGTTTACCCAAGCCGAGAGAGCGGAGCTCAACTACTTGATCGGATCTCTTCGAGCAACCGGCTCCAATGGACGAGCGTAGGAGTTGCATCTGGTTTGGGGCTAGAGCACTTCGTCTCCGAGCATGACATCAGCCCCCGAGTAATTCTTATTTAGCGGCCCACAAGGAGTCCGGAGCAAGTGGCAGCGGAAGATACACACAATAAACTACAGTCGGAACTCACTAAGTAAAAATTCTGTTTAATTACTTTTTTAATTTTATGAAATGGTGTTAAAACCAAAAAACACCATGGAACAAAGATTTTATAAAGGCAAATAATAAGATATATAAACAATAAGCTATGATTAAAATTTAAACTCAGCTCATAGCACTTTAATCTCGATCTTATTATGAGTTCGTCTTAGGCAGCCCTCCCAGTAGGTGACTCTTTCCACAACTATTTGAACTTGCCTCGTTAATTACTCTCATTTTGATACTTTCAGGGCAGATTAGCAAACAGATTTTTGTACGGAATAAGCTGGGCCTGGCTAGGTGAATCATCCATATACACTCACCTTTTGGTGCAAAAGTGTTGTGTTCTCCAAATTGTTTCGTTGCTGCTGTTTCTGCTTGAGCTTTTGTTTATCTATCTCTCACAATAGAGTGTATATAGATAGATGGATTTGTTTGTGCGATGCGTTGCGTTTGTTTTCGTCGATTCGATTGTTGGTGGTGCTGCAGCTCAGTTGTTCGTATAAAGATATTTATCTACTTCGTAGATACGCTCTTTCGTGTCTCGTTTAATCATTCTTGGCATGCGCGCCAAGTCGAGCCATAAGCAGTGCCGAAGCGTTTTTAATTAATATTTTGAAGCGGCGGCAATTCCGATATTCCTTCCTTTCTGCCTTCCTGCCGCTTTTGGATGGCAGCGGCTCTTCAGATACAGATACAGATACAGATGCGGATACAGTGGCGCTCGCACACACGCTCAGTGATCACAATTGGTGGTGTTGTTGCTGCCGCTGCTGGGTGCGAGCGAGAGGTCGCGTTGAGTCGTGGGGGTGAGCGGGTGGCTCCGTTAAGTATACGCACCGTGGATGTCGTCTATTTTCGGTTTGTTGCTTTGTGCTGCTCGTTCTCGGCTCGTTGTGCTCGTCAATTGTTACAGTTACAGAGTTCTCCGTATTGTTTTTGTTTTATTTTTGTGTTTTGTTCGCGTTATTTTCGTTCGTTTCTTTCTGCGTGATTTGCTCTCCTTTCATGCAGATCGCTCGCTATATAGTTCTTGGTCGGATTACTCACAGGTACACATACGGGTCACTACACACATACAGGGGATTATTATTATTAATTCTTGCTTATATGTTTATATGTACAGTTTTTCATGTTTTGCCTGCACGCGCCGTTTTGTTTTTGCCCGACTTGTGCGCCGTATTCTTTGGCAATTGCCAAAAACTGCTCACATGTGCCGCATCTATATTTTTAGTATATGACAGCCCGCTGGGAGAGGGATGACTGTATACAATGGATACACCTACACCTACAGCCATAGACGTAGCATATATGCAGTTGGCGTTCCTTCCGTTTCCGCTAGAAAACAACAAAACAGCTCAAAGAAAATAACAAAAAAAACCGAACAAGAGTCTATTTCATATTATTGGCCCGATTTATTTAGCATTTTAGTGGCTGCGGCGGCAATATGATTTCCGCTGGCAAACAGTTTGTCTATTTTTAAATAGAATTCGGCTTGCCTCAAGCAAGAATTCTTCGGGGGGAAAACTTATGTACTCTCGGCATGAATCACATAATGGCAAGCGGATTCCTATTCCGATTCCGAATAGAAGGGATTGTGGATTGGATTCTGCACACACTGCGCACTTAATTATAGAACATAGATTGCGACTCGCTTCCCCCAAGTTGGGCGGTTACATTTACATGGATATTGGTGGAGACACGGTAGTTAGGCGGGGTATATCTATTTGTCAATGTACGCTAGACACTATTTATGTATGTATGTAGGTTCGCACGTATGTATGGATGTGAGTAACGCTGCTGCTGCTGGCTACTACACTGGGCGCAGGCTTTAACTTAAAAATTAAATCATCGGCGCGAGCGATCAGTTGAAGACTAAAGACGTGATGAATCGCCACCGACGTCGCGATGGCAGCCGAACCGAAAGCTCTCCAAAACAGTGCAGCTCTCTCGGCGCTGCCTCTCTTTGCAGCACACAAACAAATGAAACTCGTGGGAAATGGCAAGAGCGATCAACTCCGCTCCGCAAGGGTTGTCGAGTGTTCCAAACTGACCCACCACCACTACAGATCGACAGATCGATTTTCGTACACAAATGTAATTAATCCTTATACATAAACAAAGTGGTTAATTCGATACAAAACATTCTTACAGAGACGGAAACTACATAAAACAGAAAACATGAATCAACGGAACAGAAAACTTTGTAGCCGTCTGGCTTTTTGTGGAAATGTGCTGGGTTGCTAGTAAAAACAGCTGTCGTCTTAACGGAGGAAAAACTTCCTTAATAGATATTTATGGCCCATTGCGGGCAGACCTCCGACCATATCTAACTATCCTTTAGTACAAATATAAGATAAGATAAATACAATTGTTTTCTAAAATAACTAAAAAGGTTCAAACATGATTTCTGTTAGCGGAAGGAAGTGCTTGCCCAGAATATAAATACGAAAGTGTGGTCCTGGACGAGGCCTATTTCTGGGGCGAGGTTATGGAGTTGCTTAGCGAATTGTTGAGCTGCTCCTCCTGGTCCTTGTCCAGTCCAAGGGCTGTGGTTAGCAGCTTGACCACGCACCGCTGTTCGTGCACCTCACCCTTTTCGGTGGACGTGATGTCCTTCTCCAGCTTTAGCTTCTCTTCGGCGGACATCAGTATGCCCTCCTCAATGGTGCTCTCGGATATGAGGCGGTAAATGGTCACAGGACGCTGCTGGCCCATGCGGTGACAACGATCCTCAGCCTGCTTATCGTTATACGGATTGAAGTCGATATCGTGAATAATGCAGGTGTCGGCGGCAGTCAGATTGATGCCTACGCCGCCCGCCTTGGTAGAGAGCAAGAACACGAAGATATTGTCGTCCACATTAAAGTCGGTGATCAGGTCCTGACGCTCCTTTACCGCCGTCGAGCCATCGAGGCGACAGAATCCGTGCTTTCTTATCCGCAGATACTCCTCCACAATGTCCAGCATCATGGTGAACTGGCTAAAGAGCAGCACCCGGTGACCCTCTTCCTTCAACCTTGGAAGAAGCTCATCCAAGTACTCGAATTTCCCGGAATCGCATATTAACTGGTCGGGTATCTTAACGTCAAACAACTCCTGTTGGGAGAAGAATATTAGCAAGCGATCTTATGTAAGTATATGGGGGATACTAACGTATCTGTGGCATAACTGATAGACTTGGAAGTCCGACATTATGGCCAACTCCTCAAAGATATACTGCTCATTGGTTTTCTTGTAGGAACTGCAATTGGCCAGGCGCTTAGAGAACTCGCGCAGATTCTCGTCGGTGAAATAATGACGCATCAGAAGTGGATGGTTTGCAATGCGACGCATCTCCATCATGATCGTCATAGCGGCGCGATCGCTGCTGCTGCAGATCTCGCCCTTGTTATTAGAATAATACTCGACCAGATCATGATAGTACTGCTTCTGTTGGTTGCTCATGGATACTTTTTCCTGTAAGTCCATACAAGTTAAAGACTTCGCCATCAAGGCTCTCGATTAGACTTGCTTACCACGAGGCTTAGCTTCTTGGGCAGGTTATTGAGGACATCTTTCTTGAGGCGCCGGAGCACAAACGGTTTCATTATGCGCTTTGCCCGCTGGATCTGTGTCTCCTGGAACTGTGACACCTCCTCTTGATCACCATCGGTTTTGCTTTTCTGCAATGGAAACAACATCAAATCAATCCATTCGGTTTGCTTTTCCGTAAAGTAAGGCAGGGACGCACCTTGGCAAACAAAGTCTTGATGTCCTCGATCCTTTTGGCAAAGAACTTCGGCATCACAAAGCACAATAGAGAGATCAACTCCAGCAGATTGTTCTGCAGCGGTGTGCCAGTGAGGAGGATGCGGCTCCGGGCATTGATGGTGATGAGATTAGCATACCGTTGCGTGGTCATGTTCTTGAGCATGTGTGCCTCATCGAAGATTACATAGTCTAGCCGGCAAACGCGGAACATTTTCCTTTCCTCGGGCGTCGAGCCGACAATGTGATAACTGCCAGTTAAATGGTATTAATTGCAGGCAGGAATCTCTGGAATCTCTGCGATTTACTCACGTAGTTAGCAGGACATCGAAGCCTGAAAATCCGTCTTTAGCATAGCGCGCCCGCATCCTTCGGCGCTCATCTTGCGAACCGTGATACTTCTCCACAACCAGATTGGGACACCAGCGGCTGATCTCCGCCTCCCAGTTATCGAGCGTAGAAGAAGGCACCACAATTAGGTGGGCCCCCTGGCTAAGACTGTTCTCCTTGAGGTAAGCCAGGAATGCGATCACCTGAATGGTCTTACCCAAACCCATTTCGTCGGCCAAAATGCCATTCATCTCCTGCCTGTGCATCACCGTGAGCCAATTGAGTCCAATGATCTGGTAGTCAGCTAATTGCAAACTGCAACAGAGTTGTCCGCGTAAGGATATCAGAAACAATGCAGCTTCCTAATCAGCACTCACCCGCTGCTGAGGATTTTGGGCTGCTCCACAATGCCGGCACCAGTGGAGATGGCCTTCTCCAGGCGCGACACCATGTTGTTACATTTGCTCAGAATGGTGGCCACGGTATTTTGCTTGTTGATCAGATCCTGGGCGTAGTTAAGCAGGTCTCCTGAAAACTTATTACTCTCCAGCTTCTTTCGCAATCCGGCCCAGTCCTCAAAGGGCCGCAGCTCAATGATAGCTGTTGCCTTCTTTTCTGAAAGTGTCTTAACACTTTGCAACTCTAGAAGTGTAGCCTCGTTCATGAACTGGAACACCTTCTTACGCTGTCCTGTCATCTTGCTGGCCATCTCGCTGTCGCTGTCATCGCTGTCGTATACTTGATCCTTGCCTTGCTTGACATCCTCGTCGTCCGAGTAGTCGTTATCAGAGTAGCTGCCGTGGGAAGTGCCACTGATCCCATTCGAGCTCGGCTTCAGCTTTGGTTTAACTAGTGGTCCATTGGCGCCTTGGATCTTGGGCTTGCAGTTCTCGCGCAGGTACCGCACAGAGGCGGCCACATCCCAGTTGGTCCGGGAGAGTGACTCTTGAATTGCCTGTGGCAATAAGAGATTATAACCAAAGATATATATTATATTGTTTACATATATAATTTACAAACAAATTAGTTTGTAAAATATTTTCGGACAACTAAATCGGTTTTAAAATTGAGGTAGGTAAGTTCAGTGCGTGAGGGTTGTTCTTTCTTTACACCCCTGTTAGCGACGCCCCTGGCCACAGACAGCTGTTCGCAATGCCGGGTCCCGAATCCAATCGCCATGTTCCACACGCACACACACACGCACCCAGATGCTGATGGAGAAGACGCGCGCTTCCCGCCCCCGCAACCGATTCCATACCCGCTTCCTTTTTCACGCCGGATCACAGCACTGTAAGAAATATAAAACTTACCATCGTGTCGTACTGTGGCGAAATTTTTGCAGCTGCCATGTACCGCTCCTCCTTCTCTTTGACGGTCAGCTCCAGCTTGGTCTTCTTGGGAGTCTGGCAGTCGGCACTGTCGCTGTCACTGTCGGCCATTACCGAAATACGCTTCTTGCCGGGCACGCGCTCTGAAAGGGGAGGAAGCCGCAGTTAGAGCCGGAATATCCTGTGTATGCAAGCTCTGACGTTACCAGTTTTCGCAGGATATGGTGAGGAGGCGGCGCCTTTGTTGATGCGAAATTGCCGTAAGTCGCTGAGGCTCGACTTGGTCGGCGAGGACGTGGGCGCGGGGTTGTCCGACATCGTGGGGCAAGGAGAGTCACTACCTGGCTATTCGTCCTTATTCAAAAATTGTGTTTGCAAAGTCCTATGATCGTGAGCTAGTATTTGCCAGTTGTTAGAGCTGACTCTAAAAGCGATAAATGCAACGATGTTGGCATTTTTTTCTGACAGCAATGGTTTATATCGATATTCAATAGTGATGAGCACGGATTTTCTAGAGGACAATAACTCTCCTTTTAAAAGCTAGCTTATTTTATTATATAAGATTTTGCCTTTTATAAACTCTGACAAATATAGGTTTGTATCGGCCTTGTTAAATAGCGGGACTTAAGTGCTAGGAGACAAACAGAACCAGCGGAATAAAGCTAGAGAACCACCTCTAGCACAGATGCGTCACACGTGCCATCGATTAATCGCAGCCCCGGTGCGGCAATCGGTACTCAGCGAATTGCAACCCTTCGTTTTTTTCGCTTGGCTCTCGTAGGTTAATTAAACACTTTTGCGAATAAAACGCCATCTAAATCGAGGACGCACCGAGAAACTAGCAATCATGGCTGGCGGCAACACCCCGCGTGTGATCCAGGTGACCAACATTGCGCCGCAGGCCACCAAGGACCAGATGCAGACGCTGTTTGGAAACATCGGCAAGATTGAGGAGATCCGCCTGTACCCCACCATCCGGGATGTCTCCTGCCCCGTGCAGTCGCGCATCTGCTATGTGAAGTACACGGAAACCAACAGTGTGCCGGTAGCCCAGCACCTGACCAACACGGTGTTCATCGACCGCGCCCTGATTGTCATACCTGTGCTGGCCATTCCTGAGGAATACCGCGCCCTGGAGATGCTCAAGAATGGCACCATTGTACCTGGTCTCCAAAAACCCGATTCTAAGCTGCCGCCGGAGGTGATCAACCGTATAGAGGGCCAGCTGCCGCAGCAGGTCATCAAGACCTATGACCCGAAGCTCGTGGAGTTCAATCTCCCGGAGTACCCGGCTCTGCCCTCATTCTATGACGCCCGCAAGATCGAGGAGATCCGACGCACCATCATAGTGTGCGATGTAAAGAACGAGTGGCGCCTGGACGACCTGATGGACTGCTTCCAGCGCGCCGGCGAGGTGAAGTACGCTCGGTGGGCCGAAAAGGACAACAAGACGTACTGCATGATCGAGTTCTGCGAACAGACCAGCATCATCCACGCACTGCGCATGCAGGGCCAAGAGTTCAAGGGCGGCTACCTGAGCGTCTACCACTCAACCTATTCGATTACCAAACCGGAGGCCAAGTCGAATGAGGCCGCGCAAGCAGAGATTGAGGAGGCGATGACTATTGTGAAGGAGGCGCAGAGTATGATCTCGGCAGCCATTGACCCGGTGATCGGAATGCTTGCCAAGGATAAGCGCCGTAGGTCCCGCTCTCGCTCGCGCTCTCGGGAACGTCGTACCAGTCGCTCCCGCTCGCACCGCTCAACGTCCAGACGGCGTTCCAGGCGCTCCGGCTCAAGGGAGCGTCGTAGCGTATCCCGTTCCCGCCGCTCACGGTCGCGCGGTAAGCACTCATCACGATCCCGCAGCAAGCGGTCGAGATCCCGCCATCGTCGCAGCACCTCGCGCTCTAGGAGATCACGTTCCCGCGGCGGCAAGCACTCGCGCTCCTCCAGGTCGCGTGGCAAACGCTCGAGGTCCCGTCATCGTCGCAGTACCTCTCGTTCCCGCCGCTCCCGGTCCCACGGAGTCGCAGTGGCACCCAGTGGAAACGGTAAGCGTTCCCGATCCCGCGAGCGCAGCAAGAAATCACACCGCAGCGAGAAGCGCTCCTCACGTTCACCCCGCTCCAGGAGCAAGCGCAGTTCCCCATCGCCGCCGCCGGTAGTCACCAGCACCAAGTCACGGTCCAGCCGCAGCAAGGACTCGGCCCTCGCCACATCCAAGTCCTCATCCTCACGACGACGCGACCGCTCACGCTCTGCGGAAACACGGAAACTTAAATCCATCTCCGAGGACACTGAGGCGAAGAGCTCGCGCTCCAGCGCCGATTCAAAGTCACGCAAGTCGGTGAGCGTCGAGAAATCGGACAATATGGACATCTCCAACTCGCCCTAGACATATAGAGATTACCCATTACTTTAAAATAAAAACAGAACTTAAGTCACGCCGTCTGCATTACAGCCCGATTTCCCATTGGCCACAACAATATTTGTATTTCACTCTCAAAGTGTCCTAGTTCCCAAGCATAAAGTCTACTCCTAAATCAGCATTTTCGCATTCTTAACTCTAGAAAAACCCTTGAAAAATACACAATAAGCTAAATAATTGTATGTTTTATTTGGATTGCGAATCTGGTGAAATAGATCTGGCACGGAACTTGCTACGGGCTAAGTTTTCAGGGAGTAATGGCAGCTATCTTATCTTCTAATTCTTTTTATTGATTTTAATAAATAGAATTATTTGATCACTAAACTTTCAAGAAAGAACCTTCAATATAATTTTTACATGTTCTTATTTCTCGTTTGCACTAATACTTCAATTATAAAAGAAATCATGCAATCAGAATATTGGGTATTTTAAGATTTCCTTTTAAAGAAAAGTAGATTGACAAAAAATATTGTGGTTTTACTTGGGCTATGGTTATTTTCTCTCTGTGGATCCAACAGCTGAAGGTTTGCTGCGAGGGAGGGCTTGTCTGTTTCGTTGCTGTGGAAGCTTTCGAAAGCAACGCCAGCCGGCAAGAGGTAACGAGAGTCCAAAGAGCTTTCATCCAATAATATGTCGGCGGCGGCAACGAGTCGCGACCAGAAGTCGAAAGTTATAGCACCGCAGTAGTCGCTTTTCGCTTGCCTTAAGCTACATATATTTTATTTTTACCATAAGTAAGAAGTGAATAAGTCCGCAAAATGTCTGCTGCTACAAAAGGTATATAATCGTGACTCCCCGTCCTTCTGGGTATTAAAGGATGCTTGCGGCTGAGATGCAAAATGATCGTATCTAGTGGGTCTGAACTTTGGACTTGTTGATGTCTTATCTGATGCTATCCCCCGCGCTCAGCCGGTTGCACTTTGGACCTGTTGAATCGAAAACAAGAGTCCGCCTTAGTTAATTGCTATTTTAGCTATCACTCTTGTCTACGCACATTAGACACATGTATGTTCTATATTTATGTATATTTGTGTTCTATATAAGGTATCTATATTGTGGCTGCCAAGCGCACGGCCTTTGGCACTTTCGGTGGCTCCTTGAAGGGCATTAACCAGACCCAACTCCAAACCACGGCGGCAAAGGCTGCTCTGGATGCTGCCGGGCTAAAGGGAGAACAAGTGGACACCGTCATCGTGGGTAATGTGATTGCGGTGAGTTCGATAAATATTTACATAAAAAGCTTACAGACTATTAAATAAAATAAATGTAATAAATAATTAAAATATAACAATAAACAGATAATATTAAAGTTAACTGTGAAATTAAACATATTCTAAAATTCTTCTGTTTCCCTCAGTCTTCCTCCACAGATGGTATTTACGTTCCCCGTCATGTGGGTCTTAACTGCGGCGTGCCCATCGAGAAACCCGCCTTGGGCATCAACCGCCTGTGCGGTTCGGGCTTCCAGTCGATCGTGAACGGAGCACAGGACATTCTGGTTGGCGCTGCCAAGATTGCGCTCACCGGCGGAGTGGAGAACATGTCCCAGAGCCCGTTCATCGCCCGCAACATCCGTTTCGGCACCACTCTGGGAGCCAACTATAACCTTGAGGACGCTCTGTGGGCTGGACTCACCGACACCTATTGCAAGCTACCCATGGCTCTAACCGCCGAGAATCTGGCCGATCAATACAAGATCTCTAGGGAGCGCGTGGACGAGTTCTCGCTGCTCTCCCAAAAGAATTGGGAGAAGGGCCAGAAAGAGGGCGCCTTCAATGCCGAGATTACCCCTATCAAGCTGAAGGTCAAGGGCAAGGAGGTAGACTTCGTGGTGGACGAGCATCCGCGTCCCAAGACCACTATTGAGGGTCTGAACAAGCTGCCCTCTCTGTTCAAGAAGAACGGAGTGGTCACGGCCGGAACTGCCTCTGGTATCTGTGACGGAGCTTCAGCTGTGATTGTGGCTTCTGAGGAAGCTCTCAAGGAGTATAACCTGACGCCTCTTGCCCGGCTGGTGGCCTTCTCTTTTGTGGGCGTGAAGCCAGAGATCATGGGCATTGGTCCCGTGCCTGCCATTCAGAATGTCCTAAAGGTTTCTGGCAAGAAACTGGAGGATATTGATCTAATTGAGGTACCAAATTGTATATAACGATAAATTTTAGCACATCTCAACAATTTTCCTTCCAGATCAACGAAGCCTTTGCTGCCCAGACTCTGGCCTGTGCCGATGCCCTGAAACTAGATCCCTCGAAACTTAATGTCAATGGCGGAGCCATTGCTCTGGGTCATCCCCTGGGCGCCAGTGGCTCTCGCATCACTGGACACTTGGTGCATGAGTTGCAGTAAGTTTTCTCCTATAGATTTGATAGCTTGAAATCTTTTACCAATATGCGTGTTACCCGCTTCATTCCAGGCGCAAGAAGTTGAAGTACGGCATCGGATCTGCCTGTATCGGAGGTGGTCAGGGCATCGCTCTGCTGTTGGAGGCTGTATGAGAGAGTTGATCCACCTCGAACTCAACCTGCATTTACATTTAAAATTAGTGCTGAAAATTCCCTGCTTTTAAACATCCCTCGATAGTAATAAAGCGATTATTTAACTTTACAATTTATTAAATCATCTGCGTATGGAAGTTGATCAGCTTTCTACAAGAAAGACAACAAGTTTGTGTTTACACTATAAAATTGCTATGTTCGCGCTGCTGGAAATGCTGGTCGGCATGGGACTGGAGGATGAAGAACGGACCGGTGCCACACACGACCGATGAACGGAATTCTTGCCCGCTGTCCAAGGGAATCTCTTAAAGGGCCTTACATTACGAGTACATGAACATGGCAAGTCATGAAGGGATGTTTGTTCAGTTCGATTGGGCGCTGGTGGAGAAGAGCGCCAGGGCGCCGCTGGCGATGCCCACCGAAAAGATGTAGTTAACGAACGGCGTGGAGTTCTTCAGCAGGAAGAAGCTGATGAAGATAATCACGGCCAGGTAGATGGCGTTGTTGTAGAAGATAGCGAAGGTGGTGGCCTCGTAGTCGGCCACCTCGTTCTTCTTCCACAGAATGCGCTCGTCCTTCTCCTTGCGGGTCACCTTCTTGTCGTCGCCCACCTGACGGTTCACCTCGCGGGTAACGGCCTCCTCCCTGCGTCCGGCGATCTTGTGCTTTAGCTGGAACTTGATGTTCTTGTAGGCGGTGGCCATCAAGTAGGTGCTAGCGGCAGTCACCAGCACGAACAGGATGGAGCTGGGCCACAGGTCCATGTTGTGGATGCGCCAGAAGAGCCCTGCAAAGCCCCATGTTCATTCATCAAGGGTCCGAAACTATCAACGTGTCACTATACTCACAGATTGGCACAGCGGACACGATGAAGGCATTGCCGTAAAACAGCGCCGAGGACTTGGTGCTCACGTTACGGCTAAAATCCTGCAGGAGCAGCTCCTCCTCTTTGGTGAATCCAGAAGATTGCACTTTTTGTTGCTTTCCTGAGCCCATTTTCAGTTAAGTTTTAGTAGAGAAAGTTGCTGGAGCGTAGTCGAGGCGAACACCGAATCAAAATGTACACGAATGCAAGAATGGCAGTCGCTGTCGGCACCGAATGTGACGTGTAAACGTCAAAACTCAGAGTTGCATTCCGTCTGCCAACAGTGTTGCCAATTTAGCTATTTTGTCACTAGATCTAACTTTGTCAATTGGCAAATGCCGAATAAAAATAGAGGCTAATGTCAAATAAAACGTAACAATAAAAGTTATTTTTTAATATTTTACAATGTGATTTTCTTTAGTTTTGAAGTTTCCTCCTTATTTCATTAGCTACTTAGCTATTTTATGACCCGAGGGACCAACACTGCCTGTCAAGTGACATTAGCCGATATTCGATAGCCGCCAAAAGGAGCATTATTGTCTATCGCCATGGGGGCGCAGTAGTAGTTTTAATTTAACAGAAATTATTATCAAGAAATTAGTTGGCACTTCCTAGTTACTACAGATTTAGAACTAGTAATCAAATAAGTTGGGATATTTATATAGTTGTAAACCAAAAGGAGGATATACTTTGGAGGTAAGCCACTGGCTACTTGATCCCCATCACTACTTCCCTGCCCTTCGATAGCAGCGCAACAAGTTCCAAAGATTTCAGTGTTTAAGTTTGGTCGTTTAAACAGTCGAATCTAGTGAGTTATTCAGCTTCAAGATAGTAAATTCAGTAATTTTAATTATATAACTTAAATTAGTAACTTAAATTATGTTTTTATGAGTTAATACCTCTAGTTAAGGATGAAACGGGCCCCAGTCCAAAGGTCACTGGCAGTTGTTTACATTTTTCGCACATTTCAGATCAAAATGCTGCGTTCAAAACTCCTCAGCCTGGTGACCCGCAGTGGCTCCAGCCGTCTGATGTCCACTGGAACAAAGCTGACATCGGTGGAGGTCAACGACAAGACAGGAATTGCCACTCTCACAATGAACCGGCCACCAGTAAACGGCCTCAACTTGGAACTTCTGCAGGATCTGAAGGCCTCCATTGATGAAATTGAAGGCAACAAGAGCAGAGGCCTCATTCTGACATCTGTAAGTCATACATAACTGGAAATGGTTATAAGTTGCTAACTACAAATTCTGCTCTCCAGTCCAGTCCCACAATATTCTCCGCTGGCCTGGACATTCTAGAGATGTACAAGCCGGATAAGGATCGGATTCGTGCCTTCTGGTCGCAGTTGCAGGATACGTGGCTAGCCCTCTACGGCAGCAGTGTGCCCACGGCGGCCGCCATTAATGTACGTACCCAGAAGCCAATCAAAGATACTTCTTTAACTTATTTTGTATTTCTAGGGCCACTCACCTGCCGGCGGATGTCTCTTGGCCACATCCTGCGAATACAGAGTCATGCTGCCAAAATTTACAATTGGGTTGAACGAAACCCAGCTGGGTATTGTGGCGCCCAAGTGGTTTATGTCCGCCTTTCTGAGTGTTCTTCCGCAGCGAGAAGCAGAGCGAGCTCTCAACCAAGGACGCATGTTTAGCACAGAAGAGGCCTTGAAGGTGGGTCTGATTGATGAGACTGCCAACAGCAAGGAGGAGGCCATCGAAAAGTGCGCTGCCTTCATTGGCACCTTTGCCAAGGTCAATCCTCTGGCTCGATCGCTGACCAAGCAGCAATTCCGGGCTGCCGACCTCCAGCAATTGGAGAACGAGCGCAAAGAGGATCTGGAGAAGTTCCTGTTTTTTGTTAACCAGCCCGCCGTTCAGAAGGGTCTGGGCATTTACCTCGAGGGCCTTAAAAAGAAGGCCAAGAAGCAATAATTTCAAGATTTTATAACAAAGTTAAATAAAAAGTTTTACCTTTAATGAAGCTTTATTTTAGAATTTTACTCAGAAAAAGACAATTAGAATTCAAATGTTACCTTTACTCATCGAAAAGCAATTTGAAACAGGTTGTATTCGATAGTTACCACACCGCCTATTCGATAGCTGATAACACTGGCCAAAAAGTGTACCAACAAAGATCAGTTTGAGCCATCTTCCGAGGAAACCATATTTGTTAAATACCTTCGTTAAACTTGTAGCCAAGGTTAGTTAGGAAAAAATGTTGGAACAATGCCAAGGGAAATGTTGTAACGTGTATTTTTTCTTATCTATTTATTTTTAGACAAACATCCACTGGCCGGCACCTGGGCAAAGTTCATATTTCGTACATAACAACAATGCTGCATACGAATCTCTCGAGACTTTTGGCCAGCGGAGGCCCAAAAAGGTTGATATCCACCGTCAATAAGCTGACCACGGTGGAGGTTAACGACAAGACCGGGATCGCCATTCTCACTATGAACCGCCCACCCGTAAATGGCCTCAACTTGGAGCTGCTGCAGGATCTAAAGTCCTCCATTGACGAAATCGAAGGTAACAAGAGCAGAGGCCTCATTTTGACATCTGTAAGTAGTATCTGAAGACGAAAGGGATTTGAATATGCCAATAACATTTGAATATTACCTGCAGTCCAGTCCTACAATATTCTCCGCTGGCCTGGACATTCTGGAGATGTACAAGCCAGATATGGACAGGTGTCGTGCATTTTGGTCGCAGTTGCAGGAAACATGGCTGGCACTCTATGGCAGCAGTGTCCCGACGGCAGCCGCCATCAACGTAGGTTTTTAAGGACACCCAGAGATCCATTCTGAACACCTTTCGTATTTATAGGGCCACTCCCCCGCCGGTGGATGTCTATTGGCCACGTCCTGCGAGTACCGAGTAATGGTGCCAAAATTTACAATTGGGCTAAATGAAACCCAGCTGGGTATGATTGCACCGCAGTGGTTTATGTCCGCCTTCCTGAGTGTCCTGCCACAGCGAGAAGCAGAGCGAGCCCTGAATCAAGGACGCATGTTCACCACAGAAGAGGCCTTGAGGGTGGGTTTGATTGATGAGACTGCCAACAGCAAGGAGGAGGCCATTGAAAAGTGCGCTGCCTTCATTGGCACCTTTGCCAAGGTCAATCCTCTGGCTCGATCGCTGACCAAGCAGCAATTCCGGGCAGCCGATCTTCAGCAATTGAAAAACGGACGCAAGGAGGATCTGGAAAAGTTCCTGTTCACTGTTAGCCAGCCGGCGCTTCAAAAGGGTCTGGGTATATACCTCGAAGGTCTTAAGAAGAAGGTCAAGAAGCAATAACTTCACTTGATGGATAAATCCTTAAATTTTGTAATTTCTATAAAATGTATTATATATACTTTATTAAAACCAACAACGATACTGGCACACGCTCAAATTGAAAATTCATTTAATACATATCTTTGAAATTGATTGTATTCGATATTTACAATTGCGCCTGCTCGATTGTTGATAACGATTGACTGGAAATTTTCCATCGAGGATCAGTCGAATTGAACTGGCGCAGATACAAATTTTAAAGTGCAAAAATTATATCCAAGGTGAGTTTGGGAAACACTCCTAGATGGGTAAAGGTATAATGTGTTATCTATTATTGTAATAATTTGGATTAAAATCCATTATCCCAACGTAGCCGGCACCTGGACAAAGGTCATATTTCGTACATATCAAAGAACAATGCTGCACTCGAATCTCTTGAGACTTGTGGCCCGCGGAGGGCCAAAGAGGTGGATGAGCACCACGACCAAACTGACATCGGTGGAGGTCAACGACAAGACCGGAATCGCCACCCTCACATTGAACCGGCCACCCGTGAACAGCCAAAACGTCCAGTTGCTGGTGGACCTGCAATCGTCCATCGGCGAAATTGAGAGCAACAAGAGTCGCGGACTCATTTTAACCTCCGTAAGACGGTCACTTAATCGTTGGGTTATGTAACTAGGTACATATTCTTTGCAGGCGTGCTCCAATGTGTTTTCAGCCGGTCTGGACATCCTCGAAATGTACAATACGGACGAGGAGCGCCTTAGAACCATTTGGACCGAGCTGCAAAACGCCTGGATTGCCCTGTACGGCAGCAGCTTGCCCACGGCTGCCGCCATTAATGTTAGTTGAACCTTTAGTAAATACAAATTCTTTAGAACCTTCTCTGATATCCTTTGTTTTCCCAGGGCCACGCACCTGCTGGAGGATGCCTGCTGGCCACCGCCTGCGAGTATCGGGTGATGCTGCCAAAGCGCCTCATCGGACTGAACGAAACCCAGCTGGGGATCATTGCGCCCAAATGGCTGATGTCCGGCTTCCTTAATGTCTTACCTCAGCGCGTTGCCGAGCGTGCTCTTACCCAAGGTCGCCTGTTTACCACGGAAGAGGCACTGGCGGAAGGCCTGGTCGATGAAATCGCCAACACCAAGGAGGAGGCGCTGGAGAAGTGCGCTGCCTTTATTGGAAGCTTTACCAAGGTGAATCCTCTGGCTCGGTCGCTGACAAAGCTGCAGTTCCGGGCGGAGAATATTAAGGAGTTTGAGAAGATACGCAAAAAGGATGTGGAGGACTTTGTGGCCCTCGCCAGCCGTCCTGAGGTCCAGAAGGGTATGGGCATCTACCTTGAAAACCTGAAGAAGAAGAGCAAGAAGTAGAGCAGAGTCTCTATGCAATTGTATAATCATTTTATTATTTCTACGTTTACTTAGTAAGCTAATCAGAAATGCATTTATTTAATTTAAGAAGTTTAAAATTATTATTGTTATCCCACTAACTATTTTTTGATGAACTTAATTATTTTTAAATTCCCGATATAATTACCAGTCGTTTTTCCAACTTTGCCCAATTAAAATTAATTTAATAATTAAATTAACTAATTTTAATAAATAAGGGCAACACGTAAAAATCCCGAAAATCTCTCAAATTTAATGAATTAATATTTAATAACTTTAAGTGACTTTCTTTTGGGCTTATGGTTTCAGAGGATACAAGTTTGCTGATCGCCATTTCCTGCTGCCGTGTAAACTTCGCCTGGAAAAGCTTGATCAGCTGACGATCGCTTGGGCTTGAGTGTTTTGTTTTTCTTCGGTTCGCAACTCGACTTTGTATATGATAAACAGGTTAATTTGTTTAAATTCATGCCTGCCGCTCAGTGCGTGATTGCTGCTCCAAACTGAAAGTCGTAGTAATGTTGCGTAACAGGCTGATAGACACGTTCGGGCGGATAAAACCCATCCTTTGCGGAGCCCAATCCCTTCGATCCTTGGCGAACGTGGGGTCGAGCACTACAAAGCTGACTACCATCGAGGTGGATGATAAGAGTGGCATTGCCACCTTATCGATGAACCTGGCGCCAGTCAATACGCTGACCATGGAGCTAATGCACGACCTGATCGAGTCCATCAACCAAATCGAGAGCAACAAAAGTCGCGGCCTCATCCTGACGTCGGTGAGTATCTGGCATTGAGCAGGCTATTTGGGTTTAATCTACGTATGTATGTTTTGCAGAGTAATGACAAGGTTTTCTCCGCTGGCCTCGATCTCAAGGAACTGCTGGAACCGGACAGGGAGCGCCTGAAGGAGTTCTGGACCTTGTTCCAGGACCTGTGGCTCGCCTTGCATCTCTGCGGTCTTCCCACTGCGGCGGCCGTTAATGTGAGTTTAACTTTTCGCGAGCGATCTAGGTGATTGTAAGTGATTCTTCCGCCCAGGGTCATGCTCCTGCCGCTGGCTGCGTTCTGGCCACAGCCTGCGAGTACCGCGTGATGCTCCCGGATCTCTTTATCGGCATCCACGCCACCCGCTTTAGCTTCGTCATCTCCAAGTGGATGATGCTGTCTTACCAGAGCGTCCTGCCCCGCCGAATTGTGGAGCGATCACTGAACCAAGGTAAGCTCTTCCGCACCGAGGAGGCCCTGGAGGTGGGCCTCGTCGACGAGGTGGCGGATAGCAAGACGGAGGCGCTAGCCAAGTGCGCCGCCTTTATTGGTACCTTCGACAGGGCTAACCCAGTGGCCAGGACATTAACCAAACGGATGTGTCGCGAGCCCGATGTACGGGGGCTCCTGAACGACCGTTCCGGGGATCTGCAGGAGTGTGTGGACTACGTTCTCACGCCCCTTTTTCAGCAGGGACTGTGTGCCCACCTCGAGGGCCTCAAGAAGGGAAAGTAAGGGTTTCGTAGAGTAGATGATAATCCCATTGCATTTATTACTTAATCGTTATTAAAAATTGTTGTTAATCCGAGAGGGAATCATTCTTCGAGTTATTGGTCTCCCGCGGCAGATTGGCCAGCGCCTCTGTCATCATTTCCATGAAGGAATTGATCTCCAGTACCTTGGCTCGGTGACGGTCCACCTCTTTGCTGCGAAGAGAGTGTTTCATTAGAGTCTGTGAGGTGTAATGCTGTGCGGGACATACTTTTTCAGCTTCTTGATCATATCGTCAATGAACTCCCTGCTGCGATTGGCCATGCGATCCTCCCGCTCGTACACCCGCGAGGCGTGAGATTCCCTCATGGCCTCCACTAGCTGCAGAAGTGCGTCTCGATCAGCGATACACTTTCGCAACTCATCGGGAATGGTGCTCAGATCATCGCGCAGGAGCTTGGAGGCGAGGTATTGGGACACAATCTCCGTCATGTTGTCGGCAAAATGGCCACAGACATCGCGCAACTGCTGGAAGCTCACCTGGGCCTGTTCCACAAAGCTGGCCATAAGCTGGGAGATCTTGCGCTTAAAGTTGAGCGTGGAATCCTGAGAAAGGGAACTAGGTATTAATAGAACCGAAGGGGTAACGTAGAGCTCACCTCAACGGCCTCGTGCAAATGAAGCTCCTGAGCCATTAGGCTCTGCCACATCTCGTTCAGGGCATCCTCAAACTGGCCAGTAAGCGTATCCAACTGAGCTGACAGCTCTTCCAAATCGTCATCGCGTTGGTCCAGATCGCGCCACTTTAACCGCATCTCATCGAAGGTTCGCTCCTTGTATTGGAGGAACTCCTCGATTTGTGTTTGACCCTGAGACTGTAGTTCCTCCTGCCCCTCGTACAGATTGGCATTGAAATCCCGGATCTCATCATCCCGCTCGCCAAAGTGCTCCAGACCAAGGCGATAGATCTTCTGGGTCAGCTCGTGAACATCCTTGCTGTACTCCTCGGCCAGTTCCTGCGCTTGAGTTCCTACCAACATCAGAATGCGCCCGTTGTTGTCGTCGCGCCACAAGGACTCGTACAGCTGATGACCATCTAGGTGTTCCACAAAGCTAGAGGCTAAACGCTCCGCCTCGGCCATTTCCCGTTCCTCTGTGGCCAGCCCTTGGATCTCGCGCTCCTGTTTGTCCTCGATCTCGCGCAGTTCGCGGCTGGAGGTATAAATATAATTATTATGAAATATTCAAGACTCGAGGGATATTATTACTAAAAACGCTTCTGGGCTTCTTCGCGCGTCTCCGCCTTGATGAACACGTATTCGTAGTAGTTCAACTGTGGCAGGATGGCAGTCACATATGATGACAAGGGGAAGTCCGGCATTTTGGCAATGGGGTTACCCTCCAAATTGAGCACTCTCAAGCTGCCCACGAAGCGTAGGCGTTCGATCTGTTTAAATCAATGTAATACACCCATTAGAAATTATATATAAATTTAAATTAAAGTCCTGGGGATCGTTACCCCCTCCACAGTGTTGATTAGATTATTGCCAATGCTAAGGATGACCAGTTTTTCCAAAGTCTGCAAGTTCTCGATCTTTTGGATGCGATTGCTAAAGAGTGACAACTTCTCCAGGTTGACCAGCGTCTCTAGGTTCTCGATTCGCGTAATGTAATTGAAGCTTAGATTGAGATCCCTGAGGGCAGTTAGCATGGCTAGGTGCTCGATGACCTCGATCTTGTTGCAGTTCAAGCAAAGCGTGGTTAAATTGGGCATCATCCATAGATGGTCAATCCGCAGGATGTCTGCAAAGCGAAAAAGTTTGAAAAACTCTTGGGAGCTGCACAATGCTTACTCTTGAACTCCAGGCGCATGGTGCGAATGCGTTCGTAGACCACCGGTTCCAGCTGGTGAAGACGTCTCGTCTCGCCCTTTTGGCCTTCCTCAAGATAGGCCGCTTCGATCATGCGGCGATCTATGATGCCCGGCTCCGGGCAGTTAACTTCGTCTAGGAAGCCCCTCAGCGGCTCCTCCTCCTCCTCCTCCACCTCCTCTCCATTTTCTGCCGCACCTTCACTTGGCTTTTTGCTGACCGGCTCGTCCATTTTAGTGGGCTCTCCCAGGACATGTGTCAAGTAGGCGAAACTCGGCGAATGGACACGAAGCCCGGTTGCCAGGGGCAACCCAAACAACTGGGCCCTGCCTAGTAACCATGGCTCGGCGGGTCCACCCCACAAAGTCAAAGCAGGTGTAACTGGAGACCCAGCCAGCCGGCTGCTCGTGGCTCTTCGGCTCTGTATCGTCCGCTCTCCGGGCTGAAGGGGGTGGCGGTCTACTTGGGGTTGCGGTTGCTTGGGTCGTCGCGTTGTTGTGGATATCGGGCCTGGCAGTTGTTAGTGTTTGCTTATCAAATCAACTCCTGTCCGCGAAGGATATCCGCATAGGGAGCAGCCATAAATCGCAGTTAATACTCGAACTAACTACGGATTAGCCCAGGAGATCTCGGATTCAAATGCGATTGCGATTAAGGTACGCCAGGAATGTGACTGTGCTCCTCCTGCCCCATAATTGGATGGGGCCTGAGGCTAGGGATAGGGGAGAGTCCGAGAGGACTTTGTGACAACCCTCGTTCAATCGATAAAGTGACCCCGAACATTAGAGTTTGTTTATTTGCTGGTACACGTTGCGAAAAGTCGCGTATCTCACTATAACGTGTTTGCAGTAATGCCCGATTAGCCATCGGTTGGATGTGCGTGCCCAAAGTTTAAGTGAGTCAACAAATGTGAGGGGTTCAAGGCTGTGACGCAGGATTCAAATAAGAGCCAGGTCGAAATGTGAACCAAACAAACACCCCAAATAACCCAAGTTTATACATATGTATATCGAAGGTGGAAAAAGTTCCCCTCGCATACAGTGAATAAATTATCACCCAAGGAACTCGATTCGCCAAGTGACCACAAAAACCCATTACGACACCTGAGCCCATCGCCTTGAGGAGCCAGTTTCCTGGTAAAGGATAAGCCTTATATAAAAATTAAGCTTGATCTTTAGCGGTTTCATTGATTGCTCATTTGCAACGCTCAAAAAAACTACTTCAACTTATTGTTTTGCCATTACGTCCGGTGCTTGCATAAGTGTCCCCTGACTGACCTCTATATATTTCCAGTTTCTACAGTTCCAAAGTTTGACATAATTTTATAAAACTGTCGTGGAGCTAAGGGTCTATTTCCCATGTATTTCAGGGTGGAAATGGCCTAGGCCTAAGGGGTTGATACAATAAATAAACAAACCGAAAATGAAGAATCCCGATTTTATTATTATTTGATTTCCAGTCCAAATAAAAGTGTTCCAACAATTAGGGATATTTTGTATTTTATTGCATCATGAAGTTATAATGTATTCTTTGATTATTAGAGATTGAAAACTTACTTCCCAATCCCAAAGGAATATCTTCCTGAGTATGCATTGGCCAAAATGACGAAAAGTACTGCGAACTTCAGATTCATTTTGTAATAGTCTTCTCTAGGCTGCTCTTCTCTTGACGATCTGATGTGGAATAACATTAAGTCTCCAACTGTCCAGCTTTTAAATACGTCGCGTGTTTTGGTTGTAGAAATTTTCCACTTATTTTTGTTTCACCTAATCCGATTCTAATTTCTGGAACAGCGTTCCAGTTGGATTATTTAGGGGCTTCATCGTTTTAAGACAAATATATGTGAGAGATATTGAATTTATAACAAGCTTCAGAGAAATTTTGTTTTAGTGAAAGTGTATTATGTATGAGTAAATTCTCGGATTTTTGGTTTTCATAGTATTCAGAAAATATAAATATTTGCAAAGCTTAATTTTAATATTTGTATATGATACCAGACTAAGCCATATTGTGTTAATAGTTTCTGATATAGCACTTGAGCGACCATTACTAATCTCTATCTTATCTAAACCTAAATAGTAAAACACGCATTTCCTCTTTAGCAATTGTTAGTTCCATTCAATGTTTGTTAGGTCATTCACCGAAAATGAAGAATCCCAATTTTATTATTATTCGATTTCCAGTCCAAATAAAAGTGTTCCAACAATTAGGGGTATTTTGTATTTTATTGTATCATGAAGATATCATAATTTATTCTTTGATTATTAGAGATTGATGATTGAACGCCGTGAGAACTTACTTCCCAAGCCCAAAGGAATATTTCCCTGTTTTTGCATTGGCCAAAATGACGAAAAGTACTGCGAGCTTCAGATTCATTTTGTAATAGTCTTCTCTAGGCTGCTCTTCTCTTGACGATCTGATGTGGAATAACATTAAGTCTCCAACTGTCCAGCTTTTTAATACGTATCTGATTATGTCGCGTGTTTTGGTTCTAGAAATTTTCCATTTATTTTTGTTTCACCTAATCCGATTCTAATTTCCGGAACAGCGTTCCAGTTGGATTATTTAGGGGCTTCATCGTTTTAGGACAAATATATGTGAGAGATATTGAAATTAGAACAAGCTTCAGAGGAATTTTGTTTTAGTGAAAATGTATTTACCCATCTTACCATGAGTACATTTTTGGTTTTCATAGTATTCAGAAAAGATACATATTTGCAAAGCTTAATTTGAATATTTGTATCGAATTCCAGACTAAGTCATATTGTGTTACTAGTGTCTGATATAGCACTTGAGCGACCATTACTAATCTCTATCTCATCTAAACCCAAAATGTAAAACACGCATTTCCTCTTTAGCAATTGTTAGTTCCATTCAATGTTTATTAGGTCATTCACATCCCAAGGGGAATTATAATTATATATAATTAATTGTTTATTTTATTCCCTTTCATCTCCAATTCTGATTCCATTCTAGAATAGGTGCCTTTGTTTACCAGCTAGTTAAGACCATCCCAAATCATGCCCTGGGGAGCTGCTGCTCGTCCCATTTCTTAATTTCGGGGCTTTATCTGTGACCCTGATGGGGGAATTCGTTTTTGGGTTAAATCAATTTGGTCAAGTTCTTAGACGGCTGCCCCTTGAATCGATATATTGATTTTAATTGGATTCGGCAGCCCAAGACGCACACGAATGGCCCAGGTGGGACTCGGCTTGTGCCCAATCATCTAATTCAACAGTGATTCCTTTGACGTCCGCACACGAGGGCGGGACTCATAAGTTATTTAAGAGCTCCTAAATGGCTAGCCGTTGTCCTCGTTTTTCTTTTGCCTTCCGTGCAGTTGCATCCGGAGAATGTGCGAAGAGCTGACCAGCCCGTCCGCCTAAGCATGAACCGCTACATCACGCTGACCCAACTGGGCGATGGAACCTACGGCACCGTGGTCCTGGGCCAGCGAAAGGACACCGGCGAGAAGGTGGCCATCAAGCGAATGAAGCGCAAGTATTACTCCTGGGAGGAGGCCATGAATCTGCGCGAGGTCAAGGTGTGTTCTACGCCTGCTTCTTGTATTGATCATCCCCTTATCTCGGCTTCATTATCTCCTGCAGTCCCTAAAAAAACTTTCGCACCCAAACATCGTCAAGCTGAAGGAGGTGATCAGGGAGAACGACACCCTATACTTTGTGTTTGAGTATATGAAGGAGAACCTCTATCAGATGATCAAGGATCGGGACACGCACCTGCCCGAGCCGGAGCTGAAGAGCATTCTCTTCCAGGTGAGCTGGCTTCGCGTAGTCTTGCTAGGACATTCTAAAAATATTTATTTTCCGCAGGTTCTGACCGGCCTGGCCTTCATGCATCGTCACGGCTTCTTCCACCGCGACCTAAAGCCGGAGAACCTACTCTGCTCCGGTCCGGAACTCATCAAGATAGCCGACTTTGGCCTGGCCAGAGAGATTCGATCACGACCGCCGTTCACGGACTACGTCTCGACGCGTTGGTACCGGGCGCCGGAGGTGCTCCTGCACTCCACCAACTATGGCAGCACCATCGACCTCTGGGCGATGGGCTGCATCATGGCCGAGCTCTATACCTTCCGACCGCTCTTCCCGGGCAGCAGCGAGGTGGACCAGCTCTTTAAAATTTGCTCAGTGCTAGGCACGCCTGAAAAGGTAATAAACATAAGCTGCTTTCGTAAATATTATTAATCTTTGGCTTTACGCACAGAACGATTGGCCCGACGGATATCGCCTGGCTGCCATGATCCACTTCCGCTACCCGGACTGCATCAAAGTGCCACTAAGCAGCGTCGTCAGTCGCTGCAGCCAAAACGGTCTCGACCTGCTGGAGGATCTGCTGGCCTACGATCCCGACAAGCGGCCGACAGCCCAGCAGAGCCTCAAATATCCGTATTTCCACGCCCTCAAGCGGATCTCGCCCACCGCCGCCACCAAGGCAAATGTGCGGCTCAACTCCAAGTATGCGCCAATGTCAAATGGCCATCAGCAGGGGCAGGCCGTCTCAAACAACGTGCTTCCGGTGCAGGAGAAGCTGCAGGCGGTCACCGAGATGCTTCACCAAAGCAACAACAACAACAGCAATAGCAACTCCAATCTCGGCAAGAACAGTAATCTGAGCAACGGCAAGGCGGCTGCTAAAAACGGGGGAATGCCGCGGAAGTACCAACCTAAGCTTAGCTTCCTGACCAGCCACGAGATGGGTGCCGGTTCCCTGGCGGACTCCTCCAGCCTTGGCGGCGCCACAGCAGACGGTGTCCAGGTGCAGCAGCAGCAGCTCCAGAACGGAGGCGAGTCGATAAACGACATATACTTAAACCGCAACATCTCACAGCTCTTCGGTCTGCCGGCGGGACCCCAGCACCACCAGCAGATACACCATCCGAACGTCTCCTTCAGCACGACATCGTCCCGAAATGCCGGTGCCATCTACGTTAACGGCAGTCACCTCAGCTACGACACGGCCAACATGAATGCCAAGAACAATGCCAAGATCGTGGTGGGCGCCGCCAACGGAGGTTACTATGTGCCGGTGGCCAGGCAGTCGCTCCTGGCTCCCGAGGCCAAGGTCTACAACGTGTTCTCCAAGGTCAGTGCCAGCCAGGCACCACCGAGCATCATAGTTCGCCAGCCACAGCTGCAGCAGGAGGCCGGAGCAGCGCCCATGCGACTCTCGGGAAGAACCCGAGCACCGATCCAGGACTCAAACCTGGGAGCCTTAAAGTCGGACGATTTGGACCTGATACTTGGGTGAGTTTTCGGAAGGAGAAGGTGACAACCTCGTGGTACATTTTTCTCTGAGTGTGTGCACTCCTGGCACTGCACTGTTGTCTGTCGCTGCACAGAGTGTGATTCCTCCCTCACTACCCCCGAACTCTCTTTCCGTCTCTACCCCGCGCAGCTCCAAGCTGAAGACCTCCGCCAAGCGGCAACGCAACGCCAAGGCCAACATTCTCCTGGAGGATCTGTTCGGGCAACTGTCCATGGACTCGGACAGCGACAGCAAGTACCCGCACACGGTGCCACCCACGCAGCAGGCAAAGAACAGCCAGACGTCCACGGGCGGGCCTCGGGAGCGGGATCTGTTTGGGGAGAGCTATCTGCCCAGGCCGGGACTGCGGAAGAAGGCCACCCAGAGCAGCCTGGAGGTGAACAACGGCAGCCACGCGGACTCGCTGTAAGTGGGGCTGTGGGTGGGGCTGGGCGGACATTCTCGCTGGCCTGCATGATCGTAGACCTTGTTCTTGTCCTCGTCCCGCGCTTCTTAGCCTCATGCTCATGCTCATCCCGCCGTCCTGTCTCGCTCTACATTGTACTCTGTCTCTCTTCTCTCTCCCTCTCTATCTCTGTCTGTATCGCCCTCTCTCTCTCCCGTTATCTCTGTGATCGTTTTGTGTGTTTTCGTTTGCTTGTCATTGAACATTGAACTCTTTGTGTGGGTGCCCAAGTGATAACTCCTCCTCGTCCTCCCCCTCAAATGATGAAGAATGTCGCTTTTGGCCCATAAGGTAAAAACCCGCATTCGCCATTGAGCTGTAAATATGTTGAGTAGCAGTAGAGCAGGAGTGCTCCACCAGTGACCCGAGATCGGCGAGCTTCGGAAAGCGTCGAGGTCTCGGGGACATTGTGTAAGCAGCTCTTTAGTAGAGACTATAACTAACTATCATATCATCATTGTATATGGGAAGAGAGCTTGCAGGTTTATTTTATTTTAAACAGATAACCTGCCAGCTTTTCTCTCTGTGTAGTTATGCACTCTTTATTTGCCTTTTCCGTAAACACTGAGTAGATTAAATTGTAGATTGGTCGATCATTGGACAAACTTTTGTTTCTCAAAGCTGAAAACACATATTTTGTAACTATAATCAATATAATTAAAATATATATAAACGAGGATTTTCTACACAAGATACATATTCTTCGTAAAAACATATTTAATTAAAAAAATATATAAAATATTTAAATGACACAATTTCAGAGCTCAAAACACACAAAAGGAGAAGGCCGCTGCGGCAGCCAGCTTCCCCTGGGATGAGACCAACAAGACGGAGGACGAGAAGCTGACGGCTTGGATGGTGGCCGAGAACGGTAACTTGGTTTTGGGTTTGGGTCCTCAGCAAGCGTAGAAGTCGAGAGCACCCCACTCCACTCCTCTCACAGTAGTTAAGACCCCATTGGAACTAGCATTTGGTAGCGTAAATTCAAAGAGCACCGCTGGGTAGTAATTAGGACTGGAGCTTACACTTTCCCCCCACTGTCCTATTCCCAGGATCGCTGCTGGAGAACAAGTTCTGAGGAGATGATCGACCTGCGAAATGCCGCTGTACCTGAAACCGAATGAAGTTAATTCACGTGCCTTTCCGAACTGAATCCAAATCACGAAGCCATCGAGCCATGGAATCATCGAATGGTCGGCGCCGCGTGTAGAGTTAGTCTAGTCTCTCGATATAATGTTATTGCTGTGATACAACTAAGCTAGACTCTATTGTGTAAAATATGGCCTACGAACTCGAGCCTCGCCTCGAGTATAGGGTGTGTAAACTAAGCTACTATACTAAAATATAATCCGAGTGAGTTTTGAATCGAGTGCGGCAAGTGCAGCGTTTTGGTTTCGTTTTCATTTCCCCCAACGAAATTGCATAAGTCTGGGCTGAGCTGGTGCGGGGCGTATCTGATTACAGCTTCCATAAGTTGGCCACTGCGACAATGGGCCACCAGCATCAACATATAAAAGAGGTTGAGTCTAGCTCTTAGTCATCAGTCGAGTGCATTCCATCGCTCCATTTGCATCTTTAACTCTTTCTCTGCGTCATGAGTGTCTCGGTAAGGGAAGTCCTCTAAGGATAAGGATTGCCTATATCAAACAATCTCTGGTCTAGTATTCCAGCTTCATTCTGTGCCTCTTCCTGAGCGCCCTTGTCGCTGTTCAGGCGGGTATTATCACTAGCCATCCCGACGAGCTAATCAGTGGTCCTGCCCAGTATGAGTTCCATTACTCTGTCCACGACAGCCACACCGGCGATGTTAAGGATCAGTTTGAGCACCGACGGGGCGAATACGTGACGGGTCGCTACTCTCTAATCGAGCCCGATGGCCATCGTCGCATTGTGGACTACACTGCCGACCCGCTGTTGGGCTTCAATGCCCAGGTCCGTCGGGAGCCGCTGTCTCGTTATTGAAATGGCTTTTTCGGAGAAAGGACAAAGGACATTCCCAAGTGACCCCGGACTCGTGATTTCTCTTCATTAATTTGTAGCTGTAATGGAGGATGAATACTTGTAGAATAAATCAAATGGCTGTTTAGTTAGAAAATCAGTAACTAAAGCGATTATGCTTTAAATTAGCCTAACGTGACTTTCTAGGAGTATAAGGGAAAGCTCTGGCAAGGATTTGTATTAAGGTTAAGGAAGAGCCAGCATTTTTATATTTCTCTATTGGAACTTTTCAAATATATTTCCGGTTTGATCTTCTTAAAAGCTTTATTACCAAGTTCAGTTCCCATGATCAATTCCATCAGTTACCAAAGAAAGCCACAGGATTGTTTTCTAATAATGCATTTATTGCCTTCTATTTACACATTGTATTACATAGATGAGATAGTGACCCCCAGACTTCGTGTTATGGCGGTGTCCTTATCCGAGGGCCGAAGAGTCTTAGTGGAGATATCAGAGTATGAGGAAAGGAAGATAGATTCACAAGAAGATAGGTACGATACGAGGTGTCTGGATGGTTAAGCCATAGTTCAGGTTCAGATACAGCTACTGGTACGGATGCGGATGGGTCGTCGTCAATGCGATGAAATCAGTGTTTGCTATCTCTCTCTCTGCCGCTTTGCCAATTATGTGACCAGCTTAGTGGTACAGGCTGAGGGGCAGCTTGGCGGGGGCCACAAGCTTGGGAGCCGCATAGGCCAGCGGCAGAGGGGCTGGAGCTAGGATCTTGGCAATGGGCGCAGCCTTGATCACCTTTTGGCCCAAAGGATCACGACGCACCACCGCGTTGAAGCCATTGTGTGCATCGGAGGTGTAGTCCACGGTACGCAGGTAACCATCGGCGTCGATCAGCGTGTACTGGCCCTGCACCTGATCACCCTTACGCGACTCCGTCTGGCTCTTAATGTCGCCAGTGTGCTCGTCATGCACCGAGTAGGAGAAGTCATAGTGGGCGGGTGCCTCCACCTCGACGGCCTTGAGCAGGGGTTTGATGAGGGCCGGCTGGTGATAGAGCGGCAGCTCGATGGCGGCGGCGGCTCCAACGCCCAGGATGAATAGAGAAAGGAGCTGGAAGAACACGATTTAATATTTAAATAAATTATTCTTAACCTCTTATCTTTAGCCATTATCCTTGAGAATCCTTGTACAGTACTTACAGCAAACATGTTGGCTTAAACTTGGCTTGACTCGGGTGGTTCGGCTGACTTTGTGGCTGCTGCGGCTCCTGCACTGAACTATGTCTGCAAGTGTCGCGATCGCAACTTTTATAGTCAATGGTCTGCTCTCTGGCGCGGCCCCACCACTTCCATCTCCACACGCACCATACACTTCGTAACCCACACCAAACCCCCAAAAAAGCAGCACACTCCCAAAAAAAAAAAAACCGATCAGCGATCGCCCAACGAACCGGAATCCGGCTAATGCAAAACACTTATTATATTTATACCCTTGCAGGGTATTATAATTTCAGTCAGAAGTTTGCAACGCGGTGAAGGAGACCTTTCCGACCCTATAAAGTATATATATTCTTGATCAGCATCAACGAGGGAATCTTTCTAGATATGCCAGGAAGAAATCGATTTTTTGGCCATTTTTCCAAAATTTTATAAGGGGTTAGTTACATCATTAAAATATTGGATTTTGATAAAAAATTGAATTTTCAAAATTTTTAAATGAAGTATACAGATTTATTAACTGTAGAAAATCTTGCACAGAACAGTTTTCCGATTTAAAATTAATGCTCTTTTGGCCGAGTTATGATATTTTTAATTTAAAAAAAAATCAAGAAGTTTTTTAATATATAAAATCAGATTTTATAATACAAAATAATATTTTTCTAAGTCAAGGAATCATTTTCGACCCCATAAACCATATATATTCTTGACCAGCATCAACATGCGAATCTTTCTAGACATGTCAGGAAGAAATCGATTTTTTGCCATTTTTGCAAAATTTTATAAGGGGTTACATCATTAAAATTAGCAGAAATGGCCAAAAATTTTGATTTCTTAAAATTTTAAATTTGGTATGCAGTTTTTTTAAGTTAAGAAAAACTAACACAAAACTGCTTTCCGAATCGAAATTAATGCATTTTTGGCTTAGTTATGATATATTTTAATTGTTACCTGCAAGGGTATACAAACTTTGGCTGGCCAAAGTTAGCTTTCTTTCTTGTTTTATTTCATTTTTTTCGGCATATGTTGTGATCTGGTAATAAAACATTTAGACTGCTCCACTTTGGGCCACAATTTAGGTATAGGTAGCCCATTGCGAGCGCTTGTCTCTGTCTCTGGATTGTCAAATGGTTCCTCTATGGGTCTGTAATTGTTTAAGCCTTTTTAAAAAGGCCAAAGTCAAGTGAAAGTTTTAAGGGGGATTAGCTTGTCTCAAGTAAACTATTAAAGTACTTAATTATTATTGATGGCTGACTGATTGGCTTGGGATACTTAAAATTACAAAAAAATATAGAAAAAGAATAATTAAATAATAAATTCCTAAATTTAAACTAACTAAATACAACAAGACTTAAAGATAACCACAACTAAAACTCCTCCATCTTAGGGATTTCCTCTCTACTCTATTATTTACTAATATTTATGTTACTTTTACCTGGACCCTTCCTATCAATGGCATTCCATGTCAAAAACCAATAAGCTCCCAGACAAGTTAGCTGACATATTGGACGGCAATAGGTGGAGGAGCTTTCGGTATCGCCGTCACATCAAACAAATTGCACGTTGACATTCGCAGATCGCTTGATCGAGAAATGCCGTTAAGAGCTTTGCCGATTTTCCACTTAATTAATTAATCAAATTGCAACATCCGCTCGTGTGCCGCCCAAGATCGCAGCTGGATCTGGATCTGGGTCTGGGACTGGGGCTGGTCAGGTGGCGGTGCCGTCGCCTTCGCCTTTCACGCATGCGCTCTGCACACAAATCAATGCGACAAAGGCCGGCCCGACGCACTCCAAACCCGTTGCCGAATTCGATATGAAGTAATAAGCCGGCTACGCGGATCCAGTGGTGTGGGGTCAGGTGGAGCCGAGAGTTGGAGTGGTTCAGTGCGTCTGCGTATGCGTACTCGGGTCTTGCGCCACATTCATTTAGAACAAGATTTCGAGTGCGGAGTGATGGTGGTCTCTGACTGTGACTCTGAGTGGACCAATTTGGCATCGGCTCACGCACATGGACAGATCGGTTCCTCCAGCGCCGCCGCTGCTCCCTGCTCCCTGCAGGCGTGCCGGCTGTCGTCCGCCTGTCCGCCTGTCCACCTTCCACCGCCCAACCCAATCAGCAAAACGACATATAAATTTAGGTAGTCTCTATAAATAATAAGTTGTGTCTACTTAGCGACATGTACACACGCGTAGATCGTGTCTGATACCCACGGCAGGGTTCGAAGGAGGCAGGCTGGAGCAGGAGCTGAAAGAGCACGTATGTTTTGGCAATTTCTGTCAAATGTGCCAGGTGAAGTGTACGGCTAATGTTGGTTAATGCTCTGGTAAGCACATTTATGAAAGTATCAATAGACTAAGTCAGCAATCCATAAAAAATGTAATTAAATTTAAAACTCAGGGCAATACCATTGTATTTTACAGCAATGCACGTTTCCCTTGGAATCCCCAAGAAGTCATTACCCAAGCTGAAATTAAACCGAACTCTTTGGCATTACTAAAGGTTTTATTATTGATTTCAGTTGCGTTATATGTATGTTTCTTGAAATATCAAAAATTTGCAAATAGATTACATATGTTTTTCACTGACATCTCCTTTTCTTTTTGGTTTCTCAATGTTCTTTCGGTTGTGTCAACAGAGCACGACGCACTACATATAATCATTTGTCTCACATATGAATTGTTTATGTAGAAAAGGTTAAGTAGATCTCTAGCATATTGTACTATATAGAGCCGTATAGAATATATGTTCAATTATTGGCAATTCGAAAAGGGTGAATCTATTTGGCTTTGCCTTGCCTGCACCTAACATTATCGTTCGTCCTTAAAAAACTAAAATAATACACAACACAATGACAACAATGATAATCAAGGCGACGCGATGATCTTAGGCACAGACAAACAGGGGCCAGTGAGGTATAAAATAAGCAAAAGCAGTTAACAAGAAAGGATTGACAACGCCTCTCATAATGCTCCCGGCTTGAGGGAGAAGGACAGCTTGGGCCTGGAATTGTTTTTGCCTAGTATGACCTTCTGCTCCTCCTTAACGCGCTTCTCCTGCTCTTTGCGCATGCGTTGCCGCTCCTCGTCCATAAGGCGTTGCTCTTCAATGATAGCTAACCGTTCTTCGGCCTGCGAAATAGATACAAATTACGTTTAGAGTGGGATTTAAGGGATTTCCTAGATGGTCTTACCAGTTTTCTTTGAGCTTCTTCTATTTTCCGATTGTTTTCGGCCAAAATCTCTTCGAGTTCTTCGCGTTTTTGTTTTTCATCCTCCTATAAAACCCAAACAAAATGACGATTAATAACAAAAATCGACGCCTTGGCCTGAAGCTTAGAACTACAAATATATATATATTATTATATAAATAAACAGTCTCTTGACATCAGCGATGCAAACGGTGCGCCGAATTCGACGCTCGCTTGTGGTTGCATTTTTTTTTTTTTATTTTGAGCTGCAAAGGCAGTTAGAATCTAGTTTTTTTTTTTATGTTTAACAATACGTTACAAAGAAAATTTAAGGTAGAAAGTAAAACATTTAGTAGTAGTGTCTAAATATAAGAATGTTTAAAGTAGGTTTTTCTCTTAGGTTTATTACAATATATGTAGGATCACACAACATAAAAACATGTACTAGTAGTTGCTAAATGATTGGTCTTCAATTGTTTTTTTGGTTTTTTTTTTTTTTTCATTTTTGCTACTTACTATTTAAATAGAGGTCATTATTCCAGTACAAAGGCTAAATTTGTGTTAATTTTATATATAATTTTTGCAGGATTTCGATTTACGTTTATATATTTTTGTATTTCTCTTTCGTGATGCATATTTCGCTATTCCAGACGTAAACAAAAAACAAGTAAGTGACTGGCATCGGGGAATACGGTCAAGAGTCCAATCTTACAGAAATGAGTTCTATTCTTGGGAGGGGGGAGTCATTACTGGTTGGGTCTCTTTGGGCGTCCATTATCCTCACGGCTGTGCTGGCTCATTCACATCGCTGGCGTTGGAAACTCACCCGTCACTTTTGGCTTTTCGATTTGCTTTGCATGCAGCGATCAGTTGGGTCTAAAATCAGCCGGCCCCGCCCGCACAACTAGGCCCGCCTAACTACCCCGACTAACTGAGGGACACCACCTGCTGGTTTTGTTTTCTTTCTTTTTTTTCTGGGTGTGGGTGTGTGGTGGGAGGGTGAGCGTCCCTCGCAGCGGGCTCGCTTTACTTCCGGCGCGAGCGTTTAGCAGGACAAGATCAGCACGTTCGTGGCACGGGCCTACGGAAGCGGAGTGTTTGCGCGCAATATCAACACGACAACGAACCAGTTACAGAACCAATACCAAAAAATTAAAATGATAACAGTATGTGGGTAGAAACAAACAGAAAGATGAAGCTAAGAGTATGCAAAATGGGTCATCAAAACTGTGACACATGCGGCACTTGGCAATGTCGTCGTTTTGGCTTTTATCTTTCTTTTTTTTTGTGGTAGGAAAATAAAAATTACAAAATTATTGGCAGAATATTGAAAAAAGGAGAGAGAGAGAGAGCGATGGCGGAACCAGCCGCGGCGCCCGCTCCCGTCCTGGCTCATAGGGTGTGCTTCTGGGCTCTGAAAAGGCGTGACTGTTTGGTTAGTGTTGGAACCGGTTAGTGGGCCCTAGGGGCCGGGTTGGGTTAGGCAAGCAGTCTAGGGGGAGGATGCGTTTGGAATGGATGCGCCAGGATTAACGCACAAGCCCCCTGAGCTACGGAAGGCCGGGACGCCGCGGCGGTTACGCGCCATGTGGTGAAGACGACTGTTTGAACTGCTGTTTTTTCGGGTTTGTTCGAGTGTACGAGTGTGGCATTGTGTACGGTTTTTTCTGACAGTGATAGCAGCAGTCGTCCAGCGGAATCTGAATACGAGCACCTACCTCGCGCCTGCGTTCTTCTTCGCGTATCTGCTCGCGCCGTCGCTCCAGCTCCAGCATCATCTCGCGCTCCATCTCGGCCTTGGCGGTCTCCACGCGCCGGTTCACCTCCTGCTCTATTTCATCGCGACGCTTTTCTAGCTCCTCCTCGACGCGCTTCTTAACCAGCATCTCTATACGCTTGGCAGCCTCCTCCTCAATGGTCTTCTGCTCAGCCTCCTTGGCCCGCCGCTGCCGCTCCATTTCGGCTAGGCGTTCGACCTGCAGCTGGTTTTGCTGCAAGGAAATAATCGGGATTACTTAAATGTTTTCGGAGGACGATTAGGGACTACGTCCCGTCCCACCCTACTCACCTCATCCAGCTTCTTGAAGCGGCTGCGCTTGTGTCTGCTGCGCTGGGACTCGAGCTCCGAGTACTGGCTATCACTACTGGACGAGCTGGAACGCTTCCGGGACTTGACGATCGACGGAGAGTGGCGGTAGTCGCGCTCCGTGTGACGCTCGCCACGGTGCCTGTCGCGCTCTCTGTCCCGCTCCCGGTCGCGCTCACGCCTTCCGTGGTGGTTCAGCTCCGAGGATTTGTCTCTATCCACTCGGGTGCTGCTGCGCTCGTGGTCGTGATGAGACTTACTGCGTTTTTTGTGCTTGCTTTTGTGGTGGCGACGCTTGCCCGACGGGCTTGGAGTGCGTGAACGTGAGCCCATGGCGTGGGAATAGGCGATATAATCAGTCTCTGGTTTTGCTGGTTGCCCGATTCGGTCGCCACAACAAATCAATCGAAGTGAATACAAATTTTGTACAATTTTCGCAGATGCCTTGAAAACAGTGTTGCACAGCGTGCTGGTGCAGGCTGACATAAGTGTGGTGTTTGCCTTGGTATTTTTTGGTATTTATTTATTTCTAGTTTCTGTGTTACGCAACACTGTTACAACTTTATTTGATGTGTTCATGTTTTTAATCTACTCCGGTTTGCCCTGCTTCAGAATCATGTCGTGAAACCGGTCGATCATTACTTGGTTGTCCTTAAAGCCCACACACTCCTTTGCGGCCTCCTTGGGCAGCCACTTAAGGGCGGTGTGTTCCTCGGAGAGAATGGGTTCCTGGCAAGGATTCCGGAGTTCCGCCAGCCAGTAGATGACGATTTTCGGTTTGCCCTTCACCTGATAGTTTAGCTCCAGCGGCGTGTCCTTGTATATGATTAAATCCTTCTCATCGTAACTAAAATTGAAGTTTTCCGATTATTGATGTGTATAGTTAGGAACCGATTAGCACTTGCCCGGCTTCCTCTTTAGTCTCCCGCAGCGCAGTGGTGAAGTCATCCTCTCCTGGGTCGACATGACCCTTGGGCGAGCTCCAGTGAAAGTCTCCATAGGAAGCCTTTAGTAATAAGTATTGTATTTCCCCGCAAAGGCGACGAAAAATCACAAAGCCCGCCGCTTTCTTCATGTTTTGGCTATCAAATCTGCCGGAACAGGTGTTTTTCCAGTGCTGCATAATTAGCTTATACTACCTTCGAAATTTTGCTGTTTTCCTTCATTGGGTTTCTTGAATTAAATATTTCGTTATATTTACATTTTCATTTAAAATAAACTAATTAAAAGGGTTTGTCACATATTTAAAAACAAGTTCAGCTAATTGGGTAATTTTACTCAACACTTAATTTTACAAGGGAAATTTGTATAGTGCTGGAAAACGGAAACCTTTTTAACGTATTTTTCTGTGACCGGTCTGGAGGTGCACGTTTTCTTTGTAAATTCATTACATAAATTTTTGAAAAGTGCATCCAAGATGTACGCCTTGCTCCGACGCTTCGCGGGAGTCTCCACCAGCAGCGGTGCACTAAGATGCTACGCCTCCTTCACACCTAGGGATGTGTTGCGGCAGAGCTCCGATGAGACCGGCACCCTGCTCACCCGCTTTGCCAAACACATCGCGCTGGAACGGTACAGGGATCGGGAGCATGTGCTGCCGAAGACGACGGTCCGGTATGCCGACTACTTTCCAATCACGGACGACCATTACTTCCAGCGATCTGTTCGGAAGACAGACGCTGCGCAGCTACCCGCCCTGATCATCCAGGCCTCCAGTTACCGCTCCAATGCCGCCGTGCCCATGTATGCGGCTGCTCTGAACGCGTTGGACAACCATGCAGCCGATCAGCTGGAGAAGATGGATACCAGCACAGTGCTGGAGACGCTGTACTCGTTTCTCTTTCTCATTCCCGGCTGGATGAAGCGGACGGACTTCTTTCAGGCAGCCGTGCAGCGATTGGCCAAGGAGGATTTCCGCGACAACAAGGAGCGATTTGTTCAGGTGTGCTTCTACCTGGGATTGCAGAAAAAGCAAGCCCAGGCGTCCAACGACTTCCAACAGCTGCTGGAGGAGCAACTGGCGGGACATTTGCCTGCGTTGAGTGACCTGGATTTGGCCATGATTAGCAATGCTGCCTACAAGACCTCCACTTTGGTTACGGGCGAGGCGCGATCTCTGTATGAGTCCGCCCTCGTTAAAGCCACTTTGGATTTGGAACTGGATGCGGAGAGCAGTGCTCTGCTGGTCTCCTTTGTAAAGGCCTTGCGCCTCCAACGAGTGAAGAACGTGAGAGTCTGTCAGCATCTGCAGGACATCTGCATGGATCCTGGCCAGATTGCTCTCATCGATCCCCGCGGCTTGGCACATATTTTTGCTTTCTTTGCCGAGCAGCTGTGGGACGAGAAGCACTGCTTGGCCATCGTAGTGGAGCGTCTGATGAACTTGCTCAAGCCAGGAGATCTACGAGCCAAGGACCTTGCCACCTTCCTGTGGGCCAGCGCCCAACTGGATTTCGAGTTATCCGAACCGCAAATTCGACAGCTCGAGCTGGCTGCTCTTCGAAAGCTAGACCATGGCGAGTACGATTATTACCCTGACAATTTGGTGGACACCTGCCTCTCGCTGTGTACATTGGGCTACTACTCAAAGGATCTGATCAACGCAGCCGAGGAACTGAAGGCCGCACAACGAAGACAGCGGGTGCAGCCCAAGGTGGACAGCCGTTTGATCGTCCTGCGATCAGCTATTGCCATCGAGCAGCCAGCGCTGGGGAAGCTGAAGGCGGAACAGGCATTCAAAGAGTTCGACCGTGCACCGGGCTATCTGCTTAAGGAGCGCAAAGACTTGACCAAGTACGCCCAGGAGCTGAGCGAGGATGCCGATGTGGAGGGCGTGGATTTGGTGTGTCCCATCAGTGGCGTAAATCTGCCAAGCCTTCGAGTGCAGACCATGGGCGAGCAGCCGAGTGTGTACTTTGTGGAATTGCTCACTGCCGATCAGACCTTGAAGTTTAGCAAGAAATCCACTTCCCTGCTGCGCCTGAAGAAGCGGCTATTGGAGTCATTGGGCCAAAAGGTGGTCGTGGTAAGACAGTGCCACTAAAATCAAAACTTCTTCGACATTAACCATGCATTTTTACAGCTTCGCACGGCAGATATGGCCACCAGTGCCAAGGAACTGCAACAGCTGGTAAGCCCAGCTACAGCGGTAGAGGCCAGCGAAGAACCCGAGGCCGCACAAGGCCTCAGAAGTTGAATCTTGTGATATATATATATTCCTAGGCTAGTTACAGATCGTAGCTTTATTTAACAGTGTTTTATGTACTTGTACATATTTCTTTAAATATTAATAGCACTAAACATAAATTTCAACAAGTAATGTATAATACAAGGAATGGGCTGCAGGTGTGTTCCTCCACGGAGGTATCAACGAATGGACTTGATCTTGGCCTTGAGCACGACGTAGGACACCAGCCTAAAGACAATTATCATGGCTCCCAGAGCAATGACGTCGTTCCAGAACTGATCACCCCTCATGGTAATTTCCTCAAGGAATTTCTTTGGATACCTAAAGTGACAAAAAATCAGTTTTATAATCCGAAAAAAATCAGTAGTGCCAGAAGATCCCACCTGTAATGGCAGTAGGGCGCCTCCTCGCACGCCAGCACTCCTCGATCCAAGCCGTAGATGGCTGATATAAAGCCCTCTAGCCCATATCTTAAATATGATATGTGGCTGCCCCATTGTAGGTAGCTTGGCAGATCCTTCAGGGTCACTCCAAAGCCAGCGAACATCATCATGGGAATGGTGAGAACGGGCGCCAGGAAGGTGCCGTTGACCACATCGAACCAGGAGCCGATCATCAGACCGAAACTATGACCGACGAAGACCGTCAGTAAGCTAATAACGAAGAACATCCAGAAGCGGACCCACTCCATGGGCTGGTAACTCCACAAGTAGACGATGACGGTGAAAATGAAGCAACTTATTATCTGCCAACGAGAAACTTCGGTTATTTGTGGAATTCCGATTGTCTTTAGCCAAAGAGATACTCACCGATATGGGCAGGTCTACGATAGTCATGGCAGTGTAGTAGGCTTTCAGGGAGTACCAGCGGTTGAAATGCTCCTTGATCAGTATGGACATCTCAATGGGGACTGGTAGAGATAATAAAAACAGATAAAAATACCCTTAAAACCATTCAAGTACAGGGTAACGTACAAGTCAGGACAGTCAACATCATCGTGGTCATGGAATGGTGCATTAGGATGGCAAAGAGCAGGTTGTAGTTGTCTAGCACTCGGGATCCCTCGCGACCCGTGTGATCGTACATGGCGCCAAAAAGGGCTGCCACTGCAATATTGACACCAATCCTCAAGTGCGTCATGGTGGTGTCCCGCTTCGCCTTCATGTAGCCGCGGCGCATCAGCACCGAGCACTGATTAGAGAAGCTTGTGTCCTCCAGCGAACGTGCTTTGGTCCGCTTGGGGATGGGGTACTTCCTCATCAGAGCCTCAGATCGCATTATCGAGCTGGGATTGTCGAACCAGGTGAGGCAGCTTCCGTTCTCCGTGGCTCCCTTCAAGGTGTCGACCTTGTCGTAGCCATATTCTCCGCAGGCCAGCTCGATTACTGGAAAATATGGTCCCTTTTTAGGATCTCTGATTTCAAAATTATGCTGTCAAACTCACTGTAATCCGCTGGGTTGTGGTACATGGGGCAGGGCAGATCCACTGCCTGCAGGAAGGGCACCAGCTTCTGGGTGCTGCCCTGATAGACGCAGTTACCGGCAGCCAGGACGTAGACCTGGTCAAAGATCTGGAACAGCTTGGCAGTGGGCTGGTGGATCGTGCAGATAATGGTACGGCCCTGGCCAGTCAGCTTCTTGAGGAGCTCCAGGACCTTTGTGCAAGAGCTACTGTCCAAGCCTCTGTAAGCAAATATATTTAATTAGGGTGGGTTTGGTACATATAGAATGTTAGCCTTACGTTGTCGGCTCGTCCAGGAACATCACAGTGGGGTTGTTGATCAACTCCATGGCAATGGATAGCCTCTTCTTCTGACCACCGGACAGGCGCATGGTGAGGGTCTGATCGTGATCGTACAATCCCAGCAGCAGCAGGATATCCTCGATCTGGAAGGGAAATCCTTACTAGAAAACTCAGAGCATATGGAGATCGTTTTTGGACATACCCTGCTCTCCTTCTCCTCGTAACTGACCGTCTGTCCCAGCTTAAGATCGGCGGCTATATGCATATTCTCATTGACCGTCAGCAGTGGCTGCAGGCGATCGTCCTGCGTAATGTAGCAGGACATGCGACGGAAAGAGGCTATAGGAGGAATATTCCATATATATTAAACTATAAAGTATTAGTTTTCAAACTTACGCAAGTCACGTCGCCGACCATTGAGCAGGATAGAGCCATCAACGCCCGTTGTCTTGAAGCCAGAAAGGGCATCCAGCAGCGTGGACTTTCCCGCACCCGAAGGCCCCATAATGGCGATGAGCTGGCTGCCAGGGAACTTTCCACTTACATTGTGCAATATTTCCTTGGATCCTACAAGCAGGCATTCAGAAATTACTTAATGCTATCATAAATGGCTATAAAAACACTTTATAGCCTTCATTTTATACGGTCGTTGATATTAGGGTTCACGGAGAACCAAGTCCAATAAAGTCTAGGCTTTTAGCATTTAATTAGTTAATAACTGAATAAACAAGTAACGGCAAGTTTATAATTAATTAATTATTGTATTTATTTTATTCATACAGATGAGATTATCTGGAGCGAATATCGAAAAATAGAATTTAATCATGGAATAATATATTCATTTCAGTCAGGTTCGTAATTCTCATTACATATTATAGCGCAGTTTTAACTCTCTGAAAAATATTTTTTAAATATTTAATTTTAAAAAAGTTTTAAAAGAGAAAATCATTAATCTCCTAGTACATTTTTTAATTTATTAAGACAATTTAATTTTTTAAGACATAATTTAGGCTATTCAATTCGGTGTTAACCCTTTTGTTCACCTTATAAAAATGTCAATAAAAATATCATTATTTTGATCTACTAAATCGTTGAACACATATTATCTTTATTTTTTGTATAATTACCGCCACGGGGCGAAGTGTTGTATGGTCATCAGCATTCTGGTTCTTGATTAGAACAAGTTACCAGGGGCAGGCAAGCACCTACCGTCGATATCAGTAGCTGCTTGTTTCCTCCTGAACTTTGAAATTAGCAAAAGAGACTTGTAAAAAGTATACAACATTTATTGTATATCGAATGCCAAATGCCCTATTCATTTCCTTATGGAGAAGTTCGTTCATATTTGGAGTGTAACCCGTGTATATAAGGGAATTTATGAATGACTAAGGCCCGAAACTGATAAACAGGGGTGTGTGCGATCGGTGTGATCGCCTCGCTTATCTAATCACTGGAGAAGCCAGTTGGTAAAGGAACTAGCAAGCAAGTGTTTATGGGTGATTGGTATATGAAGCTTTGCCGAAACACAATAACCTTGAATAGCACTTGGATTGGTTCTTCAAACTTGCATAATTATATATCATGATTACTTTAAGCGAAAGTAAAAGTATTTCCCTCGAGAGACCCTTTTGAAGTCTTGAAGCACTAAAAATAATATTTCGCTTGTTTCCTTACAACAAGTTCTCTCTCTGCGATCGTTTAGTCAAAGAGTAGCCGCTGGTCGTAAAACATATATAAACCGAATATGGCCATAACTCCTAGCTAATTTTAAGTATTTTCCGCTGGCAATCTTATCGAGCCATATCTTAGAACATGCGATCGCAGTGGATCGTAAATATGACGCCTTGGCTCACCTCGGTTGAAGCCCAATTTCACAGTCAAGGACAGCTCCTTAAACTCCATATCCACGGGCTCGCGGGCTGGCAGGTTGTTCAGGGCATCGATGTCAAAGTGCACCTCCTCCTCCTCCACGGGCTCCAATGGTGGTTGCTTGCTGGCCGTGGATCCATTGACGGTACTGGTCGTCGTGCTTGACTGGCCATTGCGCCATCCTCCGGCACTGGTCACGGGCACTGTGGTGGTATTGTAGACCCGGCTGGGCGTCACCTCTCCGATCTCGATGCCCAGGCCGAGTCCGGCGACGCCGTTGTCGCTGCCGAATAAGAACTGCTCCCGCGCTGTCGCCATGCTAGGTGTGATGGGTCAACTATGGGGATAAGTAATAAGAATTGTATTGGCAAAACATTTACTTTTACATATAGTTTACTTTTTATTAAAACAAAAAAATTTTGTGTTAAGAAAGAATATTAAAGTAAATTAAAAACTAACGTAAAAATTATTATAAACAGGTTCCTGATAATGGATATTAGTTTTATTATCATATTTATACCTTGCAGGGTATTATAATTTCAGTCAGAAGTTTGCAACGCAGTGAAGGAGACGTTTCCGACCCTATAAACCATATATATTCTTGATGAGCATCAACAGGGGAATCTTTCTAGATATGTAAGGAAGAAATCGATTTTTTTGGCCATTTTTGCAAAATTTTATAAGGGGTTACATCATTAAAATTTTTGATTTTGATAAAAAATTGAATTTTCAAAATTTTTAAATAAAGTATGCAGATTTATTAACTGTAGTAAATCTTGCACAGAACAGTTTTCCGATTTAAAATTAATGCTCTTTTGGCCGAGTTATGATATTTTTAATTAAAAAAAATCAAGAAGTTTTTTAATATAAAAAATCAGATTTTATAAAACAAAATAATATTTTTCTAAGTCAAGGAATCATTTCCGACCCCATAAACCATATATATTCTTGATCAGCATCAACAGGGGAATCTTTCTAGACATGTCCGGAAGAAATCGATTTTTTGGTCATTTTTGCGAAATTTGATAAGGGGTTACATCAGTAAAATTAGCAAAAATGGCCAAAAATATTGATTTCTTAAAATTTTAAATTTGGTATGCAGTTTTTTTAAATTAACAAAAACTAACACAAAACTGCTTTCCGAATCGAAATTAATGCATTTTTGGCTTAGTTATGATATATTTTAATTGTTACCTGCAAGGGTATACAAATTTCGGCTGGCCAAAGTTAGCTTTTTTTCTTATACCATATATTATTATATTAAGTCAAAGGTTCTTTATTGTATTTATCTTTTGAAATCCCACAACCAGATTAGTGAATTTTCCAAAGTACTTTCTAATATCACGACTGTCCATTAAACATCTCCTGATGACCAACTTTAGGTGTTCATTGGATATTTGGCCACAGCTTGACCGATTCATCGATTGATTGATTTTGCAACAAGCGGCTTGCCTCTTCTGGATGGCTCTTGCCTGCAACCTGTTGCTGGCCATTTGAAAATGCTTTTGCTTAACCCATTAAAACAGGTTTCACGGCAGCTCAATTCGCACTTTGATCAACTGTGGACAGGTAGATCAACCTTTGTCATCCCACCTCATACTTGCTGGGCTTGGCTATTTCCAATAGAAGGCTTAGATTGCCTACTACATAATATAGGCAGCTAATCCCATCTAGGCGCCCTGTTCGCTTCACCTCTGGCTCAGTCAAGAGTCGTCACATGGGATGGCGGTTGAAATAATTCAATTATCAGCAGCAAGCAGGCTGGCAGTCCCAATTAAATGCCAGTTTACATAAGCGAAATGTAGCACGCAGTTTACTCCACATTTCGCACTGCTGCTGCTGCATGAGACAATTAAATACGGGTGCATTAAATGCACAGATTTGCGAAAAGATCAAGGTACAGAGGCGCTGAGGCGGGATCCGAGGCGGAGGCGGAGGCGGGCGGGACAATAAAACAGCGCACAATTGAGTGGAAATAAAATTGCAAGCGTGAATATGTGCTGTGTCGTATGCACATCTGCTATTGATCCGCTCCAAGCTGATCACTTGCGATCAAAACAAAAGCATTGTCCCATGCAGAGCATTAACAACAAATGGAATCGCCGTTGTCTGCTGGTGACGATGCTATTATATAGTAGCTATAGCTTTTAGATGGGTTGCTTTATTATCAATGCAGCAAACAGGGGTTTCTTACTTCAGATTTTTGTGCAATCTCGATTGGTTGTTGAAAAACAAAGTCCGAAAAACAAATTATACAGATTCGCAGTAGAGTGGAGCCGATAGCGTTTAGCTTATCAAATGCCAAGGAATCTCCTTATAATCTCCAAAGAGGCAAGAGGTCCTTTATGAACTTGCCTTTATTCTTGATGCATTTTCGTGGGAATTCTCATTTGCAATTTCGTATTGTTCCCAGTGGAACTGTGACGCTTTGCTATATAGTATAAACCTCTTATCACATTCTGGGCAATTTTTCCGGTTCCAACTGGGACATTTCCCTTTTCTTATTTACGTTGAGACAGGTAAGATCTCTCCTAATGAGCACTGCCCTTGAACCCAAGTGAAAAAGTTATCAGGTCTGCCAATTCGAATAACCTATGTCATTGCCCTGGGAAACCACAGAGGGAGGTTGGGAGTGGCCCTACCTAGCCCGAGGGCAACGTTGATGGGGCTCAATCAGTTGTATCATCTGTATTTCAATATTGATTGATACCAGAGCTGTCGTCACATTTAGCCGGTCTCGCACTTTTCTTGGATTCCTTTGTTCGATCTCCAACGAGCTTTACATTTCGAGTTTGCCTGTGACTTTGGGGACTGGGATGATTGTTAACTATGCTGGCTCGTATATATAGCACATTACATTATGTACTGGTGCTGATGCTGCTCTGCCTGCCCTGAAACATTGTTTTGTATACCTTGTTTATGTGCCTTGCTGACCGAACAAACCGGTCCAGATTGGATCCCCTGCTCCTTTGCAGCAGAGAGGGAGATGGAGGCAAGCACAGCAGCTGTTGGGAGCAATGCCGATCAGTGCGTTCCCTGGGAACAGATTTCTGTTTGTATTCTGATAATTAAATAATTCAGAAACGACAGAAAAAACTCTCGGTTTCCATCTTTGGGGACGGGTTATTGTCACACTGACTTTAAGTATTCAGTGGCTGTCAGCTAATAACCACATGAATATACAGTTGGCAATTTCACAAATCAAAATGCGGGTTAAGCAGTTCCACATAGAGGGGGGAAGTGACCCAGTCTCGCAGGTCTGCAGAGTAACGCCGCCAGAAATATATCACTTGTATCTAGTCTCCGCTGCTGATACCGAAGCATGAATCAGAGGGTCACTTAACACTCGCCTTATTACGGCTTTTCGCTTTCGTTAACAAAGACTGTATCAAAATGTACTGATAAGTTATGGGCCAATAATTTTGTATTTCTAAAGTTTCTTTTATTGTATTGCATGTTGGTAAAAATAAAATATAAAAACATCATCAATATGTTTTAGAAATAAATTAAGTTGTTTCCCAAGGGGATTAGTTATGCCGGAGTCCTCCGTTCCACCTTTTTTTTAAATTTAAAATTGGTTAAAAACTATATTTTCTTTGCCACGTTTAATTGTTCAATGTTCAAAATGTATACATTTATTTTACAAATTTATATGAACAAAAAAATTCTTCTTAAATTCAACAGTGATTTCCTTTTAAATCTCTTCACTTGATGTTAGAAAAACATTATTTTTTGTCACAGTTAATATTGTTTAAAGCTTTTATTCTTTACTTTGATAATATAATATTATTATTATTAACAGGATCCCAATTAAAAAGGTATTTATAATTTGTATTTTCTATTAAATAATGTTTATTGAAGAACACAAACATTGCACATATATTTTATTAGTTTTTATTCATAACAACTTTCGCGGCTCTATAATTACTAAGATCCTTACCCTTTATGAGAGTCAGGATTTTTACACTTTAGCAGGAGAACTAGAAACCCCTTCGCACTATAGTATATCCACCGAAACGTTGATCTCGCGATCCCGCAACCGAGTAACAGCGTCTTCGAAGCGACGTGCGCGACTGGCGGTCAGTAAACAAACAGTGATCCCAGCTAGCTGTGGTGGCTACATTGGCGGTAGCGGTTCCCGATCGCCCAGAAGGCGGCTGCCAGCGGAGAGCAGCTTCGCTGATCGCTGCCGCTGCGCACACAGCCACAAAGAACACGATCGGGCGTCCCAGCTGGGCGAGAGTATCTGTGCGTCCGCGTAAATGTGTGTTGAATGCAGGCTTTACCGAAGGCGCTCAGTGATGCCCGGTGTTTTTAATTAGAAAAAAAATCTGAATTATAGCAAAGGTGGAAAAAAAATATTAAATCAAATTCTTGAAGACCTTATTTTAGTTAATATTTAAGATAAAAACTATACCCTATGTATCGATCAATTTAAAACTTTGTACATATGTGGGTAGAAAATTATAAATTCTAAAAAAAAATAAGATTCAAAAAATATATCATTTCACAAAATTATAAAAGGCAAGTTATTGATTGCTATTTATTTAAATAGGTAAACCATTTTATTAAATCAATTATATATTTTTCGTATTAAAGATCGTTTGTCTTACTAATTTAAACTAATTCAGTAATAAAGCCCAATATAATCACACATATTCAGGCTCAGAGTTAATTTATACCTTAAACTATATTTAAATATTACATTCTAAAGTATTGTAGAGTTTAAATAGCCTAAAGAAATTCATATAATTTCCTTGGAAATTGCCAATAGTGCCAGCACTAACCCAAAGATTGCTTGTCAGTCTCTGCTGGCGTTTATTTCGCATTGGTTATTAATGTTTTGGCGTTGTTATATTGTCGTTTTCCTTCGCTGATAAGAGCCACACTCACGCTCACACACACTCCCACCTGTGATACTCACCTGCTGCGGCGGCTGATTGAGTTTTTTGGCAGTACGGCTTTCTTGGCCCGATCGCAGTGCTTGGCAACGGAGAGAGGAATGCGATCGAATCGGGAGCTCGGGGGCTTCGGCTCGGGTCACAAGTCCACATATCGAATCTCTTCGGTGCTCCGCAAGAGTCGTATACGTAATATACGTTGCGTTCTTCATTTCGCTTTTATTCTGTGCCAATGGCAGCGGCGCAGAGTAAAACAATGGCCAGCTCTATCCCCGCTCGGCATTATCGGGGCTGGTTTACAATGCCTATATAGCACACACAGTATATGGTATATAGACCCACCTACACACAAAGCATCCGTGTACTTATTAAGACTCTTTGTGCTGTTCTGTGAATCAGAGTTATTTCACCGATTAGCTTCCCTGTTCAGACGTTCTTTGGACCCTTGCATTGACTGGCATTCACGAAATCAAGGTAATCTGAGGTCTCTTTTATTCACTTACCTTTTCATTGGAAATTAATTCGAAGGTACGATGACTGTGAATAATCCAATGAATAAAGCAAGGATTTCTTGATCTAAAAAAAAGCATCATTAAAGAATTCATATATTTTCAAGACTCCAATGATTAATAAGTTCAGAAATCGCTCGGAAGTTGGGTTTATCATAAAATGTATTTTCACTTTCGTATTCCCCAACTTGTAGAACCTCCGCTGCTGTGTCCCACTTCTCTCTATTCATCCACTGAAAACTTCATTGATAAGTGCTTATTTAGTTATTATCGTAATAATTACCCCATCAAATGAGCCCCGCGGCGACACTAGTATGATTCAATCCTCTTGCCGGACTTTGACCGTTCTCGACTCGAGCTAAACAAAAGCCGATTGAAATAGTAAAGTACTGCTGAATGTTCCCAAGCTTATAAGGGAGAACAGAGTAGAATATAAAATCGAGTAATACGTCACGGCTTTATCGAGTGCTACTGTTCGGGCTTGAACTTTGTTCTGAGCTTGTTCCGGGGATTACGAGTTACTGCATCGATAGCCGGTGACTAGAGAAGTCCGTACCAGAACTCCATAAATAACGATTTACATAAGTGTTTGATAAGTTTAAATATTAACTACATCTGCAAAACACAATCTTCAAGACCAGGGAACGATAAGATAACAATTTATGATCGTTATGGCTAAGCCAATAGGAAATCGTAAATAAGGCGCATGGGAACTTATCCGTCTTGAAGCTAAATCAAGGCAATCGCTTGGCTTCCTTGTTTTAGTTAATCGCGTTGCGCTCATTTCAAATATTTGCCCATATCACTGCACCCATCCACCGATCGAGCGTCCAAATCTGGAGGGTTTCTCTCTCCTCCGCCTCAAGTTATCATCATGTGCCCAGTCCATGTTGTGGTTGGTATTCTAAACAATCAAAGTCCAAATAACCGCGGGCTCTTTAATGTTCCTGGGTGATTCGTCCAGTTTGACGAGTGCAATGAATTTCCGTACCAATTGTGCTGATAAGCATGCGCTGGAGCGTGTGTCTCTTGGAGCAATTAAATATGATCTCTGCCAAAAATATCAGACACATCGAAAGTGGTTTATTCCACAGATTTTACGATTCATTATTAAAAACTAATGGCGTGATTCTGACGATTAATTAGCTTCTGATTTGATTTTAAAATATTTCAAAACCTATTCGTTAGTATCATAATCTTCATTTTAATGGATAAAAGCTAAAAGTTAGTCGAATGTCCTTCCAAAATTTAAAATATTTTGAAATACTTTCCTTATCAAAATGATTCCTTTAAATTGAATATATTATGTTTTAAAAGTGTATTGAGTTCTGCCAAATCTTATAGCTCTAGCTACAAAACAAAAAGCTTTTGAACTTAAACTTCCTTCCGCCTGCAAGCCAACTTTTGTTTGTAGATAATTTTCTTTAACATAATTAACACTTTTTTTAGATTTGACACACCCAAAATCATCTCCGAAGAGGGTCAGGTCCGTAATAAACTCTATTCCTGCTGTCAAAACCACATCTGTATACTCACCAAAAGCTGATCTCTCCCAAAGTATATGTAGCCGCCGAAAGAAAAACCCATTGAAGATTGCTTAACAAATTTCTCACACACCTGAAATTTTGCTCAACCGGATTGTAGGCCCAAATGGTAACGGTTCAGCAAGATACAGGCGCGAATGAAATATGCCGCCCGAAGGATTATAATAATTCCACAAAGGATGTATGAATCATCAACTCACTCGAGCACTCTGGACGAGACTGGAACCGCGACCGCAACTTTTCCGGGCCACGCTCGGATTGGAACTGATGGCCAGAAGCCAACGCCAGCTTCTAGGTAGCCACTTCTGATCGACCCGGACCCGGGCGCCCGTCCATCCGTCCACCTATGTAAAGGCGTATTAGCATTAGAGGCACTGGGAACAAAAGGAAGCGCTGACAATGGCAGCGTCGGCTCTGCCTGGTTGGCTGAGTGCCGCCTCGGTTGGGGTTGGCTGACTGACAGACAGACTGGCTGAATGGGTGGGTGGGTCACTAGCACCACTTGCAACGGCGGCGCATGCCCGTTGAACGCCACCATTAGTCGGAACTGTTGTTGTTGCTGGCGGGACGCACCTTACTAATACAAATAGCCGCATAGAAGCGGAGCGACAGCTGACACCATCGGCGAGCGCGCCTCTTAACGAGCGGCCAGCGCGGCGACCCCACCTAGTATCACCTGGAGTGATTACATACTCGGCCACATGGAGATGCCACTGCCTCGGGGTTGCCATGACGTATGCCTGGGCTTGGACTGTGGTCCGCACATAGCTCAGCCGTTTATCATTGGGCAAACAATATATGTATAGCTGGGATCCTGTCATATATCCTGCCACTTACGTTTAATACGCACCTCAAAATGGGTTAATGACTTGGCAAATGCATTTCCTAATTAAATTTTGGTCCCAGATGCAGTGAGGCGTTTCAGTAACCCAATTTCGAAGGAGCCTGCTATCCCCACAAGAATTTAGGCAGGAACTCAAATTAAAGAGTTATCTTAAAGGTGTTTTTCTTCTATATTATATTCTATATAAACTCAACAGACGATATCTCGAAGGTCTATATAGATTTTTCTAAACTTTCAAAACTATTTTCAAGTGAAAGAACAGTACGTTATGGCGTTTAATTTTGTAAATTAATCAAAGCATTAAAACCCAGCTCCTTATTATAACTGGAAAAAATGAGCTTTTTACTATAAATTGTGTTAAGGTCAGAAGAGATTTAAAATTAAGCCTTGTTTCCAAACATATATAAAGTTAAAACAACTTCTTTTCTTCTTTTCCTAAAAAAATATAACAACATGTTAAGATATTCAAAAAGTTGCTCTAAATTAAATTGAATATTAAACTGCAAAGCTACTTTATGTAGGAACCTACCTCTCAATGGAATAAACCAAACGATATCCTTCTCCAACGTTATGTATCCATAGTCCGTTGCTCTGTAGCACACCTTGTTCCAAAAGCCAATCCTTAAAACCATATGTACAGGGAACTATTATCCTCTACCGCACCCACTCTCCTGCCAGTGGACGTGGCACTTTTCGCGCCCCACAAGTTGCCCTTTTTCCAACCACGCCATGTCCTTTCGCCACACACACACACACAGAGGACAGGACTCCGCGAAGCGATGAATAGCTGCGGGGATGATCTGCGGTCGTTAAAAGGGCGCGTCTCGCATTAAAACTTCCAAAACTCACATAGCCAAATGTCAGCCGAACAGGGATTGGCCTCTGGAACGCAGCTAGTGCCCAGACATGTTGGCTAAAGAATCAATTATGACTAATTGAAATATTTGCAGCGACTTATAAAAAGAATTTGATATTTAAAATAAGGTATTTGTATTTACTTGAGCACATGATTTAAGAGAAGTGCTGGAAATTAAAGACACTTTTGAAAAGTGATGCCACACCTCACTGTTTACCTTAGAGTCCTTCCAAACCCTCCTCTGCAAACACATTAGCTCACTGGGCAGCCTATATACCGATGACATTACATAACAAGCTGATCCCACAAACGGCGGGGGCCAGCCCATTCGCGGCCGCATCCGCCTTTAGTCTTGCCATACATTAAAATCTAGGTGAGGGTGTGTTGGCCGTTGAACGAAATTTAGTATCAATGAGCATGCGGCTCTGCCATTTGGGTTGTATGGTTAATTTAAATGCAACTATTTAATTAATTTCAGCTCCGCCCGAAACGATTTGTTTGCACATAATTAAATCGACTAATTGGATGCCAGTTTTTAGTATCAATTAGCCTCTGCCTGGGCTGGGCGTAACTTTATGCCTCACATATCGATTGCACCTGTTTAAGCTACGCCAAGTCGTCCAAAGTTGATTCTGTGGAGCCGGGCTTGACCTGCGGCTGTCCCAGCGCCATGGGCAGGCGATCGCCCCAGCGACTGACTTTCGCACAACTGTAGGCGGATCTGCAAGGAAAATGAGGTTACTTGAGGAACCAAAAAATAAAATTGGGGATTTCACTCACTTTCCATGCTTGGACTTGGTGAAAATGACTTCTTGTAGATTGCCTTTTTCCGTACAAACCCTACAGATTGCATGCTTCGAACGCACCAGAGTGGGCCGCACAATCCGTGGCCAAGAACGGGAACTATCCGATGGGGGACCCTTTTTCAGGATGGCATAGCTATACAAGGAGGTGTGACGGTCCGCCATAGAGTCGCTGCCCAATCGAAGGGGAGCGTAGGAAATAGGAAAATTGCAGGGTGTGCGATCAGCCAGATCCTTAAGACGTGGACAGGCCACATCATGGGGACACTGAAAATAGGAAAAGAGATTTAAAAACACTTTCCCAACGGTTTAGGGTTAACTTTGAAGCATACCGGCGCCAGTGTATGACCCTCGTCGTCCTGTTCCAACAGAAATCGCCTGGCCTCGTTGACCAACTCGCTGCCACGACGCGTTCCCTCCTCCGCTATGACCATGTAGCCATCGCACTTGCGCCACAGATTCAGTAGAACCTCCTGGCGCTGCTCTTGGTCTGCCATCTCGAAGAGCGTGTGGGAAATTATCACCAAATCATACTTGGTTTCAATGGCGGGTAGGAATTGTCTGTAGTACACGTTGCGCAAGGGTATTTGCTTGTTCTCGTGGCCATCCCGCAAAATCAACTCAGAAATCTCGTTCATCTCCCTAGACCTGTCCACGTTGTAATACTCGAAGATCTGATCGCGCCAAAGTTCGCTGGCCACCCACATCCCAGTACCGACGCCCGATCCGAAGTCGAAGAAGCTGCGCGGACGGAACTGCTCGTCCCTCTGGGCCAACTCGGTGAGCACACGCTTCATTACTGCGTACTCTTGGGCACCGCGGGCAACGGCATAGACAATGGCTTCGTAGGTACCGTACTCGATGCGTCGCCAGGCGTAGAGGCGTTGGGCCAGCCGCTTGTTGATCTCCAGCTCCCTCTTTCGCTTCCACCGCGTCGCCTCCTCCTCGCTCAATGTAGCCAGCCGGTCCAGCGGCATCTTTGCATTCACTTCATCGATGATAATCCGCTTTTTGTTCTCAATCTCCTCGTGCGAGGGCGGCGGGTGCCGTGATTTGATGTAGGAGTTGAGCTGCTGGCCGTCGTGGATTACTTTCTTTACGGGATGGTCGCCCACAATGCGTTTAAGGGTGTCACTCAACTGTTTTGGTAGCTCCACATGATTAGGCTTCACTACACCAGGATGTTTCCTTGGCTTAATGGTGGCCTGTTCCAGACCGGTGACAACCGCCGGTTCCACATCAACAGCAATTTTGCTTGTGAAGCGGTGCAGTCTTGGCACCAAGGTCCTCGTTGTGCACTTCAAGGATAACAGCATTTTTTACTTGTCTTTATTTCATAACATGTAACCGCAAAATCAAAACAACTGGCGGCACGCTTTGACCGGTATTTTTGTTTCTGGCGGCCAGTGTTGGCAAAGTCCTAGGAAATCAGCTGATAGTAATGTTAAAAATTTCCCTTTAGACACAAATGCGGTCAGATTATTAGCAACGATTATGCTGTAAGTTATATTTAACCATTTTTAGGTAATGTTTTTAGATAATCTAAATAAAATTAGTATCATTAATAATCTTATTTTTATTCTTAAATTAAATAATAAATAATGACTTGAGAGAGACACCAGCTAACTGCTATTATATGGTCCTCTGCTGTATCAGAGAGCTGTCTGTGTATGCGTGCATCTGTTTCAAAAATTTACAAACAATTGGAAGCCCATGGAGCCGCGCAATGCTTTAGCGTCTTAAAAATGGATGAATACGAAGCACAAGTGAGCAAAGGTGATACCAATTTTACCCCAACTTCCTTTACGACCCTAGTTATTTGTAACAGCTGATAGTTGTGGAACAAGCGCTTGAAAATGCCATCGATGACCAGCAACGTCAGGAACTTTTGGCCCTGAAAACGAATCTACAGGAGCTATTAGCACTCACCAAGGATACAGGAGATGAGCACCCAACCGAAGAAGTTCCTCAAACGGGAAACAACCTGGACGAGGAGCTGCAGCGGCTCAAGAGCGAACTTAACGACCTGGAGGAGGCTGACGCCGGCACATCAGTTGCCAATGAGGAACAGCAGTTGGCGGAGCTGCGGGCCAAGTACACAGCCATGGTGGGCGAGAAGTGCTCAGCTCCGCACGAACACAGCTGGGGTGCCCTAAGCTATCACAATTCCCTAATCTGTGGCGTGGACGACGAGGTGATCATCAACGGCGACGGTGTATTGGATGTCCGGTTGCGGGTGCTCTTCACAAATCCCACGCATCGCGAGATGTTGCCGTGCTCTTATTATCTCGAGGGCGAGTGTCGCTTCGACGAGTCACGGTGTCGCTTCTCCCACGGAGAACTGGTCTGCGGCAGCTCTATTAGAAAGTACAAGAAGCCCGACTTTCACAAATTATCCCGCAGTTGTCCAGTGTTGGCTCAGCTGCAGGACCGACTTTGGCACCGCGGTCGGGTTCTATGCGTCAATTTCGTGGATCAGGTGTGTCGAGTGCGTTTGGATGGCCAGGAACACAAGGAGAGGGAAAGAGACTTCAAGTTCGAAGAGCTGTTCCCACTTACAACCGGTCAAGATGAAGATGAGGACGAACTAAGTAGCGGAGATAGCAGTTCTACTCTTAACGAAGAAAGCAGTGACGAAGCGGACTCGGACATGGATGACCTAGAGGAGGCCCGGCGAGCTCGCATGGTCGAGCTTAGTTTGTTCACCTTTAAGCCGACCGAAAAGCTGGGAGCCTGGGAGGAGTTTACGCGGGTAAGAATGCCACCAAACACAATAGCCAGGATATAACTTAACCTAAACACCATCCGCACAGGGCATTGGCTCCAAGCTAATGGAGAAAATGGGCTACATCCATGGCACAGGTCTGGGCTCCGATGGAAGGGGCATTGTGACCCCAGTGAGTGCTCAAATACTTCCTCAGGGGCGATCCCTAGACGCTTGCATGGAGCTGCGTGAGGCCGCCAACGGGGATAAGGACTTCTTCAGCGTGGAACGAAAGCTGAAGCGAGCCCAGCGCCGCCAAAGAAAAGCGGGTGAGAAGGCATATGCCCGGGAGTCACAACGCACGGACGTCTTCACATTCCTTAACGGCAGCGTGCTGGCTAGCGGGGATAGCAGTCAAAAGGGCGAACAGGTGGCCAAGAAGGCAAAGACCAACGAACTGCAGCAGCACTCCACCAAAACGCTAAATGTGGAGACGGTGCGGGTGGCCGATGAGATCCGGCGAAAGCAGCGGGACATCGCCAAGGTGCAGCAGTCGTTAAACAGAAATTCCAGCGATGTGCAGCTCCAGAAGAGACTGCAGCTGCAAATGGATACCCAAAAACAGGAGCTAGCCACTCTGCAGAACCAGGAACGCACTCTCAGCAAGGAACAGCAGACGCGCAAGAGCAAGAATAAAATGTTTGAGTTTTAATACATATAAAAAGCTGTTTCTTTATGTTTAAATGTTTCTAATCTACCTAAATTAAATACTTCCGAATGCTCCCGCCGTTATGATGGCCGTCATGTACTGCTCCAGTAGTGCCTGGGCCAACGGGGCTCCGTGCTCCACGGCCAGGGAGTACGCCGTCTCCCCATTCTCGTTGGTAGCACTCAAATCCAAGTCCCTGGCCAGCAGCTCGTTGCACGTATGCGGATGGTTGCCAGCCGCTGCGTACATCAGCGCAGTGTTGCCCACAATATCCATGTGCCCAGAGTCCGCGCCATGATCCAGAAGGAAGCGAACGATTTCGTTGTGGCCACCAGCAGCCGCCAAGAGAACGGGACTGACCAGATCCGGGGCCATGAAGTTTACATTGGCCCCAGCTGCCACAAGCAGCTGCACGGACACCAACTGGCCGTACGAGGCGGCCCAATGGAGGGCCGTGAAGCCATGCTCGTCTTTGTGATCAATGTCCTGCTTGCGCGCTCGCTCTGCCGTCACCTGCTCCTCGGTGATCTCGCCCTGGCCAGCTCGTTCGTGAAACGAGAGAGACACTTCCACGGGACAGAAGGTGGCCTCTGTGTTGCCGCGCTGCAGATTGGTGAGCACAGTGGACTGTGGACGGTAGGGGAGGAAGGCGCTCTTCCGCTTGGAGTCCAGCACCAGCATGGAAGTTGGCGCCGACCGCACGGCGTCATCGTCGTCGGAATTTGTGTTGTTTTGGAGAGTGCTAGCTGGCGCCACCATTTGTTTTGGTTTTGTTCACGTTTTGTGATACAAGCTGTCGTTTAGCGTTTATGCGCAGTGCGAAGTGGCGATAACGAATATATTTCATTCAGGGGATATTTACTATTTGTCAATGAACACCATCACTAGGCAAAACAATGTTTTATCCGTCCAGTTTTAATTAAAAGTTGCCATTATAAATTAACCAGTGAAATGTTTTCATTCGATATTTGGACGTATAAACGCAAAGGAGTGATGACACGACGTGCCAAAACAGCACTATCGTTATCGATAACTGTGTGTTTTGTTTGGTTTGTTTTCATTTCTCGTTTCAAAGCTTAATTTGCGTTTAATTATGTAAATATATTTACCAGATTTGTTAGCGCTGTGTTTGTGTGTTTCATAACAGGTTTTGCGACAGCGTCGCAGTTTTTTTTTTTACCAGAAACTCCTCCTGCACCTGTTGCGCCAGCCGAGTTCGATTCAGTGCAAACCTGCGTTTGGCCTTTTTATGCCCTTTAGTTGTACGTTTCCACTGCCACCGACAATCGCTGTGCAAATCAATTGCGTCGAAGTGGGATACGCACAGACACTGTAGAAAATGGGCAACACGAGTTCCAAGGGGGAGTCGGACGCGAGTGAGCCGCCCCTGGACGGCGGGAAGCACAAGCACAAGTCCAGCACGCACTCCGCCCACTCGAGTGGCTCCCACAATGGCAGCTCTGACGCGGTCGGCGGTGGCGGTAGCAACAACAGTCTCAAGGTGCAGCAATCGCAGGCATCGATGACCAGGTCCGCCTCCGGGGCGGACGTCACCGAGAAGTATCTCACACAGCTTGTCCCGGTGGAGAAGCTGGCGGAGATCCTCAGGGAGTTGTCGTCGGCCAAACTTGGGGTTAATGGGATTGTAGCCGACGTCTTTGTGGTGAGTAATTAACTGATAACGGGCAACGACGACAAACCATTCACATACAACACCTTTCCCTCTGACTCGCATCAGTCACAAGTATTTCCGCAGTACGCGGACCTGGGACAGCGGCTGTTCAGGCTGATGCACACCAACTCGAAGGCCACCACGAAGCACCTGGGCGCCGTCGCCTTCCGGCAGCAGTGCGAACGCTTCCTGGGCATTATGGACGATTCCAAGACGCTGGAGTGCTACATTAAGATGTACGCCCAAGAGGACAATCCCGACTTCATCGACAAGGAGGGCGTGACGCGCCTGCTCCACATTTGCTACACAATTGCCATGCAGCACTCGGGCAACGCCGTCCTGTGCTCGGCCATCAATCGCACCTTTGGCTCGGTGACCAAGTCCATTTTCCTCTGTCACGACAGCCTCAGTCTGGGCTATGTGTGTCGCTGGTTCGAGCAGAACTTGATTCGCTTGGTGCTACTTGTGCACAAATACTGTGTGCACACGCTTTCCACGGCCTATCGCGGCCTGGAGCAGCAGTCCCAGTCCTGCGGCATCGAGTTGCAGACTCCGGTGCTGGAGCAACGCAATCCCTTCACAGACGCCACCGACCACAGCGGAGGCGGGCACGGCGGCCGGGATTTGGACTCGCTGATGCCACTCTCACAGGCGTGGTTGCTGGCCGGGGCCTTGCCGCCTCTCTACTCCAAGCCCCAGACCGTGGCTCCGCCTTCAGCCGGTAAGGGCAACGCCAATAGCAGTGCCTCGAGCGCCGTGCAAATCTTCAAAGAGAAGCTTTCGATGATGCCGTCGCACTGGACGCTGCTCTACGACTCGAACGAGCATGGCGTTGGCGCCAATCGGTTTCTGCATCACGTTCTCGGCTACCGGGGACCAACTCTCGTCCTGCTGCACACCAAGGACGAGCAGACGTACTGCGTGGCCTCGCCCAGTGAATGGAAGGAGACGCATTTGTTTGTGGGCGGCGAGGGCTCCTGTGTTATCCAGCTGCTGCCCAAGTGTGTAGCGAAGTTGGTATAGATCTACGCTCAGTTTATTAATAATGTTCGTTAAAGGTTTGTGATACTGGAGAAGAAGCCGAACATCCTGTACCTTAACACGAGCATACGCGGGTATCCGAAGGGATTTCGGGCCGGCGCCGATCCCCGCAAGCCCATTATATCGGTCGACGAGCATTTCGAGAATGTGGACTGCAAGGGACTGGCAGCAGGACTAATGTCCATAGAGGTAAGCATCTAATATATAATAATAATAATCACATTCTATGAATATTTTTCTGTACTTTAATTGCATTTCTGTACAATAAGCCTTACTCAACAGGGTATATATATATATATGTGTATACGCATATATGTTGGGTATATATAGTGTAAAAATCATTGACGTATGTATATGTATATATCGCATATTAAAGGCTGAATATTCAGCCCAAGCAGTTAAAAATCACCACACCTGTGCCGCCTAATGGCCAGGTGTTGTGCTCTTATGATGCATTTTTAAACCAAGTCTACGATTCTCCTCACCCAACAACAACAACAACAGTGTCTACCAACAACAAGAACTACACGTTGCTCTCTCTCTCCCCTTTTGGTTTTCCATCGCAGGTCTGGGGATGCGGCGACAAGACATCACGCGAAGTGCAATTGGACATCAAGAAGTGGCAGATCAAGGAGGCCGAGCGACAGCGAACGGTGAAGCTCACTGCCGCCGACTGGATGGACCATCCGGATCGATATCTGCTCGAGCTGGGCGGCAGGCAGAACTACAACAATTGATCGGGAGCGGCTGGCTGCGTCGAAATATACTGGGATACAGCACGAGAAGTAATCACTGGACTGAATTTGTTTTTAATTGATGTTGATTGATATTCGGTTTACTTGTTTTCATTCTATTAATATCCGGGCTTAGTATTTGATTTGATTTATATAATGTTCGTAACGTGAATTCCGTGTATGCCTTTAAATGTACTTCGTTCTACATTGTCTGCGTCCACCTACATATGTGTGTATCGGACCGGACCTCCTCTGTCTGCGTATTCCGTCTTCGTTTTAAATTAAAGTCTCTACTGTTTCGTTCTATGTATCTTCGTTCAAGTGTAAAACAAATGAAAGTATTATGAAAAGACATGGGAATCGAAGTGCTTAAACAAATAATTCAATAAATGTTACAAATTATATTCAATGGCGTTTGGAATTCTTCGCTCATCTCCCTTATCAGACAAGTGATAAGAGAACTTAGATAAAAATCGAAAGATCAAGGTCCATTAAGAGAACGGAGAATGGAATGCAGGTCGGGGAAAATCAGGGATTCAGCAAATATGTTTAAAACCTTTCTTATCACTTCAACGTCTGGCGGCAACCAAAATAAAACAAAGATAAGACTTAATACTATATTACAATGAATGAGAAGCAATGTTAGTGTGCATGGGCGTGCAAATAATAAAAACATAAAAGTCAGTTGCAAATTGTTTTCAAGATTATATTATTGCGATGTATATTAGTTTTACAATAAGAATTTCTATATAAATACAAGTCTCGCCCTTTTCGGACCGGCGGCAGTCACAAAATTCACAAGCGCTCCATTAACTACATATACTTCTTCGGGATCACCTAGCGGGGAGGGGGGAATGCACATATTTAGTAAGAATATCGTTTCGAGTGCAAGGTCTGCCTGCAAAAACAGTGTATAAAATGTACGTACAAAACGCCACTAGACTCGCCTATTTCTATAATGATGATTCTTTGGGCTAAGGGATGTGTGCGATTACAATAATTGGGTGGCATGGAAAATCAGTTGGGTTGCTGCGCTTTCGCAATGAAAACTAAGGCCACGATTTCAAAGAACCCCATTTGATGGGGACCGGTAGAATGAGTTCGTTTCATGAGTATTTTAAGCCTAACACACATCAAGATAGAGGGGAAATCATAAATATAAGCAGAACATAAAGTGAATAAGGATTGAGGGGCGGTTTGGGGGAGTCTAGGTGATGTATTCTCGATCGCGGCGACGCCGCGTCGTTGAGGCAAAAACTACAACGGGCTGACCGCCGCCAGCACCGTCGTCGTCATCGCCATCATCGTCTTCGTCCGCGTTATCATTATCATCATCGTCACCGTCATCATCCCCGCCCGTTGAGTTCGACCACTCGGATGCTGTCTGATTGCTGCCCGTGGCACTGAACTTGAGGCTGCTCGACATGCCAAACGACACGGACAGCGAGGCACTGAGCGACGAGGCGGCATTCAAGTGCTGGCTCACATCCACGCCGTCCTCATCCTCGAATGCGTCGTCAATGTGCGGGTATTGGTGATGCTGCTGGTATTGGTATTGCTGATAGCGGTGTCACCTGCCTGCTCCGCCACCCAGAAGCAGGGCATAGTCGTCATTGGACTCGGGAATGGGCGCGGCGGCCGAAGCGGCCCCGGCGCCGGGTGCCAGACGCAGGAAGCTGCTATTGCCACCAGCACCACCGGCGCCCAGATCCCTATCCCTTTCACGCTCACGCAGATGTAGCGTTTCACGCTGACGCGTCGACGGCTGTGTGCCCGCCGCTCCTGGCAAGTGTAGTTGCTGTTGTTGGTAGTTGTTGCTATTGCTACTAGTAACCATATCATCGGGCGGCACGCCTGCTAGGGGAAATCGAGATTGAGATTGGGAGTGAGTGGGTTGGTTTTCGGGGAGTGTGCTCAACTTGCCCTCGTAAACGGGCACGATCAGGCGACTCGACGTTGCGCCATATGTTACCATGTTACCTGACTGCGACGAGCTGCCCGACATTTGCTGATCCTGACGCTTGCTAATGAGATACTCAGACTCGCTGCTGGAGCGACGAGGACTACGCGCCAGCGGCTGATAGGTGCTACGTCCCTGAAAGCGGCGACTCAGCGAACTGCTCACAACTCCCAGGTGCTCGGTGACGTCCTCTTGCATGTCGGATATGTCCATCATGGAGAGGAAGGCGCGGCACCAGTTATGGTTCGGATTGTTCCAGTACTGCGGCGAGTTGATGTGGAACGGATGATGCGGGAAGCTGTAGATATGAGCCACGGCGGCGATGAACATCTCGATGCAAATGAGGAAGTTCTGGCAAATGGCGATTACAAAGTTAGAAACTTTCACTTTAAATAAGACAAATTTTGTTTTCCATAAAGGTCTCAATAAGAGAAAGTGGCTTGAATCGCCTGAGGCAAAGGTTCACCAGTAGCTCACCTGCAGTAGAGATGCCAGATTCGTGTCGCCCACATCCGATCCGAAAATGTCCTTAATTATATTGTAATAGACCAGCACATTGAGCAGCACTCCTTGGCTATGATTCAATTAAATAAGATTCTCAAACACACGAAGCTTAGACAGCGGTCTCCTGGCACTTACAAGAAGGAGAAGAACACCACAGCCTTGATGCAAAGGAACTTGGGAATGGGCTTCATTGGCTTGAGGTCCTCCTTGTTGGCACGGTAGAATAGCACCAGGCAGTACATGGCCACAAACTGGGAGATGTTGTTCACGACCACGATGTAGGGGAAGGCCACGTTACCGGCAAACTCGCCCTCGCCATAGACGCCGCACAGCTCACAGATGCTAAGGATTAGATTTAACCGATTTCAGATTACGATTTGCAAGAAAATATAGTATATGGGTTGAGTCTCCCGGCACTCACACAGAGATGAAGGTGGTGATCGGTCGCACCACTGTATATTGGAGGATTCCGTGCTTGCAGTTGTGGATGAACTCGCGCCCCATCACCCACGGTCGCATGCAACAGAGCGGAAAGAAGTGCTGTACCTGCGGCTTGTACTCCATGGTGGCCTCCAGGTCCATGTTGAGATTCAAGTAGTTGAGCAGGTACACCATGAAATTGTAGATCACGTACGCCTCGTAGCACTCGCGCAGCGAGTCCACGTAAATCGAGTGCTTCGGAAAGAAGAGGCCGATCCACTGCGGGGAATCGTACAAGCAGTATTAGATTTCGCACACTTGTTTGCGGTCTCCGATTCCAATTCCCATTCCGATGACCCACTTACCGCGTTCAGGGCGTAAATGGGCACCATCCACAGTATGCGAATGATGTGCTTTTGCAGAATCGGTTTCGTGAAATGGATGACGTGTTGGATAATGTGCCATATCGACACGGGCACGGCGGCCAGCACGAAAAGACCACCGATGAGGATTAGCTGGTCGTTACGCTGGAAGCCATCCTTCACCGAGTTCACAATCAGGAGCGGAACCACAATGATGGCGAAAATGCCATAGGTGACGATCAACAGCGGCCGTATCCATATCCGCCAATCCTCACAGAAGCGTCTCAAGTCCAACCCGCACATCGTTCGCCCCGGCAGAGTGGTGTCTCGTCTGGGTTCTCGCTTGCGATAAGGGGGCCCGGATTTTCTGTAGAGCACAGCAACAACGCTGCCTAGTTGTTGATTCGTTGCTGTTGGCGTTGCCGCCGCCCCGTTGCTGTTTTCTCTTGACTTCCAACACTCTCCGCCGCTCTCAACCGTCACTCCGTTTGCAGAATTTTAACACTAAGCACGGGTGTCGCATCTACGATGCCGGCTCATTTTCAGGAATCCGCTCCTAGCAGTGCAAAGGGGCTGGCGAGCCACTAGTTGTCCTGTTTGCAATAATATTTTGGCCTTAATTCCCCTTCTTTTGTGGCAACTAGAGATGGCGATACTTCGATAATAGGTAGCAGCTCCATGCAGTGTGACCGTAGCAGGGACATTGAAATATGTCATAGGAAGGGAAGTTTTAAAATATTCCCTTTACACTGAAAAAAAAACGAAAGTAACTTATTGAAAAGAAAACCCACTTATCATTCCTAAATAAAGAGAAGAACTAATTTACATTTACTAATTTACAAGAATTAATTTACATTGAAATTTAAAAACCAAGCACATCGCTTTATGAGACCTCTTCTAAATATTAAGGAATGTGATGATTTCTAGAATTTCAAGTATAAATCTACGACAAATTAGGAAATTTGTTTAACATTTTAAAATTAGTTTTAAAGCCGTTTAAGCCATGGGGTATTTTTATTTATATAAATGCACAAAATATGTCTGAGATAAAGGAAGAACTAATTTACATTGAAATTCAAAAACCAAACACATAGTTTTATGATATTTATTGTGGTATAAGAGACCATTTCTAAATATTAAAGAAAGTAAGGATTGATTCTCTAAGTTCAAGTATCAATCTACAAATTAAGCGATTTTTTACACATTTTAAAATTAGTTTAGAGTCTGTTTAAGCGATGAATTGTTTTTCAAACATTTAAAAACAAATGTAATCCCTTTTCTTGATTTGAAAGGGTTTGGATTGACGAACCAAGACCTTTGGTTTGAATATTTGAATTACTTTCGTTAACATATATATACTAAGAGTTACATGATCCAGTGGGATACAGCATATACGCGAGGGATGATCCCACATGCTATTAAAAATGTGTCCTTTCTTTACCAATCTGGGTTGGTAATGATTTTGCAGTGCCCGTGGTGCCGTCTTGTCCATATACATACATACATACGGTCGGATTAAGATTAATATACATAATTAAAGTGTATTTATAATATATAAAAACAAGGTTCTGAGCTGGGTTCCTAGTTGCTGTGATGGTGCAGGAAGAGGATTGCATCGATTTGGTTGCCCGTGAGCATATAGCGCTTGTTGAACTCGTAGATTTGGTCGCGCAGAGCCTTCTTGAAGCTGAGAGTAACCACGCCGGGTACGCTCTGGTACAGAGTGGCCAGGTCGCGCAGCGTTCCGTATATGTGGCCCATTTTGTGCCACCACTCGATGGGTGACTCGTCGAGCTGGACAATCACCTCGTTGCGGTAGCGCTTCAGATCCGTCTCTACGGTGCTGTCAGAGTCCCGCTTTGGCGGATTCGGGATCTCGGCAATGTCGAAGAGTAGCTCCAGTTCTGCGGAGAGTTACGCGTTAGTCAAGGCTGTAAGAGATCTATGGCATTCTTTATACTCACTCGACCGCCTGGCCGATCCTCCAGCCAGTACCCTTGGCTCTGCCTTGATGTTTACAGTTGAGGGGGTTGTGGCGGCCACCTCGGTTGAGTCGCCGCCAGACGTTCCGCCAAAGGCTTTGCTGTACTTGTGGGTCAACATGCGAACACATCTGTCCAGATTGTCAATGGTGGTCAGGCGATGGAATCGCGGGTCCAACAATGCGGCAGCGGTCAGATTGTCGTTGGAAATGATGTGGGACTGCAGGACACCGGCAATGGTGCGCTTCACATTCATCATAAGCGAGTCGTCTTGCTCGGCAATGCCCAGCTTCTTGATGAGAATCTTGGAGGTGATCGGCGACAGCATGCTGCTCAAGGGGATATCCTCGCCGCGCAGCGTGTCCAGAGCAATCTGCCAATAAGAGTTTAGCCTATAGGAAAGGTATCCTCAGGGATTTCGAAGCCGGAGAGTACATACCACCAGGGCACTGAGAGCCTCAGTCACCGTTTTTGCCGTCAGTACGAGCTGGTCCATGTCGTCGGACCAAGAAATGGACTCGGCAAAGAACTTGAGCATTTCGTACAGAGTCCAGGGGAAGTTCTCATTGTAAGAAGGCAGCTCCGCCACCTTGGCGCTGATCTCGGCCGAGTGCCGCTGGATAATATCCTTCACCTGCTCTAGAAGTGAAGCCACCTCCTCGATCTCGAAGACGCGACGCAGGCATTTGTCGATAACCGTAACGTAGCACAATATAATGGGAATATCTGGAAACCAAAATATAAACAGAGGTAAGTATTTCCAGCGATAAGTGTCATCTGTCAAATCCTAATGCTCTTACTCTTCTCCCTGAGATATGTGTGCAGCAAGTCCTCGTGCTCATCGTCGTAGTTGATGATGGCCAAGGTACAGTTGGCCAAGTAAAAGTCGGTCAGCAGATCGTCAAAGACGATGTAGTCTGTGTACTCAACGGTGGCGTACAGAATGCTTCTGACCGACTGCGTCTCCTCGTCCAAATAATGGTGATAGATGCTCAGGAAACGCCGCTGCTCCACATTCACCCACTGCTCGAAGGCGAAGGAGAAGGGCTTCTCGTTCGTGAACTCCCGCGTGATGTCGCCAATCTCCAGGAACTTGGAGGCATGCATCTCGGCGATCAATGATTCAATCTTCTGCGGTTCGGGCATGGGGGCCGAGCCGCCCACCGCCTGTCGCACAAAGTCACTGAAACCAGCGTCGTACAGGGAGTCCACATTGCGCAGATCCTTGATCACGATGTCCGTGAGGGCCTCCGGCAGATTGGCAATGGCGGCCGTCGCGTAGCCGCCATCCTCGTGCTTTATGGCTCGCGAATGGTGCAGGGAGCCCGAGGGAGTAGCCAGTTTGCGCTTACGGGCGAACTTTGTCTCCATAGTGACCATGCGCTCATCTTCCTCTACCAGCTGATCGGCCTCGTCATAGGTAAACGGGACCATGGTCTCGTACAGCAATGTCTGTGAGGAGCCATCCTCTTCCGCCTGCATGGCTGCTGTAGCCACGGCTGCCTCGTCCAGTTCCTCATCCGAAGCGTTGTCGTGGTTTCGATTATTGATGAACTCCAACTTTACGCGGCGCGTGGACACATTGCGCTTGGACAGCGGCGGGTGCGTAACGTTGCGCGGCGTTTTCCGCGGCGGTACGTGAATGTCGTGCTCCTGGCACAGCTCCTTGAAAAGATCCTTGTGGCGGTGCTGGAGATGCGCCCGCAAGTTGGTGGTGTTGCCGTGGTTGGTCAGGACCTTGTGGCACTTGATGCACACCACGTTCTGCTTGGTGATTACCTCGTTGTTGTCGTTGGACGGGAAGCCGAAGTAGCGCCAGTAGACGCTCTTCATCTTGGGCGAGTACAGTTTGGAAAAGTTGAGCTGCCCCATATCTTCGTATTTGAGTTCGCTGATGGCGACCGGCGACGCGGGAACCTCCTCACTCATCTTCAGTTGTTGGGGGATCTGTTGAACAAGTATTTCGATTTCGATCCGACGACGATTGCTCTTCAATAAAGGAATTAGCGCGCAATTTCTCGATTATAGATAGACGGTTCAATAGTCAATAGTTTTTTATCTGTATCAGAAGTACAGTTCAGAGTTGCCACGCGACACGCCAGCCAATCGATAAGGCAATTAAACGTAATAAATGCACCACCAAATGCTATCGGCGTCCGCTAATTTATTTTTGCGGACCTCGAAAATAATATTCCAGTGCGCCGGTGACAATAAATGCGACTCGCGAGAGGAAAAAATGTGAATTGATGAAAATTCTCGCTAACACTGATTGCATCACCAATCGATAGCTGGGGAAATTTCGTTGTCGGCACTGGGAATTTTCGAGGGAAATTTTCGTTGATGCTACGACGTGAAGTTGGTTGCGATTTCCTTTTTAATTCGTTGTTGGGAAGAAAAGGTGTGTGAATTTTTTGTACGTCCCAGAATTTGTTGAAAATAACAGAGGAACGAACTCAAAATAGTGCAATCGGATGTGCGAAAGATGCGCCGCCCACGGGCGCTGCAAGCGCGGCCCAAATAGTGTGTTAAATGCGTTAAAAGCGGCTGGAATATGCGAAATAGTTCAGCCACGTGGGTCGCAGCCGCCGCTGCTTCTGCCGCTGTTTGGTTATGCCGCACATACACAGACCCACATTAATGTTTATTATTGTTTTTGCTCCCCGTTGCAGCCAATCTAAACCGCCAAGATGGGTAAGGGTAACAATATGATTCCAAACCAGCACTACCACAAGTGGTGGCAGCGGCATGTGAAGACCTGGTTCAACCAGCCCGCCCGCAAGGTGCGCAGGCACGAGAACCGCGTCAAGAAGGCCAAGGCCGTCTTCCCTCGCCCCGCTAGCGGTGCCCTGCGCCCCGTGGTCCGCTGCCCCACCATCCGCTACCACACAAAGCTGCGTGCCGGCCGTGGTTTCACCCTGGAGGAGCTGAAGGTGAGTGCTCTGTTGCTAGGTCCGGGTTAAAGCCACCACTAAACGCTTCTGTTCGTACCCACAGGGCGCTGGCATCAGCGCAAACTTCGCCAAGACCATCGGCATCGCTGTGGACCGCCGTCGCAAGAACAAATCCCTGGAGTCGCGCCAGCGCAACATCCAGCGCCTGAAGGAGTACCGCAGCAAGCTGATCCTGTTCCCCATCAACGAGAAGAAGATCCGCAAGGGCGAGTCCACCCTCGAGGAGTGCAAGCTGGCCACCCAGCTCAAGGGCCCCGTCATGCCCATCAAGAACGAGCAGCCCGCGGTTGTCGAGTTCCGTGAGGTCACCAAGGACGAGAAGAAGTTCAAGGCTTTCGCTACCCTGCGCAAGGTAAGCTAACAGCGGCATGTCCTCCACTTGGGAGCTTAAGATACTCATGCTTGTATCTCTTGTTTTTAGGCTCGCACTGATGCTCGTTTGGTTGGTATTCGCGCTAAGCGCGCCAAGGAGGCCGCCGAAAGCGAGGACGCCGCCAAGGGCGACCCCAAGAAGGCCAAGAAGTAAACCGCATCCTGACCTGATAGTTCTGTCGATAACATCAACAACCAGAATAAAATATTAGTTTTTCATAAACGTGAATTATAACGCCGGCCTTTTCTTCGGTGTTGCCAGAAAATTTTAGCTCTCGCGGTTTCTGGGCACACTAAGCGCTGAAACACTCATGAACGTGAAGTCTGGCAACGTTGGTAGCTGCCTAGTTTTGCGTTCATCGATAAAAAAAAAAGGTGGCAGCACTTCTAGTGATAATCTGCAATCGATTAAACACAATGGCGGTTTTTATTTAAACATTTTTTAATAGGATTTATCTTATTTTAGACTTAGCTTAATATTTTAATAATACATACCCCTGATACATTTATATAATTGTATCATGTTGTGGACATTATAATTCTATCATGAATATAAGGAACACAAAACTGTAGCTTTTGCTCAACTTATCATTGACTTAACTGTACTATGGAAATGTCTCAAAATTTCCCAGCATATGTCAATTATTCATGTTTAATCCATCCCACACATTGTTTGCTACAATAAACACTTTAACATATTCATACTCTTCGGTATTGGGCCAATCAGGATAAAATTCCGAAAACTCGTGAACATACATTCCCGAAAATGGCGTTCACCTACAAGGAACTTATCGAAGTGGCCATTGGGTCACCGGAATCGGGACACGTTAACTTTTACGCCTTACAAGTTCTGCTCACGTGCTTTGCTCAGCGTTTGGAGGTCCTGGATAAGGTCGTCGTGCAGGACGATTACATGATGAACAACGTGCGCTTTCAGAGAAGTTTATGTGAGGGGACAGGGAGAAATGTAGTAGAATTTTAAGATTATTTTCCTTTTTTTTATTCTCAGTAAACTTAAGCAAATCGCGCATGCCTCGTATGTTTGCTGGAGCGGACGCTGAGGAAGATGCACCGGCTGAAGCGCCGGCCGAGGAGCTAGCTCCGCCTACTGAGGCCGAAGAGGTTCCTCCAGTTAACGAGGCTGAAGAGGCTCCTCCGCTTCCTCAGGCCGAAGAGGCTCCTCCGCTTCCGCAGGCCGAAGAGGCCACGGCGGAGGAAATCGCTAAAACGGAGCCAACCGAGGATGTGCCAGAGCTAGAACCTGAACCTGCAGCTTCTAGGCTGAGCCAGGAAGCAGGAGCTCCGGCCTCTCAACCAGAGCCGGAACCTTCACAAGGTTCACATGATGCTATGGAAGACTGCTTGGAAGTCTCTGCCGTGCCTTCACAGGTTTCTCATATTTCCGCTCACTCTATGAATGCCAACTTTCGGCGCTTGGATGAGCGTTTAAAAAAAGTTGAGCTATACAAGGAGCGGACCGACATGGAAATGAATGACTTTATACCCAATCTCAAGGGGCAGGTGAAGATAATAGTGAAGCAGCTGGACACTGTAGCCCACATGATGATCGACCAGAGACAGGATCCTCAGAGGATAAAGCTACTTCGTCAATTTTCCAAACAGCTAAGGGTGCTAATGAGGGCAGCAGACGAAGAAATTTCTATCGGAACGTCCACTGATGAGGGCGAAGGGGCTGAAGAAGAGCTGGGGCTGCTACACGAAGAGGTTCAAGAGGAGTCCTCTGCCAGCACGGTAATGGAGAAGGTCGAGGAGGAGCAGGAACAAGAATTTGGGCTGAAGTGCCTTGTGTACTCCCCAAGTCGAATGCTTAACGAGCTGTTGGATAACAAAGCACTATTTTGTGCCTTAAACAGCAAGGTCAACGATCTGACGGCTGCTTTCCACAAGCAGGAAACCCAAAAGCTTTTTGGTATGATAAATGACCTGCAAGCCACTGTGCGGGAGGTCAGACTCTACATGGCCAGCAATATAGAGCTCAACGGCCAGATAATGGCTCGCTTAAAAGTTCTTGAGAACGATGCGGAACTGATGAAGAAGACCGCTGATCAATTGGACATTGTAAAATCAGATAGGGAAGAGATGGAGCATCTGTTGGCCGAGAAACCGAACTTCGAGCAACTGGCGACCAAGATGTCTCTGGAGCAGCACGAAGAATTCAAGGTCAGGCTAGATATGAAGTTCTGTGAGATCCAAAACATTATCGGTCTCAACGAAAAGAACGTGCTGCAGATCATTGATAATCTCCGCATTACACTGGGCGTCGAAGCATTGGAGCTGAGTTTCAAAGACTTCCGAGAGATGATCGAGCGGAAGGTGCACACATTTGCAGACGCTCTACAGAAGTATATCGAGATGACCAACGATGATTGTGCCGCCGCCGTTGCCAAGGTCAAGGTGATGAATGATCTGGCCTGTCTCTCCTGCGACACCGAATGTGTGATGCGCACCGTGGAACGCTCAAAGGTGCCTACGCTCCCCAAAGCAAAGGGCTCCAATGGTCTGGGTCCCCTTATTACCTACGAGCTGGGACAGATTCGCAAATCTGGAGCCATGGGTTACTATCGCAAGGACGAGTACCCCCAATCCACAAGTGCATGGGCAAAGGGTATTTCCGCAGCGCCCATGGCGAAGTGCACTCAAAGGCGTGCGGGAGGAACCCACACTATTCACACGGCTGAGGAGCATATGCAGAAGGTGCTGCTATCCAAGAAGACCACAGTATTGGCATAAAGCCCCCATTAATTTTAAATAACTTAATTAAAAAGAAGTGTTGTTGTTGTTATTCAACCTGGCATTAAAAGGTCATCAACTCAACTCAAACAAAAAATTGGATTGGGTTGGCTTTCTGAAATTAGAATTTATTTTTTGTCGAGCCGAAGAAGACTTGTCAGGGAGGCCAAATTCAGGATCACTTTGAGCGGTGTCTTAGTGAATAGATTTTTAAAGGGTTTCTTGAGACCCTTAAACCTATTTTCCAATTTGTTTTGATTGCTATTTATATATCCTAACTAAAGCTGCTATAATAAATATCATTATGTACGGGAAATCTGCTGAAGATTAAAGATTTTTCAAAAATAAATTTCCTTTGAAATGTATATTTTATTTGAATTAAAGTCCAGATTGATATTAATCCCTTGGCAGTGACCTTTATATTAACGTATTTGCTCTTAACCGGAAATATTAATTGAGGCCACCACCCCGAATTCGATTTCCATATGGCAGTAATGGATTTCGAGCCCAAATACGACCATATTCATATATGTACCCGTACATATGTATGCAAAACCTCTCTCAAAACACCTCTTCGGTGGACATCGAAAAAAAAGGGTTGTGCTTCCTCAACCGAGTGCGACAAGCCAATTCAATTATCGGGTGGTGCAGGCAGCATCCAGATTCAGATCCAGATTCAAATGCCAGTCCCACCGACCCGCACCTTGAACCTTGTTTATGCACTTCACTGATTTTTATTTCACTTAACCTTGTTTGCTGCCGCCTTCCTTCGGGCAGGGGGTGGGGTGGCAGAGGATGCTTGTTTCGGTTTCGTGTCAACTGCATTCAAATTTTTATTATTGAAATTTATGAGCGCAAAAGTGATTTTCCACACAGTTTTTCCTGCTGCCTGCTGCCACCCCTCAGTTTTTTGCTTGGGTTTTCCTGCTTTCGATTGTTTCTCTTTCCGTTTTTACATTGTTCCAACTGTTGTTTATTGGGCCATGCTGGTGGCCATGGCTACCGGAGAGAGGGTAGGGATGGTCCTGGTCCGGGTGATCCGGGGTAGCTGACGGAGACAGGGAAACCCGAGCAAACTGCTCGTTCGTAATTGGCAATTGTTTTTCTATTTTTGTGTGTGTCACCTTTCGCGGCGACAGTTGCGGTGAAAGTTTCCTTTTTTTGCAACATGTGCGCCGGGGTGACAAATCAAATGCAGATTTACTTTTGCGGTTCATTTGAATGGAGGAGGATGCCAGTCAGATAAGTGGAGAAAAAACACGCAGAAAAAATGGGACTTATCGTTGTAGTTTATGTGTCCCTAATAAGGCTTAATATTAAGGTTATCATTTAAATCAAATCAATCATTTAAAAAAAACACACTACCTCTATAAATATATATTTTTTTGTTTTAAAAAGTTAAATTTATAAACAATATCAATATTTTTTAAATCACCTATGGTTCTTTTTCTGTTAAAGGATAACCAATATTTCATTTTTCATTTTTAATGAAATATGCAAAAGTATTTTACAAAGACTAGTTTTTTTTTTATTAGTGTAAAAAAGGTGGTGACTGAGTGTCCCGTTTGCCAAGATGGGAATTTAATTTAACACTTTCCTCCGCACAAATGCACTTCAATTTCGTGTTGTTTTTATCACAAAATCGATTTGATGTTTAAAGCTAAAGCGCCGCATTTCCAGCATAATTGATGCCGCGTCCCCTTTCCGCTCGCTGGCACTGGGTTAATCTGCATATGCCGCGACTGTTGCAAGTGTCGTCCTTGCGCAGGATCTGATCCGGACACATACTGTACGCATTTGTATACCTACGCCCGCGGTTATGCATGTATGGGTGTGCGGGGTCCTGTCTGCGCCATAAACGCAATCAGTGCTTAATGATCCGAACAGCAATTGGATTAGTGCCTGCTAGGCAGAAGGGAACACACAGAATCAGTAGCGAATCCTGGTCCTAGGACATTTAACTACGAGGACGATTTACATGTAAAAGATGCACAGCTTAGGCTGCGCTGCTCTGCCTGATTTCCAAATTGATTAAGTTTAGGGGTAAATCTCCTCTATTAACAGCTCCCAAGATAACATGTTAATGCTATTTTTACGATGGCATAAAAAAATCCCCAGATTATAAGTATACTATATATAATTCATTAAATCAATCGGTTTAATCAATGTTTTATTAACTCATGAATGGGGTTTCAGATACTTTAATTAGTGGAAAATTTAGATTAATTATGATTAGAGTTGCATAAGTAGAATATTTTGAATTTAGTGATTGCTGTTATTCGAAAACTACAAACTGTTTTTAAATATTTTAAACTCTGCCCAAACTTTAATGGTTTTATACTTTGTACAAGTTTCAAGGCTAGATATCTTTTTATACAAAATTATATTATATTATATATTATTATTATTATATTTTTTACCAAAATTTTTTTATAAAAAGATCTCTAGCCTTGTCGAATTCCCCTCTTCCTCAGAAACAACTATACTGCCACATCAATAAAGTCCCTCACCCAGCATGTCCTTGCAATTAGATCTGCTATAGAGAGTCCCCTAATTCCTCACTCTGTTTCCTAACGCATAATGAAATGCTTATTATTTTTCCATAAAAAACCACCCAAAAAACCAAACAAATTAATCAAATATGCAAATAAGCGGGCTGGGCAGGCCCCTTCGCCGTCATCCCATATTTTCACGCATCATCTATCAAAAATTGGCACTCCGCATAAAAAAAAAAGAGCAGGCAAATAATAATGCAAATCAGGCGGCGACCCTCTCCTTCCCACAGGATGTTGCTTTTTTTAGCCCACTTGGCTCGATTATGAGATCAATAGGACCCAGCCCTCGATCCTGGCAAAACAAATCGTAAAAAAGGCAAATTGCAGTGGGGCGCGAAGTATCGAAATCGAATTAGAATTACAATGGCAGGAAAATATTCGCATGTGCGAATAATAATTGCCGGAAAATATGCAAATGAGGTGGGAAAAAGTGGCTAAGGGCGTGAAATTGAAAATTGCACTTGAAGCGATAAATCGGAGAGTTGAATGTCCTTAGTGCTGCTGCCTCGTGTTGGGTCCCCCTTCGTGTCAACACGAATAATAACCAAGCTGGCACCGAAACCCTTTTGGCCAAAATCAATTAACATTTTGGGGGAGCAATGGGTGTGACGACGCTGAACAATAACAGCCGTAAGGACAACACACGATAATCAAGGAGTGGGACACCGCAAAATTGCTAAATGTTGCATGCCACAGCATTTCCCACTGGGGGAAACACAGAGTTTATTGTTGGTTTGGGTTATTGATTTGATAATACATTAAATGCTTTTGGTTTTCAAATTTACGTTCCAGAGTCATGAACTCTGCAAAATGAGCTTTTGCTGCCAAGTCGTTAACTTTAAGGTGAAAGGAGGCGGCCTTTAGTTTGTTAAATTGAAGGAAGAAATGGTGATTAATTGCCTAATTGAATGGAATAATTTAGATTTATTTAAATGTTTGGGAATTACACGTTTAAATTAAATGTTTACTATTTGAATTTTGCTTTTGTTTGCTTATAGCTTATAAAATAATTGGAAATAAAAATTACTTAGTTAACAGCTACATGCTTTTAATAAAGTTCCTCCTGTATCATGCTTTAGTAAACATTTGAGATGCTTTTTAAACTATTAATTACTATCTATAGAATTTTGGAATATATTTTCCATATATGTATGTATAACGAGCAAGCATTTGCCATTTAAATATTTTATTCAAATTTAAATATATCTTCTTTTATATAATGCTCAATTTAATCCGTCTAGCCAAAGCCATTATCTCCAGGTCCAACAGGGCAACAAAAAAGTTGCGTAAAAAAGTTAAATGTGCTCAAGTGCCTGGCAGATGATGTCCCAGCCAGCAGACTTTAAAGAATCTCCATGGCAGTCAGTGGAAGGAAAACCCTTGAAGCAAAAAACAATTACGCAACTGTCCAAAAGCAACCGAAAAAACAAGAGTTGCGACGAAACCGCAGCCGCAGTTTATCGCATAATCAAGTGCAGACAACAGATTTGAATTTTTCAATGAAAAACACATGTTAGAAAATTGTCCAGGGAGTGCCAAGTCCAACCTGACCCACCCGACCGACCACCGACCATCGACCACAAGTGAAACATTTGAATAGGCTTTAAAATCAAGTGTCTGTGTGTAATGCGATATTTAAATTTTTACATAAAAAACGGCCGTCAGATATAGGAAATAGATATACTTGAATATAAACCCCGTCGGGGGTTGGCTAAACCCGCTAATGTGAATACAATAGAGCCACTTGAGGCGACCGGGATCGTTTACTCACGCCACCAAAAAACCGCAGAAGGGAGGGTGGTTCCTCCACACAGCCCAAGCCCAAAACCAGAACAACCCCTTCCCCGAAGCCACAGCAAAAAAGGTCGTCGCCGTCTGACTTTCAATTAATCAAATTATCGCGCGCCCCTGGGGGTTGATGCAAACACAAAGTGGACTGGGTGGGCAACTGTGGCAGCCACTTGAAAATTGCAGATGGAGGGAAGGCCAAACATTTGTCCACTTTTTGCAATTCGCACAGGTCAACATATTCAACGTTTTCGGGTCCTGTAAATTTTCGATTGTTGTTGTTTGTCGCGTGTCCTAGCAACATCAATAAATTGTCAAAATCTGTCAAAATTTTTAATGACTGTGTGACGGCTAATAACCGAAAATCGATTTGTTCGAGGCGAGCTTCTACTGATTGCAATGGCGATTGAGTTTGCAGTTTTCAGTTTTTTTTTTTTTTGTATTGCTACTGTGGACATTTTTATGGATTGCTCTTCTGGACAAACAATTTTAATGATCAGGGAGCATTTTAGAGTTTTTAGCGTCAGGCGGTTATTTTTCATCCAACTAAAAATCAAAAATCTAGCATGTGGGCGAGGGTTTTTCCACGAGGGTCATGATACAAAAGGTTTCAAAATACATTTAAGAAACGATTCACTAAGGCAAAAAATACACATTTTAAACTGTTTTGTTCTTGTTTCAATGGTAAACTCTGGGTTAAAGTAAGTTGGTAAGTTTGAAACATAATGTTAAATATGATTTTCTTTTTTAGAAAGTAATTTTTTTCAGTGCACTGCCGTTCCCATCACTGGCTTTCCCTTTGCCCGAAAAACCGCAATCCCTGAAACTTTCGCACCTGTGTTGGATGTCCAGGAAACCTCAACCAAATGCAAGTGCAGGACTTGGACAACCACCACCACCACCACCAACTCCTATCCTAAAGCCATTCTGTCTAACCCTTTGGTTTAATTGCTGTGGCATATCATTGCCGAAGCTTGACAACAATCCCACAAAGATTTGAGTCCTCCGAGTCAAATGGTTGTGTTCTCGTGCTCGTAACATGCATAAATTACGAGTATCGCAACTGTAACGTTCATGTCGCGGATGTTTCAGTTCATTAGGGGACAGTTTTCGACCTTAACCCTTTCCGTGTCCATATGCAAAATAATGCCGCATCATTAGTAGACTGTGGGAAAAAAGGGTTGCAAGTGGGGCACGTGTCTGGCACCGGCTGCAGTCCTTCGATTCAGTTTTAGATATGGACTCTGACTCGCTCTCTCCTGCTCCTGACCCGACATGGAAATCGAGTCTTTTTTGCTGGATTTACTGGATTTGCATATGCTGATGTTCACAGCATCATGCGAATTAGATTTTAGTGTTTTTCATTGTCGCAGGTCAAAGGGTTTGATGAGGGCAAATGCAAAACTGTCTAGTCATATCAAACTGTGATTTCATCTAATGAAAGCTTGGAAAAAAAAGTGGAAATATATAAAAAAGACTAAGTAAAAAATTGAATTAATTAAAGCCTTTACTTCCCCTTGAACCATTTGGAACTACAATGAAATAAAAAAGGGAAAAGTAAACCCCTGTTTGTGTGCATTTAAGATAAATTATTGATTTTTAATTATATAAAAACCGATTCAAAAAAATGTTAACCATTATTATTAGTTTTAAAAGTGGGTTTAACACTTTTAAACTTTCTGATTATTTTTCTTTGAATACAGAGCATCCTTCCAACTTAAATCTGTTCTATTTGGGCTGTCCCGCCCCCAATTTCTGGCCTTAAAGCTTCTCCCAACCACTGATTTTTTCCCACACACAACAGGGAAGCCACACAAAAAAAAAGGTTGACCTTGTTAAGTTTTTTTGTTTGCCAAAAGTTCCAGCCAAAACGGCGATCCATCTCAGTGTGGCAAGTTACCTGCCAGAGATCCAAGGGCCAGAAGAGATTGTGGGGAGACGACTCAGTTGGTCAGGTATTCACGCTTTATCCACTCATAAGTCACGGCTCTGTTTTCCGGGCCAAGAAGTTGAATGCTTGGCAACCCATAAATCAGCTCTTCATATGGGCAACAGTTCATCGGAACGGTGGGCAAATCTCTAATAATGATATCAGGGCAAGCTCTCCGGGTATATCGAAGTTTGCCCGAAAAGTGGGAGGCTTTTCTCAGGCTCCTTTCCCTTTTTAATGCCCCAGCAGGCGGGCGAGGCATCGTGACACCATCTCCATCTCCATTTTCGGATCCATTTTCAACTGCAGCAGGCACACAACCTGCAATAAGGAGAATCTCAAAGAGCCTCGTCCGGCTTCTCCTTTACCTAAAATTTTGTTAAAGCACTCGAAAAAATTAGTTTAAGTCCAAGGAGCTCAGCATATTAATAAGTGAGTAATCGATTGTCCAAGCCAACAAATTGGTATTCAAGTTTATACATTTTTTATAGTTTCTAGAATTCATTTCAAACTGTTAATACTGTTTCATTTTGAGCAGTGTGTAGGAAAAAACAATTACAAAAGTAAAACTACGCAGCATAACTAAGCTTACCTTAAAGTTGCCAGAGGAAGAGGAGGCGCAAAAAGGATAAGAGCGAAGCCCTCCCCTTGAACTCTTCCTGAAAAAAGAGTAAACATTATGTGCAGAAGGTGAGGGAATTCAGTTACTCTTCTTCGCCTCAACCCACGACATGGTAAGTGCAGAGGCTTAAATCAAGGGTTTAAGAATTTGTTGAATTTTTGTATATAACATTGTAAAATATAGGAAAGATCCCAAAGGAATTTTATGAAATAAAATCAATTATTTCCTCTGAAACCATTTCCAGAATATGTAAGCTTATCTAATGATCTTCATCCTCCCTCCATGCAGGCCCTACAACTACGACCCTGGCTTTGACCAAAAGCTCACACATAAGAAATGGTGAAGAAAGACTTCGGCTTGCTATGCATGCGAGAAAAAGAAACTGCTACAAGGATGATTATGATGAAGATGATGATGATGAGGATGATCAAGCGACGATGTGATTGAAACAAAACATCTTATTATTACCTTCGACCGGTCGAAGGAACGACCCCGTGCGACCTCGACGTGAAAACGGGCGTAAAAAAAGTAAAAAAAACAAAAGCACAAAGAGTGCGCAAAATATTTCCCACGCTCAGAGGCCGGAGCCAGCCTTTTGTCGTCGTGTCCGTCTCCTTCGCATCATCATCATCATTATCATCATCATCGTTATTGTCTTCTCCTTGTCCGTCGTTCCATATAAGGCAACGTCCTTCCAACGCCCCCTTGCATGCCCCCACCTGCCCTTTTGGGAGAGTTTGCAAAAATGAAAAGGCAAACGAAAAGAAAAAAAGTGAGCAGTGTCGAAATTTTTGCGCCTCTTCTCCCTCCTATGCTTTCCCTGCCACGCCCCTCTCCATACCTTAAGCCTCAACCTTAACCCCTTCTTTTGTCTTCGTGATTGATTTCACCCCGTCCCTTCCCATCGAGAGCCGAACATAATTTCTTAGCTTTCACAGCTCATTGAGCTTGAAAAGTCGCTCACACGGGGACTGGTTGACAATTGACAGGTATCAAGTGGTTAGGGCTCATAATTATAGTTTTCGGCGATGCGGAAAATGTGAGCCAAGACTGAGGTTTTTTTTCTGAAGCCTCTGACCCGGGGATGCACCACAAAAAATAAATTTAAGTACTGGCAATTTTATTCAATAAGATACACTTAGGAAAAAAAGATTATTGTTGGAATGATAAGAAAGATTCATATAAACGTAGGTTTCGGAGCCTCTTCAGTATTTAATGTTTTTTTAAGAACAAAAATCGTAAAATCAAAACCCGATTTGTACAACCAAACAACAACAATACGGTTAAATGTGTTTAAATACTAGTTACTACTATTAAATTATTAAATCGCAAGGTAAAGTGTAGCTAAATTTATACATAACGCAAGGTTTTACTTTCAGTTTTTTTGGTTAAATTACCCTTTGTAATATAATTTAGCTAAAATATCAATTTGTGAAACTACTCGCATATTAAGGTTTTAATGGTGTCATTATGGTAATTTCTTTGGGTGTAGCCTGGTCAAGTGTGCTGCTCTCGGGACCGACATCAGGTTAATGTTTTGAGGTAACCGAAGTAACCGCAACACTGGGGGATCCTCATCCCGTCTAATCAAAGTTTTCCCCATTGAGCCCAGATTATTTTACATTTCATTAATGTGTCGAAAAGGCAAAATACTTTCAATGAAAGTGGTCCTGGCTAGCTGCTTGAGTTCCCTCTTATATCATCATCATCAACATTATAAACATAATCATTTTGGGTAAAGTTCAAGTCCTGAGAGTCTGGAATCTGTGTTATTGATCAGTGCTGCGCAATTAACTCACAAACGTATGCCTTCGATGTCCCAAAATCCATCTCCACCATGAACTCACGCACACAGTGATGGAAACAGGAGCAACACCAACAGGTTGACAGGCTCTCTCCTTTCGATTCCACCTCGTTCCTATGCACTGAAAACAAAAAAATAATGGCATTGAAAACTTATTTATTGTATTATTATTTTTTTTAATATTATATTTAATTGATAGACTGATTTTTTTGCGACCTAAGCGAGATATATTCGCGACTGGGAATTGTAAAGTACACTTATTGAAGGGGAAGTTCTTCTAACTTGTCTTAATTCTCTGGATTTCTGGATATTTTTATCTATGTATATACAATACAATATACAATTCTTATTTTTAATTCATAATAATAAATAATAAATAATTATTTACATAAAACAAAAATAAGTCAAAGCTAAACCTTGTGACTCAAATCGAACAGCACTTATCTTATGATTGGGGTTGCTCGACTACACCGTTTTGCCCTGTTTTTGCCGGTGTAGGGTTGGTTTATCCACCACTGCGTCGGTGGTGTGGGCAGCCGCTGCCGCTGCCTGTGGTGGTGACTTCCAACTCGAAATTGTTCCTTCGGCCTGGGGCCGCACTCAACCTGACTTCATTCGTTCACCACTCGCGCTCGACAACGGACGTGCCATCGGGTCGAATCAGCTCCCATCGTATCGAATCGCATCGCATCGGATCGGTTAAAGGTTCAGAAACTCGTCAATTGACACAAATTGAATGCAATTTGCCGAGAGTGCGAAATGTGTGTCTAACTGAAGCCCAGACTCGCCGCCATCCTCGCTTCTTCCGCGTGCCCAGCTCAGCTTAGTTGATCGGCTGAATCAGTGAACGTAAACAAAGTCGCGAACTCAGCAACTCCCGTGGAAGAACTCCCCCGCATCCAAGATGGCAGATGAGAGTCTGCATACCATGCCGTTGGAGCACAACATCGATTACCACATCGTGACGCTCTTTGAGCGTTTGGAGGCGATGCGCAAGGACTCGCCCGGCGGCGGCAATGGGGTCAACAATCGCCTGTCCAGTACTCTGCAGGCGCCCAAACGCAGCATGCAGGCAGAGATTCGCACCCTGGAGTTCTGGAGGTGAGTGGCCACGAATGGCAATAAATCGCTATTAAAAATAAAGAAAGTGGAGGGGTAGTATTTATGTTAAAATGTCAGAGGACTTAAAAATGAATTTCCAAAGTGGAAGAGAGTTGTTCCTACTTGCACTTGATTTTAAAACTATATTTTTATTTTTGCCTGTGCATATCAACTTCTAAGGCTTTTGTTTTCCCTGCCATTATCTCCACTCGCTTTCAATTTGCTCAACTTTAGGTGGCAATTGTTTGATGTCATTTGGCTTTGTGTGTCTGAACTCTAAGTAATTGAAATCCAAGTGCTCCTCCAGACATCATCAAGATAATCGCCAAAGCTAAACACATTGGCAAACTTTCGAGCACTTTGTAGCTCATTCTCCCGGGGTTCCTGTGAGCTCAAAGAATTTCAAAATAATTAACATTTCATCACGGACTGATGGAGTAATTAAATCTTTGCCAGGAGCAGGAGCACAGGCACCCGGTGTGGAATACTCTTAAGACATGTCAAGCGCAAGAATTTAAACTAAACTACGCGACATTTCCCCTTCGGCTCCCTATACCCCGCCGAGTGACCATTAAAAAACTAAGTGAATTTAATGGAAGAAGGGGCCAGACTTACTTATACATAGTTCGTGTAGTTTCGATTAAAGAGCACAGCAATAAGGAGCGCCAAGTCAAACAGCTGAATTTATGATTTAATGGAAATTCATCATAACTTCTCCTCGGTTTGTTTGATTTTTCGTTATTTTTATTTTTCTCGCGCCCCGGGACTCCGCTCGCTTTGAGCTTAATGCGAATTCGTTGGATAAGTTGGAGTTGCGGCACGTCCAGCGGGAATCCACTGGAATCAGCGGCATTGCAGCTGCTCATCAACCGCTGACATGCCCCTTTTCCCTACTCCACCCCTGCTTAATTGTCACTGCAATGCAAAATGCTCGGGGGCAACAAGAGCGCGCATTGTGTGTGTGGAGGCTTGATTTGTGCAATACAGTGAATATCCACTAAAGGGGGGTTTTAAGTTATTTTTAATAATTATTTTGTCATTTTAAATTTATATTTTGTAGAAAAAATAAGGAATGTAATAAATAAAGTGTCATATATCTTAAGAAAAATGTACTAAAAATTAAAATAAATATACCAACTCTCATTCTATAAACAAAAATCTCACCAAAAATAATTACAGAAACATAAATCTTATAAAAAACACCTTAACAACAATCTCCAAATTTCTTTAAAATTAATATTTTGTACCATCAATGTCTCTAAAAATAAATAAGGCAGTTTTTTGTGCCTCGTGATTACTGTACGCACTCCAGTCACACACGGAATGGCATGCAAACCGAACTCGAACACAGTTGCGGAATCATTCTAACCCCGGGCTATGGTCCGCCGCTTTCCTTCTGCTCCTCCCCTTCCAGATCCATCATCAGCGAATGCCTGGCCTCGTTCCTGTACGTGTTCATCGTCTGCGGTGCCGCCGCAGGCGCCGGCGTGGGGGCCAGTATCTCCTCCGTGCTGCTGGCCACGGCTTTAGCCTCTGGACTGGCAATGGCAACACTGACGCAGTGCTTCCTCCAGATCTCGGGTAAGCTAACTCAGTCAAAGAAGACAATAAACAACTGTGTGTGGGGACAACAAAAACCGAGGAGAGCAGACAACAAACAGGGCGACAAGTGTTTGGGGGCCCTTGGACTTGCGTGGGAAACTGCCGTTTTTTTTTTTTGTCAAAGCAGAACCAAAGCGAACCGAACACGAACCCCGTTTTTGTTTGTTATATTTTCGAAAAGGCAATGCACTCCGTGCGGAGCCACCTACTCCCACTCCGACGACGACTCCTCCTTCTGCCTCCTTGTCTTATCGCCCCAGGCGCACTTGTGGTGCCATCGACTGGCCCAAGCTCTTCTTTCTCCCTTTTTTTCCCCCGTATTCCCCTACATTTACTCTGGTATTTATATATTTGTTCATTTGCGTTGACATTCAAGGCAATTAAACGACTGCAAGGAAAAAAGCAAAAGACCAAAGTGGGAAGAGGGAACAGGAGGACAAGGAGCAGGCCACTGGGACCATGTGTTCTTGATTTGCCTTCAACGAAACTCCCCATTTTGCGGTTCGCGATTCCCTGCTTTTTCACAGCCAATTGGTTGAGCATTAAGTTATGATGTTATCTTTTGCCTTCCGCAGAAGTGTCAAAGTGATATTTAACGTTTCTCCCGGGGGAGCCATCCATTATGCCCAACGGTGGCCGCGCCAAGTCTGCTCCTATCTTAAGTAATTTTCCATTTTTCTCTTTCATGAAGGCGCCCATGTTAATCCCGCCGTGACCCTGGCCCTGTGCGTGGTAAGGAGTATCTCTCCGATTCGTGCCGCCATGTACATGACCGCCCAGTGCGGCGGAGGAATTGCCGGAGCCGCTCTACTTTACGGGTAAGTTCATTTAAGAGTAACTTACATACATACATTATTGTAAATATGAAAAGGTATAATAATCCTTGTCCCTTTCTGGACACTATATAGAAATAGTAGACTTCCCAAAACAACCTCAATTAAGCTTTTATTTCCATGTCCTTAAGTGATTCCCTAATTCAAGAAAATAATTGAGGCTAACAAGTATTCAATTAGCCAAACCCCGTTCTTCACTCAAAATCCAAACTAATCAAACTCAATTGAGCTGGAATTCATTTTGAATTTTCGGTTTGCAACAATGTACGTGGGGTAATTGTGTGTGCGTGAGTTCTGTTTATGTCCGAGAGCCTGACCACAGCAATTTCTGCATTATGCCAAGGACACCACACTGCATCATCCTAGTGCCTCCTGCATCTGCGTGCAGATTTGCCCTAAAAGCAAACTCGAGAGTTTCAAATTAAATCCAACAGGCTGTCCTAGGGCCATGTCGTAAATCAAAGCGTAAAAAGATTGCTAGACAGGATACCGAATAGAGAGACAGATGAAACGCACTTTCGGGGCGATGACTGTACAACAAGGACTCTCGGCAGGAAGCGTGAAATGCGTGTGTGCAGAGACGAAGAAATGGGAAATTCTATAAATAGGATATGCAGGTAATCCACACACATACACACACCTGCAGGACGCAGGTAGCTGGTAGAAAAACATCTGCCCTTCAGCTCTCTATCTCTGCGTAGTGATTTCCCGCCTCGAAAGGGAACTTGTCCTTTGTGATGCCTAGATAAAGGACGACACAGGATTGAATCTACACGCACACACCAGCCAGCCGAAAATCTTGTGCCCGTCAGGGTTTTCCTTTGTAAACGACCAGGAACAGGATGAAGGACAGCAGAAACATTACTCCTCCTTACTACTCCTTGCTGGTATCTGCGCCTGCGCACCATTTTTCAAATGTCGCTCCAGTTCTCTCTGTTGGTTTTTTTGTGCTGAGCGTTGAACTCCTTTTCGTAGCAATGTTTAATGTTAATGCCTCGTCCCGATTGTCTGCTCGACATCTGTTCCGACCCTTGGAGGAGAGGAGCCCCTGCTTTTTAAGTGCGTTGGCATCTTTACTTTCTACAGATCCGATCCCCGTGCGGGAGAAAGGGAACGAGGACGGGAACGGGGACGAAAGAAACATGTTTCAGCTGCTGCTACTGCGATCAGGTTCGGTTTTTTTCCTTTTCGTACTTGGCTGATATGGATTTCTTAGGGTCCAACGAGTTCACATTGGGTTTTAGTCGAAACACATGTTTCCCTAAGAGAAATCCTAAAAAATGAGAAACTGAAGGCTTCTTCACCATACAGCTGCTGATTAATTGGTTTAGATTCCGATTATATACATATGTAGGTTATAGCTCAGGAATTGGAGGCTTCCGAGAATTTTGTGTGAGAGATTTTGAAGTTAATTATGACAGTGATTTGATTAAAAAAAGGTTAATAATAAAAATATATAAAAGTGTTTAAAAATGGCTAACAAAAATAAAAGGGAAACTTTTACCCTTCGACATATTTTTTTTTAAGATTTGTTGTGAGTTTTTGTGATGCAACGTGTGATAAATATCCCAGGGCCTAGGTGGGCGCGCCACCCCCAAGGACCTGCCACTTCAGCTGTCCTTCCTGCTCCTCGCGCTGTCACATGTCACTTGGCACTTACCCTAATTGCGCCGCAGATGCCACATGTGGCCAAGTAGCAGCGAATACCACCGAGCTGGGCTAAATCTCAACTTCATTATCTTTCATAAAGAACGCCTGAAAAAAAAACATTGCTAGGGGTCGGGGACACGGTCTTGAGTATCGATATCCGGCTCAGCGATATTTGAATAGTCTTTAGCTGCTCCTCCTCGCATTTCAATGATTTCTTCCTCGCTCTCAATGTATTTTGTTCCCTTTTTTTTGGGTTCGAAGAACGCGCGCCGAGCACGTTCCAAAAATGCGAGTAGCCTTTGAAAATGACGAAAGATAAAAATCAGGTAGAGGCCGTCAAAGACCGAGAAACGAAGAAAACTAAAAAGCAGAGAAGCATAATTAACATTTCCAACGGATTGTCGGCCTTTGTCCATGGTTCAGCGGAGCTGCGCCTGCGCAGGATGCAGGATGCGGTGCGGAAACTTGAAATCAAACACGTGTCGCCGGAGTCGCCGCTGCTCCGCTCTGGTTGGTCAGTTCGAGGAGCAGCTGGAAAAAACGCAGGCAGGGCTATGCACACACCTGCTGCCCAAAACAGAAATTACTGTTGCCGAGGATACACAAAGAAACCGAAAGACTGAAAAAAAAAGAAAACGCAAAACAGGATTTTGAAGCGGGCAACATTTAAATTTTAAATACAAAACTGAAACGAATTGAGCTGGACAGCGGAAAGGAAGATCAGGGTTGGCACTGAGAGAAATATTTAGAGTTACAGCAGAGATTTAGGATCGTAGTTGAGAAATATATTAATTATTTTCAGTATAGAACTTAATCTAAGCATTCTTAAGTACTAATAAACTTTGAACACAGGCTCTTATTTTTTATATCAAATTTCAAAGAAGGATTTAAATAGGAATAGAGTCATAAAAGTATTATTTTGAATCCAATCACTTCCTAAATATCCCATTCATCATTAAAATTCATATTAAAACATTTTATAAATTGTTGTCCCTGCAACCCTTTCGATTTTTATCTAGCATGGAAATGCACTTCCTGCGTGTGCAAGGCTGGGTTAGGGGGAATTGAAATCGTAATCAATTCGTGTCACATGGCCAATTCAATTACTGAATCCGTTCCCATTCCATTTCCCTTTCCCCTATTATTAGTTACTACTGCTTCAGGCGGCTTATCGCACTTTGGCTGGGAAATGGCATCCTGCCAGGGCTTCCGGTTGCCTTCACTTGGCCCCTGCATCCGCACTCGCATCTAAAATGGAGCACAGGTGGTCCAGTTATACAGTTATGTCGTCGCCATTCAAACGACACCTGGGAGAAGGGGTTCCAAAAAATAAAAGAGTGTATAAAAATGGCAATGCCTAAAATGCACTTGTGTATGTTATTTAGTGAACTAGTTATTTATTTGCAATAGCTGTAGTTTTAAAACTTTAATTGAAAACCATAGTTTTGCTGGCAATAATATATTTTATTCGAAAAATATCAGACATACCATAGAAAAACATTTTAAACTAACATGAAATATTTTTCCATGAAGATTCACCCAAATAAACACTAGAAATTTTTAACCCGAGTTAGTTTTCGCTTTAAGTCAACTGTGAATACTGAAATACATTTAGTGATTCCGTGGCATAATTTGATTTGGGAGCCGCATCGGGATTGCGGGTCCCAGTTCCCAGTCCCCCATTTTTGCGAGCCAGAAAGCCAACCGCCAGGGCAACCATACCGAAAGCCCAACTAAACCAAACCAAACCGAGCGTGTTGCACATGGCACATCGCAATCCGCCATCAGCAATTCGCCTTTCAGCAGGATTCGCGGTGGCTAGAGAGTTGAAATGTGCGAGGAAATGTGCCAGTGTTCGCCCACACTTGGGGATAAGGGTAACGACGAATCCTGTTCACAGTTCAAGTTTGCAGTTTGCCGGCACTTGTTTCTTTTTTGGCATTTCTATTTTTTTATTCCGCAAACAATTTGCGCAGGAAGAACCTGCTGAAAGGCACTGCCTGCCCAACATTCTGCCATTTCCGGCTACTTAGTTGCTTCCTGCTCTCTGGTCCACAACTCATGAAAGTGTTTGTTTGTTTATCTCTGTGGACGAGTGGTTTTGGTCACTGGTGTCCTGTGAAATTAGCACTTTATAGATTTATGAGCAAACAAGCAAGCAGTCCCTGTCCAAGTTGAAGTTCCCCCCGATGGCAAACTGTTTTCCTATGCGATCAAATTTTAATCAAGACTGGAGAGCAGTCGGTGGTCACAGTGGAAGCCATTGTGGCGAGGGCTTCTTGGGCATCAGTTGAGGATTATGACCGCCTAATGCCCGCTAAGCCCAGCCCACACAGATACACCTCCAATCCCCACCAGCAACCGGAACTCGGAGCAATTTCCCTTTGAAAGGCGTTCTATTTGCTCAAGTACTTTTAAGTGCATTCCGAAAGCATTTATTTCCGGATTTTCGCAAAAGAGGAGGAGGAGTAGGAGGCAGAAACTCGAGGTGGATTCTAGGGGCTTGGGATTCCTGAGTGCCAGGTAGAGGATTGCGGTTTGGCTTTTGCAATATTAACCCAGCCTGCCTATTGCAAAATGCTATCTAATGGATCTCCCGGCTGGCGGTGCACAGTGGTGGCGCCCATAGGCCAAAAATCAAAAAAATTATTTCAACAAATATGTACGAAAAGTAGAAAAATCGTCTCTTAAATGTCCAAACTTCCTTGTGTCATACCAGATTTTTTTGAAAATCGAACAGGACTTTCTAAAAATAGAATTAAAGATGTGAAGACGTGTTCATTTGCAAAGCGCAGCTACGCGCATCGCGAATGTTTCACAACGAAACCGAACTTTGAAGTGGTCCGGTCGTTTATTACGTGTCTAAATTAATATTTTTTGTAATGGGTTTTGAAGTTCAAGGTATTTTCTATAAAATGAGACACAATTTTATATATTAATAATAATTATTGTTTTCATTATATTAATGTGAAATAATCATGTTTTTTGCCAATATTTTGAACGTATTTTTTATGTTTAGGTAAATTTATAGTTGTGACCCCACAAAAATCTACAGTTCATATGTATGCCAATGTGTTTGTCGAGCTTTTAAGGTGACAAATGTGAAAAAAAATTTTGCCGAAATTTGCCTATGTGCCTATAATCTTAAAAATACTAACACAGTTGAGGGTAAGGTTTTTAATATTTTTTTCTCGTTTTTTTTTTTTTTTTTTAAATAAAGGTTTAATATCTTATAAATTTTGTGTGAAAGTTTTACATCGATTATTAAAAAATTGACAAAGTTATGGGTAGTTGAACGGAGGTCGTTTGGTGTTCGTTGTATGAGTATCCCAAAGTTTAACTCGCTCTCCTGAAAAATGCCATTTTGAAAATGGGTGTACACGATAACTTAAAAACAACTTAACCAATCGGTTTGAAATTTTGAATATAACTTTTTAAATTAACTACACAGATACTCACGTTAAGCTTTTTAAAATTTTTAATTTTAATATATATTTTTTTTAACAAGTTAACTTAATTTTTTAGGCAAAAATTCGGGTGTTGATTTATAATTTTGATCAAAAATAGGGAAAGAATTTTAAAAATAAAAACGTCATCTGGGTACCTTGGGGCACTTATTCTTTAACGAATGCAATAAATTATTTTGATATCGGATGTTTTTGTCGACAGTTCGGATGTACACCGAAAACAAACTTTTTTTTTGTGGGACTTAAGTGATTCGCTATTAGTCGTAGGCCTGTAAATATTTTTTAATACACAAATTTAAAAAAAAAAATGGTTTATATGTTGAGTTATTATATGGTATTTAATTCATTAAGCTAAATTCAGCCGTTTCGTCACAACATTTTTTTGAAAAGTGGGCAGTTTTGCACCGAATTAACCTTACACCCCTTTAGCTGTGTACTTTTGTTGCTAGACAAATAAAATACACAATATATAAATTTATAATTTTTTTTTTCAATTCTGGGCACTTATATTTCACCAACTTTGTCATTAAGAGATAAAAAAATTTAGTTTTTGACTTGGAAAAAAAGTTTTAATTAAAATTTTGTATGGGAGCTATAAGATATAGATATCCGATTTTAACCAAATATAGTAAGAATGCATAAACTTGTACCAAACATATAATCTGTGAAATTGGTTAAGATATTTTGAAAAACAAAAAAGGTTTTTAATACTAAATGTTGATTTTTAACATATTGTTTCTATGGCAGCTATATGATGTAGACGTGCTATATAGGCAATTTTTTGTAGATATACTTAAAACATTTTTCTTGATTTTTGGTGTAAATTTCGTAACGATTAATCAACTAGAAGTATTTTTGGCCGCGTCTCCATACAAGCCCAACCACTGTGCGGTGACAACAATCCGGAGAGTTCGAGCCGTGTAATATATGATGGCTTTCGAAAAACTTTTGCATCCTGCCTCAGGATACGAATTATCCCCATAAATCGCAGGGCTTCAAACTCATTTGAGCCCAGAGGAGGTGCTCAACAACTTAGGCAACTCGGTAATTGAAACTTTGACAGTCTAAATTATGTTGAGGCAGTTCAAGTGTGAACAGATTAATGGGGTTGAGAGTTCGACTGAAGGGCAGGATGGGGGTTGCTGTCGGAACTGTCACAGCGGTAAATAATAAATAATATAGATTTTCATTGACTTTTTGAGTTGGCAAACTTTTCTTCCGAATCAATCAGGTATCAGTTGTAGTGGGAAATTGAATAAATGAAATAAAAAAGACAAATATATTTGCTTTATTTTATATTCCTTTTCGCTTTATTAAGTATTTACTCATGCTTTTTATTTCTCTTTACAGAGTCTCTGGGCCAGGATACCAGGGGAATCTGCTGGCTGCCATCTCACAGAGCAATTCCTTGGCCGCCTGGGAGCGCTTCGGTGTGGAATTCATCCTCACCTTCCTGGTGGTACTCTGCTACTTCGTGTCCACAGATCCCCTTAGGAGGTTCATGGGCAACTCGGCCGTCTCGATTGGAGCTGCCTACAGCGCCTGCTGCTTTGTCTCGGTGAGTTGATGCGAGAGCCTTGACTTGAGTCCCAGGAATGCCGTGACTGAGAATCATTGAAATCTGGAAACCAGAAGAAGAACCCGCCAAAACTGAAACCGAAACTGAAACCGAAAACAAACAACTGAAACGCACCTGCCGACTGCCGACTGTGACTCTGTCCTTCTGATGGTGCAAAATCGCAGCATGACAACGAGATAAACTGGGTTTCAGGTAGAAGAGGCTTTTATTCAGTGCTGGTGGAGGGGCAAAGGGTCGGGATAATTAATTTAGCGCAGGGACTACCAGGACAGAGGAGCATTGTTGGCATAACGGACAGTTTGTGGCGGCATTCAAAGGCAATGCGACGATGATGACGAGGGGAAAGCGATTAAGTCGGGTTTATATCTTATGCGGATTGAATTACGATGGAGATAAGATTCGCGGAGATCTAAAAGGGATACATAGCTTTGATGACTCTTAAGAAAATGAATTGACAAGGCTTTCTGTTTAAAGCGTATAAACTTTATTTGTAGGATAGAAAAAGGTCTGAATTAATCTTCAGCTTGTTTGTATTCCATAAATAATCCGAACGATAGACTTTTCTTTCTATACGCAGAGTTTTTCTTTTTGTACTTTACTTTATTAAATTTTAAAATTCAAATACTCTTAAGACAAAAGCAGCAGAGCTATTCTCAACTAGTCTTTGTAGCTTAAAATGTTTCGCAACTTTTTACCCAACAACTTAGCTTTAGATGAACATCGTGTAGTAAATTCCGGACTAAACTTGTGAAACCATTTAAATTCCTCCTTAATTTGTCAAAAATCTAACCATGTCCTTCCTCTTCTCTTTCTCTTCAGATGCCCTACCTTAATCCAGCCCGATCCCTGGGTCCCTCGTTTGTGCTGAACAAATGGGACAACCACTGGGTGTACTGGTTTGGACCTTTGGTGGGCGGCATGGCCTCCGGCATCGTGTACGAGTATGTGTTCAACACGCGCCGTAACCAACGTCACGGCAAGGGCAGCATCGACAACGACTCCAGCTCGATCCATTCAGAGGACGAGCTGAACTACGACATGGATTTGGAGAAGCCCAGCGGCAAGTACCAGCAGTCGCAGGGCACCTATCCCCGTGGCCAGAACGGCGGCAATGGAGGAGGTCAGCAGCAAGGCAATGGCCAGCATCAAGCTGGGAATATGGGCCAGATGACGGGAGTGGTGGCTGCTCCAGGACAGGGCAACTACTGCCAGAACCTATATACGGCTCCACCTCTCTCCTCCAAGTATGAGCAGCAGCAGGAGCCGCTGTATGGCGGAACCCGCTCCCTCTACTGCCGTTCCCCAACCCTGACCAGGAGCAACCTGAATCGCTCGCAGTCCGTCTACGCCAAGAGTAACACGGCCATCAACAGGGACATTGTACCACGCCCTGGACCACTAGTGCCCGCCCAGAGTCTCTATCCCATGCGCACCCAGCAGCAGCAGCAGCAGCAACAACAACAGCAACAGCAACATCAGCAGCAGCAACAGCAGGCCACCGCTGCCCAATCCTCCCACTTGCAGAACCAAAATGTCCAGAATCAGATGCAGCAGCGCAGCGAGAGCATCTACGGGATGCGAGGCTCCATGCGCGGTCAGCAACAGCCCCTTCAACAGCAGCAGCAGCTTCAGCAGCAACAGCCCATCGTGGGAGTGCAGCAGCAACAGTTACAGCAGCCGCCTCCGCAACTGATGGCCGATCCTCTCCAGCAGCAGCAGCAGCAACAGCCGCAGGGCTTCCAGCCTGTTTACGGCACGCGAACGAATCCCACACCCATGGACGGCAGCCACAAGTATGATCGGCGGGACCCACAGCAGCAGCTGTACGGTGTGACGGGACCCAGGAATCGTGGACAATCTGCTCAATCGGACGATAGCTCCTATGGCTCGTATCATGGATCGGCGGTGACGCCGCCGGCACGTCATCCCAGTGTAGAGCCATCGCCGCCGCCGCCACCCATGCTGATGTACGCCCCGCCCCCACAGCCCAATGCCGCTCATCCGCAGCCCATTCGCACGCAGTCGGAGCGGAAAGTGAGTGCGCCCGTGGTGGTGTCCCAGCCGGCAACCTGTGCCGTCACCTACACAACCTCGCAGGGACCAGCGATGGCAAGCCAACAGCAGCAACAACAGCAACAGCAGCAGCAGCAACAACAGCAAATGATGATGCAGCAACAGCAGCAGCAACAACATTATGGAATGCTGCCGCTTAGGCCCAACTGAAAGCGACTGTCTTGGGGTCCGGTGACCACGCCGCCACCGGCGGCGCTGCACGCCCTCGCCATACACCCCGCGGGCACGATGACCCTGCACCGCTGCAGCCTAGCCAAGCAGAGCAGTTTGTTTTAGTCGTAGGTAGTCCTAGAGCATCCAACGGGCATCGCATCCAAAGGAAATTTACGCAAGTCTCAGCCCTTAGTCTAGCCGAATCCTAGTTTAGATACGTACATATTTAGATGTAGGCAAGAAGCAGCATAGCCACATTGTATTATCCAGAGCCAGAGCGTTACGACGAGGTAGGAACTCGCACACCTAGCAGCAGACAACGATGCGCTGAAGCATAGCACATTTAGTTATAAGTGACTAATCTTGAACTAGATACAGACTGAAGGAGAAAAACTGCATTTAATTATGTCGTGTTTTGCCTCTTGATTTCCTCTTCCAACTTGTTTTTATTTCTTTCGATTTTTGTTTAAAAATTAAAATGATATATCCTTGTTTTGTTGGTTTTTTCCGAGAATTTAATAAGATTTTTGTTCCATTACATTGAAAAACAGACTGAAACAAACACATTTTTTAATGCTTATAATATTTTTAAATCATTATTTTCTTAACTTACAATTTCTTGAAGTTTTTGTTTAGCTTAGTTCAAAAAGGCCAAAATTTGAATAACCCATTTTAATTTGTATATAAACTCAATATAGACTTATCTAAGCTTATTCTGTATATTTTAGGCACATAAGCTCACATTCGATACCAACTTATATAAACATAATGATATACATGTATTATAAGTACATTTACTTAGTGATACACACGCTTCGTAATAGTATAGTAATAAGAGAATAATGCAAATATATGTATATGGTGTATCCAAAATAAAGACACGTTCATTCAAAACACAGGCATTGTTATTCTTGAAAATATTGGGCAAGATGTTTGAAACTTGAGACTTTTAAGGTCTAAGCTCAAGGCTTTAATATCATTTGAGGTAATACACTTTTAGGAACTGGTCAACGGAGATCTTAAGATCTTGAATAACATAATGGTTACCTGATATTCGAAATAACATTCAACTTAGAGTAAATCCCTGCTTAGTACCGCTCACCCGAATGATGACCGTCCTAGTTTAGACGGAGTACATAAAGTTGAAGTATCGCCGCACATCGGCAATGGGAAAGTGGGGCACTTGTTTTTGCACCTTTTTATAGTCAGTGCCATGTTCTCTGAATGCCCTTGAGAGTGCCACCAGATCCAGAGCCTTCCAGCGATGGTAGTGGCAGCCTCGGGCTGTCTGGTTCCGCTCCAGACGTCGGCGGGCCATCGCCAAATCGAAGCCCTGGCTGCGTAGGATAAACAGCGCCTGCTCCTCCTCGATCTGATACCGAGTAAATGCGAAGTCAAGGTACTCGATCACATCCTTCTCGTCCTGTTTTCCGAGCTGAGGCGACCAAAGACTTGAGGCGCGGTGCTGAAGCTGCTTCAGTTCCTGCTGACGTTGATCCTGCGGCACGAGTTCTGGCAGGATGGCTGCCTGTTGCTGCCAGTAATGAGCATCTCGTTTATTCTTGCAGGAAAACATCCTTTCAGTCGAAAAAAAAAAAAAAATGAACGGTACTGAACGACCGATGAGTTAGGGTTGCAAAGTGAACATTTTAGTGCTGGAAAACACCACATCGTCAACGGCGTTGCCATGCCGGCGATACACTTAGCAAAATTAAATGCATTTTCAAAATATTCTAAGAAAAAACTGTTAAACTTTTATTTTACTCATAACTCTTATTTGCAATCCCTGGTTAAACAAGTGAAAGGAACGCTTCCAACCTACAAAAAACTTTAAAAACAACTGACTTGTTATGTTCAAGGTGGAAATTTTAATGAAAACATTGAGGTTATGTTGTTGTGTATAGTAACATTATTTTAACATCGATATCGATATGTATTCCATCGTGTCATCGTAGAAATTGAGGTTATGTATAATGATTTCTTAGCCCTTAGGGGACCGTCACCGTTTTAAATGATTACGTTACAATTTAAATATTCTAGCAATCGTCAAAGATTTCCACTGATTCGGATCCTGAATCAAAATCATCAGAGTTGTACTCCCCGTTCTCGCTGCCGTAGTCGTCGTTGTTCACCCGGTGTCTCGATAAGCGCTCCCATATGACCAGACCCTCTGGTGGCGATGGTTCCTCAGTTCGCTCGACATCATAGGTAAGCCAGGGGTAATGTTTTTGAGCGTAGAGCGATTTGGTAAGTGTTGGCCAAATTGTCAGTGTGCCCTCCTTGGCAAGCTTAATCTTTAGGTAATAGCCATGTTGCTTCTGCGAAACGAGGCGCACCACGCCCAGCAGTGGCAGGACAAAGTGTTGAGGTGGCGAGCTGGTCGAAACACCGTAGAGCAAAGTCTTGCCCTCCAGACAGAGCTCGTACTCCGGCACCTGCTGCTCAATGGTCAGCTCGACATGGGAGTTGGTTTGATGCCACTTGACTCTGGGACGGACTGCTCCTTTTGATATTGTGGAATACAGCAACGACTGGCTCACGGGCTTAGCCAACAGACCTTGGGAAGCTCCTTGGGGGGCATCCTCCAGCTTTAAGTCAAGACGTCCAGTGGGTTTATTTTCGTTGATGGCCCCCATTCCTTCCAGAACGCTTTGAAGGAACATGGAGCTGTTCGTACCCTCTTGCATCAGGGTGTTGCAAAGAGCCTCTGTGCTAGTCGAATGTTGGTCACTTCCAGCTCCTGGAGCAATATTCTCGTTTAAGGTTCCAATATTAATGGTTTTGGTAGAAGGTAACTCCTTGTGCTCTAAATCAATTTTAGAAAATTCTTTTTTGGTTTCGTTCCCTACTTCCGTCATCGGCTCTGGCTTTTTCTCCTTACTGATCTTCGGAATGTCAAAGGATTTATTTGGTTCAATTTTTAAGGGAGAAGGATATTGGTTTGTGTTCTCAGAAAAGATTTCGTTTCTGATGGCTAACTGAGTGTTTTCCTTGTTGCCCTCCGCCTCCTCGTTGGCCTTTCTCTGTTGCTCGTGCATCCTGCGTAGCTGACTATCACTTTGGCTATCCATTTGACTGAATCCTCGATTAAGCAGCTCCTTGCGCAATAGCAGCTTGTAGACACTAGTTCGCATTGTGGGACACTCCTCCACCACGGTCACTTCCTTGGCATAAACCACATTCAGCATGGCAAAGTCTACGGTTATCTGCATCTGTTGACGGTCGCTGATGTTGGCAAGGGATTGCTGAACCCACTGGGTGGTGTCGTTCATCCACTTGCCCTCTCCGGCACACACCCCCGATAGCCGAATATCCATGGCCAACGGTGGCAGGGTCCTGAACTTCTGCTCCGGACACTGAAGCAAGTGTCTGGAGTTGACGCGCATTAACTCCGTGCCGTAGTCCATTATCTGGACTGTAACACTGCCCTTGGCCTGGATGTCCACGATCTTTACTCGCTTAAAGTGTCCCATGTGGTGAATAACGCACACATCGCCCAGGCGATACATACTATGCACATTTTGTTTGGTTCCCATGCTCATTTCCAATGCCGCGAGCCACTTAGTGACCGGATAAGGGGCATCCACCCATTCGGTCGAACCCTTGGTCTGGTACTCCTGAGGCCACACGGCCATGTGACCTGGGTCATAAGCCCCGTAAAGCTTGCAGCGGATGACGGTTCCCTCTTGCTGCAGGGGATTCTCAGGTAGCGGCATATCGCCTTGAATGAAATAATGCCTCTTACTGCAGGCTACCACCGCACACTCTCCCGTGCTCAGGAGATACGGACAATAGGGAATGCCGTCTTCCTCCTGCGGTTGGAAGTTCATCCAGGGGGCCCCGTTCGTTTCGAAGCCATGGTCACGAAGGAACTTGGTCAAACGTACAAACTCCCGGGAGTTACTCTTATCCAGCAGCAAATAGCTCAACAGAGGTTGCTTCTTCTTATCCTGCGGTGCAGGTGCAAAACAGTTCGGGATTTGATCAGCCATGACACTGAATCGCTGGGCAAACTTCGACCATGTATGGGGCAGGCTGAAGTGGATGAGCACCTCGATGTTCCGCACTGCCGTCGCGGGCTGTTCAAACTCGTCACTGACCACCAAGAGCTGGTGAGGCTGCTGAAAGTATTTTCAAGAAAATATCACAAAATGTAAATCAATTATTCGGCAGAGTGCGCTCACCTGGTTCTGAGCTTCGGAAGGGCTCACGCATTCGCGCCCTGCTGTTTTCAAAACCCTATGTAAGTCGTCCAACTCTTTCCCATGCCTGCAATATATGAGTGTACGTTTCTTGAAAGTTTTCTGCTCCGCCAGGAACTGCAGCAGCAAGTCCGCCTTCATGGAGGAGTTCTTCAGACTGAACTTCAGCCTGAGACCGCCGTACATGGCTGCCTCTAGGAAATTGCCAAAGAGAGCCAGAGGCCTTGCCATGCGCTTCAGCAACTTCTCGAACCCCTTCGCATGCCATTGCTGGGCCACCAGGATCAACTGCATCGATGGGCCAGTAGGCAGTGCGTTTAGCTTCTGCAGCACCTTATTCAAGGCCTGCGGAGTCGTCTGCTGTAGACGATCAAAGTCATCGAATATAAAGTACTGCAGCCTTTTGGGATCGATCATGGCTATATCCAGGCCCATCAAGTCGAGCAAATGGTCAGGTGTTGTGACCAGAATACCGCACGAATTGAGCAACATCATTTGGCAAGCCGGCATCGAATGGTCATGGGTATTGACCACCTTGATCAGCTGGGTGTCAGAGCTCGACATCAGTGAAGCACAATTGCTGGCCAGTGCTTTGGCACGACCTATTGAATCCACCAAGACGATTGCCATGGGACCCAGCTTCAGTTCGCGACTGAACGCCGAGTCCTGCAGTGAGCTCAACACCGAGGAGCACAGTACGGGCAGGTAGCTCCAAGTGCGACCCCTGTCGCAGTCATTAACCAGCACTAGCGATCCGCCGTTCAATAGATGCGGCCAGGAGTACATCTGCATTGGGAGCACTGTACGAATGTTGAGGTCACCCATGCTTTTACGGATTTCCTTGCAAAATGTCAACTCCGCAATACAGCTAACAGGATGTACCGCTTGCGGGCTGTGAGCCATCACTGCCAGGGCTCTGGTCCCAAGTTCGTTTTTCTTTGTTTCCATGGCTTTGCTACTATTTTTGAATTCATTTTGCACTATGGATGGAACATTGTTTTTGGTATAAGGCAACCCTTTGTATATGGACTCTAGATTATCCTGCTGAGATATTGATCTTCCCTTTACCGATGATGAAGCTTCAATTGCCTCCAATTTCTCCTGCCAAGCATCTGACGAGGCATATGATAAGTTAGCTTGATTATTATTCTTCAGGGTACTGAGGCTTGCCTCACTGCTTGGGGCAGATGACGAGGTAAAGGTGGCTTCAACAGTCTCCAATTTATTTTGTGAATTCTGAAAAGCGGAGGTGGATTTTAAGCCTTTCGAAGGAGACTCTTCCAGGGAGTTGGATAACAGCGATTCTGTACTAGACTTTAGCGATTCTAACGATAAGAAGTCTTCCGATGAATACGATGATAAGGTAGGTTGATCTTCATTCTTCATGGTACGGAAACTTGCCTCACTGCTTGTGGCAGGTGACGACGACCGCTTTGGAAACTCCACATTGTTCCAGACTGAGTCCAGGCCTGACTCCAAGGAGCTGCTTTTATTATGAATCATTTCATTATTTTGATTATCCCGAATCGAAGGTATTTCTAAGGCAGCTTGCACACAAATTTCGTTGGAGGTAAAGACCTCGTTACGCATGAGCTTGCCAGAGATCGGTACGCGGACGTTTGAACGATTTTCTAGGGCTTTTTCTATTATGTAAGCCCTTTCTGAAGGCCGGGACAAGTTGCGTTCACTTGAATCAGACCAGTACTCCGTTTTTCCCATTACTTTGGCGATGTCAAATGATAAATTGCTGTATTTGGGTTCCTGCTCCAGTTCCACGAGCAGGTTATTATTATTCTTAGGATAATGAGAAAATTGGTTACTGGACGAGGACACCAGTTGGATTATATTTTTGACACGGGGTCGTGCTTCAATCATCGGGTCGTTGATCTCGGCCAGCTCAAATCTAAAGGCTCTAGAAGAGCTGGTTGACAGCGAGATGTTCATGCAGGGTTCACAGAGGGCGTGCTTCCGGCTCACCAAAAATTCGGCGCCATCCTGGAAAACTTCGCTCTGGCTGGCGGTCTTGAACATGAGCTTGCCAAAATGTCGCTTCGCATGGCCCTGGCATACGACTTCAAAGTTCAAATGAATTGCATTTTCTATTAACTTGTCGAAGTCGTGAAGGCAAGATTTGGACCAGTGGTTATGCATGGGTCTTATATATGCAATGCTTCCGTCCTTGATTTCCAAAATGTTTGAAGTCAAAATATCGGGCAGGGACCACATGTCTCCTGAAGAGCAACAAAGAGTAAAGCCGTAATCCAAGATCCACACTAGGTACTCATCATCCTCGCGCCTTTTCACCACACCCCTCAGTAGCTTGGGCGGATTCATAGGCTTATATAGCACGATGACCTTCTGGTTTACCAGGTATGTGCCTTCGTTCTTGTCCTTGGTGCAGTGTTTCTCCAGGGTTTGTTCCATCTGAAAAACCAGCGATGCGGATGCCATCACATCCTTCAACCTCACATAGCTGAATTGTTGCGGACTCAAAAACTGAGTAATTATGATGGCTAGGTCTTCGGTTTCGGGTGGAATATTTGGATCCTCCAGCTCCGCTAAGTTTGTGTAAAAACAAATGTAAATAAATAAAAAATAATCATAATCTAATAACTGCGTTTTGGTTTTTATTAAATTTTTAATGTTTAGAAATTGCAGAAACAATATTTAAAATCCTCTTTTTTTATTTGGAAAATTATTCTAGCTCTGAAATTTCGACTATTTATCTAAGGTTGAGCTTTAAGTTCGTTTATATTTTCCGCGTGCAGTCATGTGTAAATCGCTGCGATTTCTACGCGTCAGAAACTTTGCCCAAAGCGAGCCAAAAATTGTGAAGCCAGCGCAGCCACTGGATTAAATTTGTGGATGCGGATTGTGATTTAGTAGGGAGTAAATTAGGTAATTTAAGTTGCGGAAAGCGAAAGCAAGTGCGGCACACTTTGCCTTTTCCACTGCAGTCAGCTTCTATATGGCAAAACAAAGCAACGGCCTAAGCCGCAACTAAGGAGGTCCTTGTGCCTATTTGCTGTTTGTTTGCGCTGCACTAGATCTGCGGCAGTGCCTCCTGCTGCACCGCCACATCCTCCTTGGGGAGTGGCAAGTGGTGCTCAACAATCGGCAGTCGGCCGTGCTCCAAGTTGTTGTTTCACCAACACTTTAAAACGCTTCAGAGCTCCTCCCATACAAAAGCTTATAAATAAGGGCTATAAATTAAGGGCTGTGATTATCTCTACATTATTCGAGTTCATTTGACATGTGCAGGGGTTCGGACAAGCAAACATCGCTTTTCACCCCCAAAAATCTGCCTCAAAATAAACGATTATCTTATAAAAAATCGCCCAATAATGATGCCATTGTTGCTCTTGAAGAGAATATGTAAATCTCTAGGATCAGGGATAGTTGCAATCAATCATAAAAAGTTATTCAAACGCAGTAGCCAAAACTAATTACCTAATTATAGCTAAAGAAATTAAGAAAGGATGAACTCACCTGGATTGGGGTGGCTTCCGCGAAGCATTTTTAATGCGATCTCAAGTTATTCCAGGAATAGGAATTTCACTTTTGCAGCTTTCTTGGTCAATTGAAGAATAAGATAAATTGCAATCTGTTTAAAAAATGGAAATAGTAATAATTAATGGGAAAACTTAAACACCTTTTAAAATATTCACGTATCCAGTATTCATCAAAAGGTATATAATATAATATAATTCTAAAAATTTCTCTTTAACAGCAAATATAAAATATATTTTAAAAAATGAGAAACCTAAGTATATTTAATATTCAAATTAGTGTGAAATTCTACAATAACTTATTACTAAATTACTTACTGTTGTCCAAGTCCAGAAAAAATGGCACTATTATAATAGTTCTCAGTACTTCAGTTCAGTTTCCAGTAGATCTAAGAAAGTTGAACAAAATTAATAGTAAATAAATAAAGGATATTACTATAATTACTGTGAACGCTAGAGCACTTTTCTTTCCAATTTCATGGGCTTCGACCTGCAGATGGAGACGACGATAACCGAATGTCATCCACCAATAGGAAAAGAAAATCTTACACACACATACGCGTACATATACATATGTACTCCTTGTCAACAGAGAGCCTCTTTTTGTTTTTGTTCTTTGTATGCCCTTTTTGAAGTGTCAGCGCATTTTATGCATGTAAACAAACTCGGATTTTGGAACTCTTTCGTTCGCAATTGAAACAAAATAAATGAAATAATGTACCGATTAGCTTAACAGTTCTGTTGCTAGCAACAAAATACAGTTTTAACCGGCACTTTGATTTCCTCTTGCACTTTCGAAGCAGTTATTCCTCCAAGAAAATTAAACAAGACTAGAGGTGGCAATTGCCTAATTAATCAGTTAATCGATAATTCAAAAATAAAAAATATCAGATCACAAAAAAAGTATTTTGCATATATTTTAGTAGATTAAAATTCTTTTTAATTAAAAGCGTGTAATAACTAATTAGATTAAAAGAACTTGAACATATTTTTGGCCATTACCTACTGCCTAATAAGGAACTAATTTTATTAACTAAGAAAAACAGTACCAATAAAATGTATGATTTGGTTTAGATATCTCTATTCAAAATTCAAATCATACATATTTGGATTTGATCTCAGCTGATTATATCGCCAAGCACCCAAATTAGCGGTACATACTTTCTATTGTAATTGATGGCAATCCTGAGCCGATAAATCCTTTTTCCTATCCCGCACCGTGCTAATTGCAAAACAAAATGCCAACCGTTTATTTAACCCAAAAATACGGTTTCTTTTCCTGCAAAAAAAGGACGCAACTTTTCACCCCTTTAACGGCCACAAATTTTCCCTTTTCCCCTTTTGTTTGTCGGGCACCGAATCGCTCATAAAAGTTTGCCCAAAGCAGGGTAGTCGACTGTCCCCCTCAACCCGCGCAGCATTTCTTTTTTATTCCATTTTTATTTGATTGTTTCATATTTATGAGGATTATATGGCTGAGTGTTGAGTATCAGGGCACAACAGGAGATGGGTTGAACGTGTGGTAATTTATTTTGCGGCTAAGAGCGTTACTTTATTTTACTTGACTTGTGGTTAAAGGAAACACTTTTTTCCATAGCTCGCAAAATAAGTTTTTCATTTTTTCCAAGTCAATTCGGCATTTTTAAAGTAATTACAAAGTTAGATATGGGTAATTTTCAGTCGTTAAGAAATTTGAAAGCTATTTTATTTTGTGATTTTATGAGTTTTGCTTAAAGTAACGCAGATAGCAATACTTTTTTGTAGTACAGAAATAATATCAGTAAAATCAAATTAAAACTTGTATTTACAAAATTTTGAAATTGAAGGGCTTGAGGAAGAAGGCGCCAACATTTGCAGAGGGGAAAAATTTAGAGTGCCCGTTGTCTTTTCCGCGCAAAATGCCTGATGGCTTATAATCTCCGTGCTGCCAGACTGTTTAAGGAAAATCGCATTTTTGAACAACCCGCTATTATTTGTTGAAAACAAAGGAAAGAACTGAATAGAAAGCGTCGTGATATCTTTAAATCGAATAAAATCTCCTCCATCAACTAGCGCTTGCAGGCCGCTTAAGCTGATCATTTCAGTTGGCTTGGCAGGCCCAGATAGGGACAACGACGCCCTTTTTCAACACTACCCGATAGCCCACATGGCGCCAAACAGGTTTGCTTTATCCTTGATTCAGGAGATGAGCTTTTGATTACTTTTAACTAAATTTAACGTTATTAAACATTTAAAATTGCTTGCTATCGCCTTCGGAATCAATAAAGTGATAGGGAAATAACAACCGATTTATAGTGGCGATAACAATATCGATGTTCTTGCAGTCTAACCGATAGTTAGTCAAAATGGCGCCTGTCAGCAATCGTTTATCGGTGTAAGCAGCGCATCACAGCTCGAGCGAAAAAAAGAAAAATACGGGCGAACTGGACGAAATTGATTGAAGTTTACCAAGAGCCAGCGCCGAGATTCGCACTGCACCCCAGTAACCAATTAGCTCGTGTGCTCCGTCCGCCCAAGCCAGCAAGATAACCAAGTTTAATATACGCCTGGACAACATAATGTCGAAGAACAAAAAACTGTCGCTGTCGGGCGGCGACACGACAGAGAAATTTATTTACAAACTCAAGGATCTGATATGGTAAGCTGTGTGCCGTCTAGTTGGGACTGGCTAAGACTATGCGGCCAGCCCGGTTCCATGCCTCCGCCGTGATTTTCCCTTTTTTTCTGATCTTGGATTAAGGGCCAAAGCAATCACATAACCTCAATCGTGCACGGTTGGCGCTCCAACGATAAAAAAAAAAAGAAGTGAAATGTGCGTAAAAAAGCAATTAGCACTCGTTTGCCCGCCACGCAAGGCATTCCGGATGGGCTGCCATTTGCTCCGGTCTCCGGAGTTTCATATGTAACTCCGGTGACCCGACCCATCTTGACTGCTCTGCTCTCGGCGACGTCGACGTCTCTGCGTTGGCGCTTTTTTCGCGCGCGCGCTCTTTTTTTTGTTGTTGCCAATGAGTGAAGTAATTTGGCCCAATACGAAGTTTTCTAATAGTGTTTTCTTTTGCTTGCAGGGCCAAGATGAAGGGCTTCACTCCGTGGCCGGGCATGGTAAGTGATCGGAATGTTTATGCAGCGTCGACGCCGCTGCCGCCTCCTCTGCCGCAGTCACTGTCGCGGTCGCTGCCATGTTGTGTTTGTTTTCGACTGTACTTTTCGACTGCAGCACCGCTGCTGCCGGCGTCTCTGCCGCCGCGCTGTTGCTGTTGCTGGCTACGCACTTGCACACGCTTCATACTTGCGCGGCCCGGAATCGGTTTCTTTTGGAGCTGCTATCGGGCCAGCCAGCCAGCGGGCGTTAGCTTTCGTTCGTGTACAGCCACAGATGCCAACATGTGTGCGGTGGAGGGGGAAGAGGAGGGGCCAGCGACGCTCGTCGGCGGGCAAAGTGTTCAGATATATAATTCGCTATTCGTTGCCAAGGAAATCTATAAAAGGAGGCGTCCCACGAGCCTTTTTCAATCTGGTTCGGTATCCATTCAGTGCTTTCGTAGCTTAAATGTATTTTTCTCAAAAAAATTATCTAAGACCTGGCAAACAAATGTTAAATAATTTATTTATCGGTATTAATTTTAGATTTTCAGCTGTGAAGTGGAAAATAAGTTATTTTAATGAGGAAAAACAAAATAATATTAATGAAGTGATTATAAATAACTAAATTAGGCACCAAATAAATTCATGCAAATTCCGGCCATATCCTTAATATTGAAAAAATCAATTTAATTGTTGTAGACGCGATTGTATTAGTTCTTATTAGCCAAAAAAGGCATATGAAGTTAATTAAAAATCAGAACTACTTTCTTGGCTAAATGATAGGGAATCTATTAAACTCCCACTGAAACGGTACTTTGTATTAACAATAAATACTTTTTTGTCTAGATTGTGGATCCGCCATTGGACATGCTCAGCCAGCAGCGCCGCGCGAATTGCAAGTGTGTTTTCTTTTTCGGCTCTCGGAACTTGTGAGTAATACAATTTACAAAATCAAAGAAAGAAATTTAAATTCTCGGATAACTTTGTAGTGCTTGGATAGAGGAGAACAACATCAAGCCCTTCGAGGGTCCCTGGAAGGATGAACTGGCCAAGGTTAGCAAGCCCGCTGCATTCAGGCATGCAATGACGGATATTGAGAAGTATATTGACGACCCCGCTGAGGTGGACGAACAGGTGAATGCCAGTTGCGGCGGGCCAAATCACGCCACTGAAGCGGACTTTGACAAGATCCGCGACGGTCTGGACAATGAGGAGAACGCTGCCGACGAGACTGTCGCTGATGCCAACAATGGTGTGGTGGCCCATGTGGTCGGAAGTCCCGAGGCCGAGGGCTTGGATAGGGAAAATAATGCAGACTCTGCAGCATCACCCGAAGATGCCGCAGTTGCCGTAACGACGACGCCGGCGGCCGCAACAAAATCTGGTGGCAAGCGGACGCCGAAGGCCAAATCTGTGACAGCCGTCGCGGTTAAGGCAGCAAAGGCCTCTTCCACAAAGTCAGCACAGAAACGGCGGACTTCCGCGCAACAGACGCCCACCGGAGCATCGAGCACCAAGCGTGGCAGGCGAGTGGCTTCCGGAGAGGCAGCGGCGGACCAAGCCGGCACCAGCTCCTCGCCCAGACGTCGCATCGAGACTGACGCACTGATGGCCTCGCTGGCGGCCAAACGGGCACCAAATGCAATCGCTCTGCTGGACCGTCCAGTGGTCACGCGGCCAGAGACGCAGGCCATCGACATGAATTCGCGGTCGAACACGCTGGCCGATCGCGAAATCGTTCCATCGGATCAAACCTTCGGCTTCCTGGGCCTGGGCATGATGGGCTCGACCATAGTTAAGGACTTGATATACACGGGACACAAGGTTGTGGTCTGGAACCGCACCATTGACAAGGTAAAGCGTTCGATTAAGATATTCAAAAGCAATACTGCAAAACATTGGTTAATTTTTCAGTGTCAGCCCTTCGTGGAGGCCGGCGCCGAAGTTAAGGACACTCCAATGGATGTGGTGGAGGCGGCCGACGTCATATTCTGTTGCGTTTCGGATCCCAAAGGCGCCAAAGATGTAAGCATAAAATAACGAATTTCATTTATTCGCGTTCTGCGGCTGTGAAGTTTTTGTAGCGCCCACAAGACGATTCAGAATACATTTAAATTAAATTAGAATACAAAGGAATGCGACTCTTTGTCGCTAAACGTTCTCCAGCTGTTACTATGCCAGCTTTTATGCAGCTCTTCTAAATCATGCTTTTTATTCTATTCTATGATCAGCTGGTTTTTGGCAACTGTGGCGTCCTGCAGTTGAAGGACCTAAACAATAAGGCCTACGTGGAAATGTCGACTATTGATCCGGAAACATCCTTGGACATTGGCGAAGGTATCAAGCAGTGCAACGGTCGGTACCTGGAGGCGCAAATCCACGGGTCGCGTCAAGACGCAGCCGATGGTATGCTGATCATCCTCGCCGGCGGCGATCGAACAGTGTTCGAGGATTGCCACTCGTGCTTTAAGACCATCGCGAAAAACACGTTCTTCTTGGGAAGTAAGTACAGCATAGACCAACGCCGAGGCGTTGCTTGATTAGACCGAGAGCAATTCCTTAAAAATGTCCCTTGTTTACATCTAGCAGATGTCGGAAATGCCTGCAAGGTGAACCTGATCTTGCAAACCATTCTGGGAGTGAGTATGGTTGGACTGGCCGAGGCGTTAGCACTGGGTAAGTTTATTTTGATCACCAGTTTTGGCTGTGAGGTAAACGATTTGTTATACTTCCTTCACAGCTGATCGTTTCTCCATTTCGCTGAAGGATATCATAGACATTTTTGATTTGACTTCTATGCGATCACCGATGCTGCTGGCCAAGGGCAAGGGTACGTATTTAGTATAATTTTGGAAGTCAGTTTGGAGAAAGAAATTGCTATTCTCCTTTCAGAAATGGCTAAGGGCGACTTCAATCCACAGCAGCCACTGAGCCACATGCAGCGCGACTTGCGTTTGGTGCTTAACATGGCCGAGAATTTGGACCAGTCCATGCCCGTCACCAGCATCACCAACGAGGTGTTCAAGCATACCAAGCGCTTGGGCTATAGCGAACACGATTCGAGCGCCGTATTCGTAAGATCCAGATTTTAACAATTAGTTAACACGACTAACGTTTAAACTATACTTTATCATTTAGTTTAAAGCGTACACACCGAACAGAACCGACACTGACACACACAACACACCCGAACACAGTAATGCATTACCCTCACTACCCACTCACCCACCAACATGACCGAGACGTTCGGTCGCAGGGGATACACAGATTGACAATGGTCAGTCTGCGTATTGCCTGCGATTGGCAGCGTTGTTCTAGCTCGTTCATATATTTCCAAACCTTTTCCCATACCCGAAACTAGGGCTATTGCAAAGCAGATCAAGATCTCGAGCCGATACGCATTGTGGAGCGCTTTTCGCCGGCCACCTAACCCGTGTCGGTGAACCTCTTTGATACGTCGTCGTTCGGCGAGATTCTGATGGGCAATCGGGGAAGGTTTATTTTCAAGAGTCTGGCGGAGCATTCATGAATGTTGTACACGGATCGACTCTAGCATGAATATTGTAATCGTGGGTGGGATAAACGCGAAGACAGCAAAGGGACCGGGAAAAGGCCATGGCATCGGGCGATGACGTAGCTTCCCAGATGTGGCACTAAAGAATTATTTGCATACATAAACTGTAAATGTATAGAATAACGCATCCGAATAAATTGTAAAAAAAAAAAACATATATTTCGCGAGGCACATAACTGTGTGCGAGTGAAAAGCCAAACGGGGCGCGGTCCCTTTTGTATACACCCCGACCCTTCCCAATCATATCCTTATTTATGCATTTACGCCAATCTTTCTAATTTTGTTCTCCGCGTAACCCTTTTGTTCAAATGCACGCAAGGCACTAGAAACACATTTTATATATTTTTGTCTAAGAATAAAGAGTAAGCTAAACGATCATTGAAAGTAAACAATATACAAAAACGTACATATTTGGCGGCGGATTGGTTTAGCTTTCCTTCCCTCCTCCACACAATAAGAACAACCATTGGGACGAAAACGGAAAAGGAAAGAGAAGCAACTGAACACACACCAAAACTGAAACAAGAACCGGAAGCAAACAAAGTAGCGTAAACTTTGATCCTCCCGACTGGCCAGGGTCATTATTAATAATAATAATAAGAATATATAATAAATAATATATTTTACTTATTATTTAGTCTGTATTTTGTTGTAAAACAAAGATTAATAAAAATATAATTTTAATAGTGGATGTAAGGAATTCAACTGTTTCAGTTTATGCATTTGGAGTTTGCGACAATTGATCGTTAAGTTTGTATTTCAAAATGGGAATATTTTTAGTCTTTTATATGTTTTTAGAATAACATAATTATAATTATAAGAAGTTTATTTCCAGCTGATTTTAAGCACTGTGTTGAAAATTAATCTAATGCCAAAGTTCTCTCCTTAAAAATTTAAGCTAGTTAAAGTTGTATACTTATGTATAAGGACGATTCATTAGAAACCCATGTTTATAATGAATCGTCCATATAAGTTTTATAAAAAAAGAAGGAAAGCAATTTTGGGCAACTTAAGATTTGGCAAAATTTACATAATTATAACTCGGGGTTGAAATATTTCACATAATATAAATACAAAAAGTCATCCAATTTGCATAAAATTAAAACTAAAATTTAGTATTAATAAAAAATTGCCATATCTAAGAGTAGGTAAAAGTATGTTGAAGGACAACAAAGTTAATTTTTTTGAAATCTAATTTTACGATTTTTAAACTCAAGAATATTTTTTACTTTATAAAAACTTCTGACTATAAATATAATACCCTGCAATGGTATAATAGCCTAAATAGGAAATTATGTTTAGCATAAGTAATATTAGCTGAATTTTTTTAAGTGTAGAAAATATCTAATGGCCAAACATCGATGTATCGCCTTTTTAAAAAACATCGATGCTATCGATAGTGACATCGAAGTTTTTGCATCCCTGGTAGGATTCGATTGAATCGAATTTTTCACATCCCCAGCCACGCAGAATATTATCAAAATTGTTTTTAACACCAATTCGAAGACAAGAATTCATTGCACCTGAGAACGAGAATGTCGGAAAAGAAGCGCACCCGTCGTCGCAAGGATGTAAGTGAATTGAGAGCGAAAAGGCAATCCAGCTGCTGCCAGGTGTCAGTGTGGGTGGTGCCACAGTCCAATTGGCACGCCGAGAGTGTTTGTTTTTTGTTTTGATACGGAACGGCAAAAAACGTGAAATGGCAAACAAGAAAAAGCTCAGATCACTGATATGGGAGTGGAGATCACGGCCGCATTTTATATTATATTAAAGACTTTTTACGCATTTGTGGGGGGCAAGTTCAGGGGCCACCCAATTGCGTGTGTGTGAGTGCGTGTTTTTTGCTGGATTCCATGAATTCAGCCCCCCGCATGCAAAGGTCTATAATTAACTTGTCCCGCTGCGAGGAGAAATGCGCCGTTTGCGCTGCATTTACTTGTATTTACTTACTTTCCAGCCAATTAGCTTTGTGATACACAGTGTAAACAGCTGTGAGCATGTAACGGTGATCTCGCTTAACCCGCTCTTTAACTCGAGCCTCTCTCTTTAAGCTCTCTTTGAGCTTGGGGCTCTCTCTCATTACCAACACTTGTCAGGTGCAGGCAGCCCCACTTATCAGCTGCTGGATGTGGCCGCCGCTGCCGCAGCTGTTGTTGTTGGGGAAAGTTTCAATACGCTCGTGTACTCTCCACGTGTGTGTGTCCGTATGTGTTTGTGTGTTGTTGGTTGGCGCTTGCTCGTGTTTGTGTGTTGGTGATCGCCACTCGTTTGACCAGAGTCAAGATTCAATACTTTCTAGACTCTCGGAGCGAGTGCAACACGTCACAGCCATCAATAAGGCATTGTGGCTTTGTTATTTACCAAGTTCGCAGTTTCCTATTCTATCCGAAAATGAACGAGGAGGAGTACTACGAGGAGGAGTACTACGAGGAGGAGCAGGCGGAGGAGGAGCAGGAGATCTTCGATGATGGATTGGTACTGGGCATTGTTTTTAGAGGGAAAATCCCACGAGAGCCCCCGCACCGACTTAAGTGTGACTAACACGAAATTGGTGTCGTGGCCTATATTCGCCTATAGCTTGAGCTTCCTCCAATGCTCTGTAAAAAAGTAACTAAATTTGGTGTATTTTTATTTCAAACAGGAGTACACCGAGCCGGGCGCCCAGAAGGTGGACAAGCCTTCAAAGGATGAGAAGAATGTGGCCAAATGGCTGAAGAAGAACGTAAAGACGAAGAAGACCAAGTTCTTGAGCCACGTCGTCGAGTACTTCACCTCCAGCAAGGCCATCGATGCATTGATGAAATCCAAGTTTGCCGAGGGCAGCAATCCGCTTTTCACCACCCGGGAGCAGGTAGTGGAGTTCCTGGATGTTATGCTGGAGCACAAGTTCTTCCATCGCGCTAAGAAGGTGCCAGTCACGCTGGAAGAGATTCGGGGTAAGAAGGCGGACAAAGAAAAGGGCCAAGACAAGGAAAAGGAGAAGGAAAAGGACAAAGCAAAGGATGACAAGAAGGACACCGATCCGGAGGCGGAGAATACACAGGGCGATGGAGGAGCTACCGGCAACGAAAAGGAAAAGAAGGAGAAGAAAAAGCGCAAGATTCGATTGGACATGCATCCCGAGCAGATCTTCGTGGACGGTTCCGAGGCCTATGTGTGGATCTACGACCCCATTCCTCTCCATTACTGGATCTTTGGCTTCATCCTGCTTCTGGGTGCCGTTGGCATCTGTTTATTCCCTCTATGGCCACCAATGCTGCGCAAAGGTGTCTACTATCTCTCCATTGCGGCAGCAGGCTTCCTTGTCTTTATCCTGGCGCTGACCGTGGTTCGTCTGATTGTGTTCACCATTGTGTGGGCACTAACCGGTGGCAAGCTGCACTTCTGGATCTTCCCAAATCTGACCGAGGATGTGGGCTTCTTCGAGTCCTTCTGGCCGCTTTATGAGGTTTGTCTTTTCAATATTGCCTATATTGCGTGAATTAACCTGATAATTGTATGTATTTTTTTTTCCTGAAAACAGAGCAACTATAACAGCGAAGCAAGTGGCAAAACTGATAAGAAATCCAAGTCTAAGGGCAAGAAAAAGGATAAGGACAGCGATGCCGAGGATACAGCTGTAGATGCTGATGCTGACGGCGACGGTGATGTGGATGCAGAAGTCTCAACGCTTGAGCCTGAGAAAATTGAGCTGATTAAAGAACACGACACCGACATGGAGATCCGCAAGCGTCGCAAAGTTGGGGCTGATGAGTACGAGGACGAGGATGTGGATGTGGATGAGTCTCAGACGCAACCCAAGGATTCCAAAGATGGGTAAGAAGGGTCCCCCCTCTCTCTATTTCTCTTTCTAAATTGAAAAGTTTTCCGTCTTATTGCTCGAATTTTTGTATTTATAATCTGTTTTGTTTCCCACGTGCTTTTCGTTTTGTTTTGTCATAAAAAAACAACAAAAAAAACAAATTGTAAAGAGAAAGAAATATAAATTAACTCTAGCTTTTAATTGTACACACCAACACACACTTTGTTCCTTAATAAATAATATTGTATAATTAAACAGCATTAATTCTTTTGGTTTGCGCATTTTCATAACAATTTTATATTTATTTTCTGAAGCATGTCATTTGTAAATACATTTTCCTTTCGTGATCAGTGAAGGTTCTCATTTAAGCGGTAGTTTGGTTATAAAAATACTCATTATTATGGCTCATGGTAAACTTATTCCTGATACAAATTGGCTGTGGGAACGAAAAGGTTCAAGTATCAACAGAGTAAGTTCTTCATTCATTACAATCTTCGTTCACCAGCATATATATACAACTTACATATTGCCAAAGTTACACCTCAAACGCAGGCATGATATTTCGTTAATAATTCGAATAATTCTGTTTCAGCACACCACGCACCTCGGGATCGGACTCGGAGAGCTCGAGCAAAGATTACGAGATAATCAGTTCAAGTGAAGTGCAAAACGTTGCTGGCAACTAGGATGGACGTAGAAGCCCCACAATCTTTATTAATATTTAATGATCCGCATCTAGCTAATTGATAAGAAGACATAGAACAAGAATCACACATCAAGTACATCAGCAGCAGCAGCAGCAGCCCACGAACTATTATTCCAAGTACAGCGAATGCTTGTCGAGCGAGTTCCAGCGCGTTTTCGTTAGTTGTTTGAAGACACACTTCGGATTGAGCTTAACGCTTGCAGTTCTCCCTTCAGTATACGTATTTGGCTGTAGTCCGCACACACAATAATTCCTATATGCAATATTACGTTGACCCAGAGCATTTGTTAGTTTCTTTTTTAGGCTGCAGTTGGGTCTTGAGATGAGTTGCCACAGTATGTTCTCAAGCCTTTAAACAAACTACTTTTATTAATCTTTATTTGTACTTGTATTCATACGTTTGTAAATGTATACAGTGGCAGCGAGAGTGCAGGAAGCGATTACAATTGATAATAATCATAGCGAGTACGTAGATGAGAGCGCATACCGTGACTATGCGCATAAATATTTACTCTAAATGTAATTAAAGTGAACTAACAACTTAAAGAAATTAGTAGTGTAACACGCAATTAACTATTATATAAAAATAAAGCTAGGCAATTCTGATCTGATGTGAGAGATATTTGAGCGTTTTGTAGTTCTTGCTCGAACGTTTTATTAAAAAAAAAACAAATATACAATATACTATAATTCGTCTTTAAACTGTCGTTCGATATGGTACTGATTGAGCGTGGAGCTTAGCATGTGCCAGGCCTGTCTCGGTAGGAATAGCCCGATGATCACTGCACAGCTAGATAACTGGAGGCAGGGATAATTAATTTCCTAATAAGTGTATTCTTTTGGAATCGTCATACTCACAATAATGATGATGTAAGACAGCCAGCAGAGGATCACATATGCTAAAATTGCCAATCCGCCCACAAAAACAGCTGTCGGATGTCGATAGTGCACTTCAAACTTGATTTCCGGCTTATTTCCAGCTTTTGCACTCAAAGTTGGTGCCATTTCCTGTACTGATTTGTGAAAAACCTACGTAAAAAAAGATTTCTTTTCATTTTTTGCTCCGTTAAAAAATGTGGAATGAAAATGAATACTCTTAACAATCACCAAGACAGAATCTTTATGGATTTGGACTCTCGGTTATCTGTCGCGGCTTTATAAAAAGAAAAAATACCAGTTGGTAATCCTTGGCATCAGGGAATGTAAGCAAGACCAGGTGGTGGTCTCGAAACAGAAAAGATCCCTGAGTGGGAGATTTTTAGAATATAAACAAGTAAGCCCCAAGAGAGCGCTGTAACTTACGTACACAGTACAAAGGTGTTTCCGTTGTTGACCTGAGATGGCAAACCCTTTTTTCAGTCGATCTCAGGACTCTCCATACCTTTATCTACGATTTTAATGAGGCTGCCTGTTTGGAATACACAAACCTGGCCATTCAGTCTTTCTGTGGTTGAGTACTGCCCCAACAGGGCATCGGAGCCGGTAACGATTTTTATCTTATCCATTTTTATTTTTAATAGGTGCTAAAACCCCCGAGACTTCTTCCTCAATGGCTTCCTTATAGATCTAAAATGTTTAACTATAGCTACTATCATCTCTCTTTCATTCTCTGAATCTTGGCTAGTTTCAGGCTCTCGAACGGGGCTTCTGGGTCTGTTTATGTCCTCGACCTGAGAATGCCTTTTCAACTCTGTTTCTGAGGGTTTATTTTTTCGTTAATTTTATAGATTTTTCTAACCATTAAACTATTGTTACCTTCTATTAATTTCAGGGACTTCCGCTTCATAGCTGTCATAGTTTTCGTATTCTTACGCGAATTTTCTTCCAAAGTGGTAGACCGCGAGGAGTTTAGGGGTCTCATTGATGGCCAGACTGCTCTCATTTCCTTTTTCGTTTGCAAGGTAGCCCTAGGAGGTATCCCTAAATTAGGCAAACAGAACTTATGGAAGGACATGGAATGTTGATTCTGAAGGTAACTCTCTGAGAGTTTTCCTGACAACTGCCTGACATAGACAACTAAATGAACCTTGGGGAGGTCTACGCTCATATGGTAAACTGTCTCAAAAGTTTCAAGCTTCCAGGTAAACAGCATTTTGGCCACGGGAATTCTGTTAACGTCCTTTTCCAAAATGTCGAATCTATTATTTATCTTGTGCGTGCATAGGAACTTCTTTGCTGTATCCAAATGCAGTGGACACACTCGTTGTTTGCTGGCTAATTTTAGCATTAATAGTTGTAACTCCCCTTTTGATATTTTCCTAGAGTTACTATTGGCTGCCTGATTTCTAATGGGGCGTCGGCATTGGTTACATTTTGAAGGTAAAGATTTGGCTTCCGAAAAACGCTCTTCGCCAGGGATAGTTTTCCTGTTCAAAAGCTTCTTGGGATTAGCTACAAGGGGTATCGGCATTTCGAGCCTGCTAGAAGGGTCAACTTCATGCCTAGAATCTTGACAAGTATCTTGACAATCCTTGGGCAGAACTTCGCTGAGATTGGAGACTGACAAGGCAGGTTGCACTTGAACGCAACTCACTGAGAGTTTACTCGACAATTCCCTAACATAGGAAGCCTGAGGCACGGGAAGGTCTCCGCACACGTGTTGAACTTTCTCCAACGTCTCTAGCTTCCTGGTAAATAATCTCTCAAGAGGATTCTGCTTTTCGACTACAGGGACAACAACTGGGTTTCTGGGCGTTATTGATTGGATAATCATTGGCATATTCTTAAAATATTTCCCTCTAGGAACTGGACATACACTTTCCTTGCTGCTTATCCGTTCTAGACTTCGCGATTCTAACTTTTCAGAAGTCTTACCATAATTTGATCTTTCTCTAGGGTCACTTTTTTCATGATTTTTTACCGAAATGCTGTTCTTAGTCGAAGTATTCTTCTCCTCGCTTTCCTTTAGTCCGCCTATTATGATGGATTCTCCACCATGTGTGCCCAATTCTCTTGAAACAACTTTTAAATACTCTTCATCAGTCATGGTTTTATTGGGGGAAGCTACATTTGGTAATTCATCAACAGTGGTTTCGTCATTCCCATAAGAAAACTCCATCAAACCGAGGTTCTGGAGGATCTCCTCAGATTTCACAGCTTCTTCTGCATTTGTCCGCAGTTGTATTGGGGAAGACGATGTGTCGCTGCTCTTATTGCATCCCTTGGTGTCGTCTTTTATATGCTCTGATAATGGCTTGTTGATTATTTGATTGAAAGGACTAAACGGCGGCTCGGGGATCTTGGGTTTCGGCGCTGAAGATATTGACTGTGATGCAAACCAGATGTGGCCCAAGCTCGAGCCATAGTTGCCTATGCGATTGTTGGGCAAATCCGGACGTGGTTCCATATACAGCGAGTTCGGGCGATTGAGCATGCGCCGGGCACTGTCCACGATGAGGGCGTCCTCAGAAGGACCGTCGTAATCGTCAAAGGGAGGAAACTGACTGGCCAGCTGGCTTTCGGTGTACTTGCCCCTGGACTTCAATGAACTCAAGCCGCCGCCCTGCAGCTTATCCTTAGAAAGTGGTCCCTGTGGATAGTTTGGTGCGTCCCAGATGCTGCCACTTCTCTTGGATATGGCACCTCCAGATGGATCCGTTATAGGCCCCTTCAGTGGAATAAACTTCTTTATTAGCTGGTCGTCGTAGATCAAGCGCCTGCGTGCGTAATTTGAGGGCAAATCCTCGCCCGGCGAACCCGATCGAGCCGGCGATGGCGACGATGGTGGTGGTGCTGACGGCTCCAGCTGGCGACGACCCATCTTACTGGCCTCTTTAGGGCCATCGCCATCACCAGCTTCTCCAAGACCGCCTCCTTCAGTCCTGTTCCAGTTGTCGCTCTTGGTACGCCTACCACTGGACTTGGCATGCGGTTTCTTGCCCTTAACGGCCACTTTAAAACGGGGCGCCTTGTTTCCTTGGGCAGCTTCCTCGGCGCGGCGGCGTTGCAACAATATTTTCTGCCGTTCGGCATCTAGCTTTTCCTCCTCGTCGCTGGAGCACGTTCGAGGACGGCGGATCAGGCCGCAAAGCTCGCAGACATTGAAGCGATTCACCGTCACGTCGAGCATTGCGCGTGGCAACTTCTCGCACATGCAAGATTTTTGTGACGCAGAAAGACCCGTGTTATTCATGTAGAGCGAGTACAGCTTGAAGAAGCGAAACATCAGACGCTTGACTTAATTTCTGAGAATTGCTTTCCGGAACTAAAACGGAAATGTCATTGCAGGAAAAGACTCGCTAGCAGTGCTGGAAAGGGCTGTACATTTACCAGAAGCTTCTTTCAGCACTATCAGTGTTGCACAGCGGACAACCAAGTTTTGATTGTTTTGGGTTAAATTTTGTTAGGTATAAGTTGCTTTAGAAAAATGCGGAATGTCAGGATCAGATATATGAATACTAACAAAATTACTTGGCGACAAAATTACATGTTGCTGAGTTCTTACTGTCAGTAAATTTTGTAAGTGAAATTCAGATGAATCTAAAAACCGTTAACGTTTAACGGTACATTCAAACGGCATAAAGAGAAAATAATAATAATATGACTAAAATTAACAAACTCTAACTTTTTTTTCACGATTTATGAATTTTACTATACTACTTGCATTTTTAATTTATTTATTATTTTATTTATTTTTAATCAACCATGAATATCTCTATTCAGTTAAAGTTCACACATATGAATGTATGTATGTATGTTTTATAATTTATAAATTTCGTATCGTCGCATCCTAAAATCCATTGTCTGCCATCTTGTACATAACTGAACATAAATATGTATTTATGTGCATATATAATCCACTAGGCAATATTGAAATAATTTCATCATTCACTTAGTATTATTTGCTTATTCACTTGGCTTTGTTTGTATTTAAAGTAATTTGCAATTGAACTTTCTGTGGCCGGCTCCGTCTGTGCCAGTGTTTGCTACTCACCGAGTTGGGGAATTTAATTAAGGTTTTGCTGCATTTTTAATGAATTTTTTTGTTGTGCACAGTAGTTGTCCGACTCGAACAGCTCTTTTCAATGGACTGCTGTGTCCTTCGAGAACAATTCACAAAATAACTATCAAATATACTGTGCACACACACTAACCATACACAGCCACACACCTTCCGGAGGAGCAGATTAGTTGCATGCGAATCTAAGTGAAATTTCATGTTCCATATGCAATTACAGTCCTGGGAGGAGGGCGGACACAACCCACACAAATATGTATGTATTTATAGTTATAATTGACAAACACACTACACACTTCTCCTTGCCACTCGAACATACCATACTTGGAATTTATTTACATTTTTCCAGCAATAAATATGTATGAAAATGTGTTGCAGAGTACCAACAGTTGACCCAAATAGTCGTCGGGCTCCTTGAGCACCATCTGCTTTAATTAACTCGATAGCTTTTGATTGATTGGCCTAATCCCTCCGCTTCGCACCTAACACTCCACAGCCCCACCCCACAGCCATCCCTCCTTTTCCCTTGCAAAGTCAATAAACACATTAAAAGCGCATCGTCTTACAAAATGTTCTGCATCTTCGGCTCATTGAGCAGCTTGTGAGAGGAGTGGATACAGGATTCGGACTCCAAGGCGTTTGCCAAGGAATTTATGCACTCAAATCAAGCGGACCGATAAATTATGGAGCCAGTCGTCGTTATCCTGCAGGGAGTTGCGCTGCTAAGCTGGAGTCGCACGTTCCTGCTCCTTCTCTGTCCATTTTGAATTAAACGCCGACTGTCCGGGATTTATGCGCGCCACTGGCCATAAAAATATTATTCGCAGACTATTCAGACTATAGACCCTACGAATCGGCGCCTAATTGTTCAGGCATCGATTGTATTTCAATATAATCGAATACGATAAATGCACATGGAGAAATAGGCCATAATTTCAAGATGTGATTTCGAGAGTGAATACGGTGAAGGCTTTAAGATATAAAATATAGAAAATAACTGTATTGACTGTAATACCATATATGTTTAAAGTTTTTATTATTTTTTAAACATGATTTTGGGCACCCCCGATATTTCTATAGTTTCGAATGTTTTTTAATAAATCTCTCTAAAATTTTGTCTCTCTGCACTCAACTACAAATCGACGACGTCTGCGATTGGAGCTACAAAATTATTTACTCCCTGGTGAGGCATTTTAATGCATTTTTATTGCGATACTTTTAGCGTCATTTCATTTTCGGCATTCTGCTTTGCCATTGGAATTTTTCACCCTGACCATTCCGAGAGCCCCGGGGCCTTGGCTTCGCCAGCTGTAATTTTTGTAATTTTTTGGCGTGGCTTTTAGGTTGGCGTTTATTGCATTTCCCTCTGCATTTAAAGAACGGACACCAGTCCGGAAATTTAATGTGTGGAAACTATTTGAGGCATGCACATACGCATGCAAAGCGGGTTTTCCGGGGCTCGGAGTTTCCAGAGTCCGGAGTCCGAAGGGCAAGAAGCCATTGGGGAGAATATTTTTGCATGCAACTGGAGTCGCCCGGAACATTCACTGAATACTTTTAGGCGGTGGCGAATGTGTGTGCGCGGCAGGATACGCATTAAAAGTTGCGCCACTCTTTCGCCAGATCAAAGGTATTGAAACATATAATTATCCTTCTTCATTGGGGGTTCAACTCAACCTGAAAGCACCTCAACTTTAATTACGACTGGTACACTTTAAATAATTGTATAAATAGTTTATGGCTTTATCTAAAAATGTAATAAAGAATGTATACTAAAATACTATGATTAAAAATAAAATATTTATAGTTCTTCCTTTCTTTTTTGGTTCTTTCTTGTTTAATAGCATTTCCATTTACCTCTTACATTTTTAATTTTCTTTAAGTGTACCAGTATCCATCAGTCGGCCCACAACCTTGAGCACATTCCTGGGATGTGGAGCTGCGCTCTTCCAATTCACCAGCCGGCCAGGGTGAAATTCCAATTGTATATTAAATACTTGCCATTAAGTTTTAAGCAAATTTTAATTACAATGCCGTCGCTGCTTCCGCCATTTAACACGAAAACAATTTCCGCCCGGGCATACATATTTTAGATCAAATATTGCAACTGCTGCACGGCGTCCAAGGGGGCGGAGATGGAGTGCCCAAAGGATCTGAGGCTGTGATGCGGGTGTTCGCCGTTTGCCTAAATGGGTTTTTTCTCTGCTCGGCTGGGCGGCTGGGCTGCCATGAAATATGAAAGTCAGTTCGTGGCTACGTGACTCGGGAGTGTCTATTTTCCACCAATGGGGGAGGTGGAAGCTGCGGAAAATGGGAAAATGGCAAAGATTGTTGTGGTGTCATGTGTGTGTGTGCATCGCCATGTTGCACAAACGCATCCTCTGTTTACTTATTTAACACAATTTTCACATTTCATAATTCAAGTCGGGCAGGGCCAAGAGTGAGTGTCCTGTACTGACGTGCGATGGGCGTGGCTGCGGCGATACGCATGCGTAGCCTTGCCTCGGGGTCCCATCACAATGGCTGCTTCCCCCGCCTCCGCTGTTGCCTAATGTTTTCTCGTTCTGTTGCAACTTTAGTTATTTTGCGCAACTCTTGGGTTTTTCGAGTGCTGCCTTTTTGTGCAGCTCACATACGTAAGTGGAAAGCGCTGCCTGGGATCCTCGAGCGAGGCGACAACCTTGAAAAGCACTCAACAAATAATGGTGGGTCCTTCGTTCTTCGCTCACAATTATACTTTATGCGCATCGCCAGGCAGATCACGTATACGCCACGGTGGCCCACTTATGATGCACAACTTATGATGCGGTTAAAGGGGGTCGCCGTTTTTCGTTGAACGAAGATTTTTGATGTTTGAGAGTAGAGTTCACACGGAAAAATAAATTTGTAAGGTTGAGGAAGGTTAAGGGGTACCAGAAAATTGTTTCTTTTTTAAAAAAGGCACTTCTTTCACCTAGAAGAATGGGCCTATTATAATATTCTTATAATTTAATAATTATATTTAATTTTGATTAATGGAGATAATTTTCTATAACTCTTGACAAATTTAAATGTATGAATAAAAGAGTTTCCGTAAATTATTACTTATTCCAATTTCAATTCCAATTATTTACAACTGTAAGTTGATATTATATGAAGGCTTGTTATGCATACAATTAAATTAAATAGTCCTGACAGACAAATGTACAATTTTGTATAAATTTTTACATATTTTTTTAAATAATAATTGTTAAAATTATTTCTCCCAGTGCATAAAGCTTTCATCCAACCGTATTGCTAAAAATCAATGCCTGATCCTGATTGCTACCGATGTATGCAATGGAATGTGTATCTTTCGGGGATTTGATTGATTGCAAGTCCTTTTTTTGGAAACTGCAAACCACTGGCGGGCCCCTGAGAGGTCTCTCGAGTACTTTTAAGATTAATCCTGGCGGATATTTAATTGTTGCTCCTTTTTATTTGCCTCATTGTGGCGGCTACTTTGGACTGGTCAGCAACTTCCGCTGCCATAAAAGCACTCCTGAAGGTAATTGTTTAAAAATGGACTTTATTCAGTTATGGTCCAGCATGCCCACATGCATATGCATCTGCATCCGCATCCCCATCCGCACCCCGACGTCTCCATGGTGTACACGTGCTCTGCCCAGCCCCATAGATCGGCTGTCTAGTCATGTGTGCGCGCTGTCCATGTAAATTTTAAGCAACTCTCCAAACTAACAACCGACGCAAATTGCTGCTGTTGCGGTTTATTTTGTGATGCAAAAATATGCAGTGCCCCCTTACCCTTGGCTGTGTCTCCATTCCCGGGTCCTGCGTCCTGCTCCGGCATCTGCATCTCCCCGCCGCAGGAGCAAACTACTCCTGGCGATGGTGGCGCATTGTTTGGCCTGACTTTTTGCTGCCCGTTCCGGGACCCGTTCCTCCACCCGTTCCGGGAATGTGCGGCACTTGTTTGTTGTGATGTGTGCTTGCTGGTTGTCGGGCTTGTTATTTTACCCAAAAGCTGTTAAATTGCTTGAAACAAAACACAGTGGAGCTGGCTGGGAAGAAACTGATGGTCGGAGGAGGCTGCATCCATGGCCACCATAAATATTAAAGCGGGTGTCAAAAGGAATATGTGGTGCGAAATGCTTTGAATGCTGCCAGCTACTAGCGTTTCGACAATGGAATAAATGTTAGGGGCTTCCTCCTCCTCGGTCAAGGAGGAGGACCACGGCTCCACGAACGTGCCCATGATCCCGTTTCGAGATAGTCCAAGGGTCTCGCCGCAAACATAAATCAAAAACAACCGAATGCGTGGACATGTCCCCGATTCTCTGGTCAACTAGCCATATTTTATGCCTCACAATGGCCCTATGAAAGTTTCCCCTTAAATGCGAATTAATTAAAACTAAAAACTTGCCCCTGGCTGTGTGCACCTTGAATGGAGAGACCGTGAAGGGGGGATTCCAGCCATGCCATGCATGAAT